AAATTTACTACAACAGTCTGCATAGTTGTCTGTGGAATAAAATTTCAAATTAAACAGTAGCCTACAAAAATTAAATCATTGAAAAAGATTTATTTTGTTGAAAGCCTACACCACTTACTTTTAATCATTTACAATCTCAGTTTTTGTTACCCTTTCTCCAAGACAATTTTGTCAGAGTAAGTTTGTTAAAGTTTTCCCTTGCGTCTTTGTGTTGTGAGTCTCTAACAAAGTTTCGGTTTAACTTCAATATCCTTTGAACGCTTCATTATAATTCTATTAATTTGCATATAATGTTCATTTTGGAGAGGTAGATTGTGTAATTTTAGTCTGGGTCAATTTTATCCTATTTTTATTAAAAATCGTCTCCAATTATTTTTGTCTTATTGTTTGGTAAATTTCGAAGAGTGGCAGGTGGAGGTGGAGCTCTAAACTGGATTTTAAAATTTCAAATAGTTATCATAAAAACTTCCTTAACTTAAAACCCAAAGCACAAAGACCAGTTTAAAGCAAACTAAAACCTTTTGTGCATGTAAAAGGAACATTAACAAGTAGTGCATTCCTTAAAAAAAACATTATGTGTTTAAGAAACCATGTTCAGACAGAACTCTTATTTTATAAAGATAACTAGCTGACCCGGCGAACTTCGTATCGCCTAAGTTATAGGTTTCCCCTAAGACAGACCGATGGAAAGAAACTACCGTTACGTTTAATTTTCAAGATGATCGCTCAATCACGTCCTGGTTGAAGTTCGTTCGCTACTTTCACTCACCTTTGGGTTAGAGCTCGTTCGCTACGCTAATCTCACCTTTAGGTTGGAGCTCGTTCGCTGCGCTCACTTGCCTTCAGGTTAGCTCGTTAGCTACGCTAACTCGCCTCCAGGTTGAAGTTCGTTCGCTACGCTCACTCACCTTTTGGTTGCAAATTAGCTGTTGTCATAAATGTAAAAGAAATAATAGTGCTGCACCCTGTTGGTAATCCTTGTAACTTTAATGCTATTGAACATCATAGAACAGAACCAACTTGTTTAATTGAAACAGCTGTTAAGATTCATTAATTCCATTTCTCATAAGGTTAACATGGGAAACTCCAGAGCCACTGGGGCGGAGCCCTTTTAAGAATTTCGAAACGGGAAATAGTTTACTTTCGATTCGCATACCTACAGAATTTACACACCAAATTTCATAACGATCGGTGAAGTCGTTCCGGAGGAGTTTGCAGACAAACACTGTGACACGAGAATTTTATATATTAGATAAATTAAAATTAATGTTAACAGTTGATTAAATAAATCTTCATTGTATCGACGAATATGTGGTAATGAAGTGTGGGATATTTGACATGTGTGAGATGGTAAACTCTGGCAAGACCAGGGAAGGAAGGTTAGAAGCCACAAACAGTAAGTTGATGACTCTGCATCTTCAGCTTTAGTCTTCTTCTCCTCAATAATGAGATTGATCACTGCTTCAAGGTCAAGCACGGACAACAATGGTCAACTTGTCTGCAGTTTGTTGATTTATTCATCTTCTATATGAAATTATAGTTCTTCTGTACATTGTTTGCATCCATACAGGGTGGCTGAAAAGTAAAATTCACCCCCCCCCCCCACCCATTGTCTTTAATTACCACTGTCGTTTGTGGCAAACTTCTTATACATGAGAAGCTACAATAATGATGGTTAATATTGTAAATTTTGCCGTTAGGTGGGGGTTGGGAGTAGCTCAAAATATTCAGATAGGAAGTATAGTCGACTTTGGTATCATTTTAAACAACGTATTGGTGAAACTAAAAAGTTTACATAAAGAAAACCAAAATCAGACCTCTGATAAAAAAAATGGCGCCCTAAAACTATTCAAATCCAATTAACCATGAGAGTGGCTAAAAAGTTCAACATTAAGTTAAACGTTTCAGTGTTGAATTCCAATTCTATTTATTTAGAAACAATCATAAAATACCCCCGCTGCAGCAAACCTGCAGACTAAGCGAATTTCCATTTGCCTGATTGGATTTACACTAAAATGCATCCTTAAAAATATCACATTTATTCCCTACTAGTATACCTGTTGCTCTAATTCGAACAATTGCTAAGCATTACAGGCGTTATTTTTAAAAGAATAACAGTCATAATTTCCGATGACCTTAAAAGAGCCGACTCAAAGATTATGGAAATTCTCCTTATGTACATAACAATTCGACATAATCAATCAACATTTCTTGTAAATATCTTATCACTTTTCAAAAGCTGATCTTGTTTTTTAGTGTTTTCTACAAATTTTTCCCACTCATGGCCGCATTAGGTTGTGTATAATAATGATAATTTAATTAAAAAAAATATATATTAATTTTTATTTCTTCTACTTGGTGGTGTTCTATGAATTTCCTATGTTTCAATAGTTTGCAAATTGCAACTAAAATATTAACAGTAATAAAATTATCAAGCTGATCAAATATGTTCTTCATAAAGATAACATAAGGGAACTATGAAAGCCACTGGGGCAGAGCCCAAGGGACTTTTTCAAAAATGTTGTCAGTTTGGAAATCTACACACCTAGACGATAATTTTGGTACAGGGTGGGGCAATGAGAACGCCACAATTTGTTTTAGCTGTCACATGTTAATTGTTGCAACAACGAATGATCAGCTGTGCTTAAAACATCAATTAAACTATGCCATTTTAGTAAATATTATGCCCGAGGCTATTAACACTGAGATTTTGATGTGCAAACCTATTTTTAAAATAGTGGTTCTTGTGCAAAAACCCAGAGATAGTGTGGACCACATTCCATCCTTGGTCAACATACTGCGACTCTTTCAACATTTGCTGGTGTACAAAGAGTTTTGTGGCACCCACCGATTATTTTTAAGGTTTAAGCGTTTATCCTAAATAATTTTACCCAGTTCACCATTGTTTTCCAATCTGGAACAGTGCCATGTTGACCAAGGATGGAATGTGGTCCACACAATCTCTGGGTTTTTGCACAAGAACCACTATTTTAAAAATAGGTTTGCACATCAAAATCTCAGTGTTAATAGCCTCGGGCATAATATTTACTAAAATGGCATAGTTTAATTGATGTTTTAAGCACAGCTGATCATTTGTTGTTGCAACAATTAACAAGTGACAGCTAAAACAAATTGTGGCGTTCTCATTGCCCCACCCTGTATATAATATTTGGGGTTAAATCTTAAAACAAAAAGCCAATAAGGCTTTTTGCTTTAAGATTAAAATTTTTAAGATTCAAAAAGATTTAAAACTTTGTAAACAATAAGTTTACAAAGTTTCATGTAGCGTATTAATAATATAGATATTTCAAAATATTTATTTCACTGCTTAACCAAAGTTTGCTAACCATAAATTGCCTCAGTACCGGTACTTACGGGGTTGCGATTTGGTAGGAGAGGGCTAAGTAAAATATCAGTGTTTGAACAGAACTATTTTCACCACTATATCGAGTAATTTTCAGTTGAATAATTTGCTCAATAGTTACAACTGATGTTTTCCCTTTGTACTGTATTTTGCAATTTTTTAGTATACTGTGGATGGCTTGTTATAGGTAATCTTTAATCATTTAAAATATTAAAGATTCATCAGATGTTAGATTCGTTTTGGTTTTAGTTAGGTAGTTTGTTTACTTTTCCTTGAGTTAACCTTTTGATTCTACCATATTGCATCAAGAGAAGTAACAGTACCAGTAACGCTCTTATCATAAAGTGGGATGGTGTTAAAACCTTTGAATTATGTTTCTGTTTACTTATTAGTTCAGTATTATATATTTTAACAATTGATGTTGTAGACCAATGTTGTGTATATATAATTAAGTGACAATTATGTGTAGACACTTACTTACTTGTTTGGGTAACACAATGAAAAAATCAAAATTTGTAATTTTGAATCGATATATCAAACTTAAATGTTTGAGTTAAGTTTGACTTTTTCATTCGGTTGTTTTTGGCCCCACTTATGAAAGTGTCCCTGACACAATAAGAACCATAAAGTTTGGACGGAGCCTTATGAGTTCCAACTGGGAAAAAATGCATCTGTGATTCCTTGTGACATGAAGATTGAAAAAATTAATTTACATCAAGAACAAGCGCTTACCCAACCAGCAGTTTGCATTGTAAAAAGCTATGAAGAATCGCCATATCCTCTCTGTGTTCTCTGCCACTCTGCCCGTAATTTTATGTTAGTTTTTTACCGTTTACACTTGACAGAAGCCAAGTATCAGTCTATAGCTTAATTTTTGTGTGTTGTGTGTCAGTTAAAGTACCCTCATTGGATTTATATTTCACAGAGACACAGAACTACCGATGAGCACTCAAAAACGTTTCTGTATAGGAAGGTTTTAACTTTCATTTTAAAAACCAATCCCATTAAGTAGAGCTGGGTTCAATAATCTCTGCCATTATCTCTATCTCTCTTTCAGGGGAAAAACTAACTTTAGTTTTGACCCACACATGATAAATAAAATATAAGTAACAGTTTGACCAATCAGTAACTGTGTAGGACACAATACTCAAATTCCACCCAAGCCATTCTATGATTAAGGAAATTAATAAATGTCTTTGTTTATTGAACTACAGGAACTTTTCATGGTTTCACATTGTATTGGCGAGGTATTTCAACCCAATGTCTGAACTAGGGTTGTGGTGTTGGCTTCTTCTTTTTTTTGCGGTCATAGGTAACAACACAATACAGATCATCTCACTCTATTCCATTCTATTTTTCTATACTCACCTTGTATTTTTTTAGCTTGAATACAGAACATACCTCATATAGTGTCTTAAAGCAAGTTTGTAATGAACCTTCTACTGTAGTTGTTTTCCCATCTTGCCTTCAAAACTAGTTGGATGGCTACCTGTTTCTGCTTCCTTCTCTATAATACTTTTCTTTGCAAATACCAAGTAAATAAGACAGCTAAACGTGATCCCCTATTATTACCTCTATGTTTACCACTGTCACTTCTTTCTGAACTGTAGTAAATGTTTCTGATATGTGTTTCTAGACGGATGTCCGAAGGTCACGGACCCGCTCGCCGCCACAGTGCCGCCCCCAGTACCGCCCCCGGCCACAGCTATCTCCGCCCCCACTATGCTGCGGACTGGATTAGGGCCACCAACAATAGGTAAAGCCACTCCCATATTGATTTTTATTGTATATTATCGAGTTGCTAAGATAAATTTAGAGAAAACATCAGTAACTCAGTGTATAAGGAAATGAAATTTTATAAGAAATAACACAAAGCACAAAGCAAGAGAGATTGCTCAAAAACCTGAAATATTTGTGGATATGCAACATCAGTATCAAATCCCTCTTTCTGTGTCAATGTGCGAGACGCTATAGTTGCCGACAGGCTATGCTGACTGGCCATAAGTGTTCTTCGGTGTTGAGGTCCTTTACTCCTACCACTCGACTCACTTCACACTCAAGAAGACTAGGGAAACCATTAGCAAAACGGTTTCTTCAATACAGTATTACAAATACAACTAAAATAGGCTAATGTGATATCGTGATTTCTCTTCATATTCATGTTAGTTTTTTTACCAAATTTGATTCAAATTGGTCAACACTTACATGTTTTATTCACGTTGTCTTATTTTATTCATTGCAAATAAAAATAGCTGAACGTTGACCAATTTACATGAAATTTGGTATCACATTAACAGGATTTTAAGATAAACCACAATATCACATTGTTTTATTTGTATTAAAAGAAAATTACTTGCTGTTACTGGGCCTCTAATCCCTTTTTTAGTGTAAACTTAGTCAAACGGCAGGAATAAAAGTTCGTCTGCCACACAAGTGAACAATACCTGGCTTAGGACACGGACCCAACCCTTTGGTTCAGTATATCCTGCAGTGATGCAAGCGGTATTGGTTCTAATTTCAGATGGCATTTTGTTATCAATTATATACAGTAGTAACAAAACCAATGTTTGGACCATTTAAAAAAAAAAGCTAAAATGATGTTGAAAATACTCAAATTAACAGACAAACCCTCAATGAATTAGAATGTTTTGCCAGTTGGTTTTACTTATTAAAAAGGAAGCAAAATACCTAACGACTAATAGCTCTTTTAATTTGATAACTCTTAAGGATTGAGTGGTCCAGTGATTTCCTGATGGTGCTTCTCGAAAGATATTTAATTTATGAGAACTGTGTAATGGTTTTTGCAAAAATATGATGGTATTAAATTTAATAATTATAATACTATACTGCTTAGTAATAATTAAAAAAACACCTGCTGTACCAAGTACAACGAATTAATGTTGGAAGCACTTATTGTTGACCTGAGGAGCGAGCTGGTCTAGTGGTAAAGCTCGGGGGTTTAGTGCCTGAGGTAACTAGTTTACATCCCGAAATCACCAATAGCTCAAGATATGTGAAAATGTAGCGTCCCTCTTGGCCTAACCTGAAGTAATTGTGTAAAATGGTTCCAGCTTAGGACCATAATAGGATGTGATGGAACTGACGGGAGGTTAGTAGAAAATCCATGTTGGTATGTGTTGCAGTGCTAGAGCGTATCGTGCCGCAAGTCTGGCCCTGGGTTCTTCCTGCTATCAGGAGGAGTACCCTAGCTCCCTCTTGGACATTCTGATGGCAAACGAGAACGACAAGGGGCTACTATCTCCTACGGCCGCTCATGTCAATCCCAAGAGTTTCCAAAGCGCCTTTTGCCTTCCAACCTCTAACTATGCTAAGGTACTTACAAGCTTTATGCAGTTTTGATACATTTATCAAGTATTTTTCAATGGTATGACTTGTACAATGTTAGATCCTACACTCTTCTCCATTCATACTAAGTACTAAGTCATTGTTACAACATATTATTTGTTTAGTTCAAATTATTTATTTCATACTACTTGCAGATTAGAAAATGGACTGTTATATGTCCCTTCTCATAAGTGTGTCCTATTATCAAGCAAGTCTTGGCTTAAAATACTTACTTTGTATGGTCGCCATTTCAATGTAAAGTATTAAAGTATTAGATGATACTGAGGTTGTTTTGAATTGGACAACAGGTTTATAAGAGAAATTATTAAAACACTTTTTTGCAAGCTCATCTCTTTTATAGCATGTGGTAGAATAGGGTACGGGATAAGATAGCCATTGGCTCAAATCTGCTTGATAAGGGAGACAAAACAATGATTAGGGTAAAAGTCAGAAAACTTTTCCGCCAGATGAAGACTTGATTATCATTTGCATTTCCATGGTATTTATATGCATATAAATGTTTCAGGTAAATGATGGAGTGCCTCCCCCTGTGCCGGAAAGATCTCGCCCCTCAGCTCCGCCCCAGATGGCCAAGCCGCCGCCAGCTCTTCCCCCTCCCCCATCCACAGCCCCACCTCCTCCCCCTAGAACCAGGATTGGCCCACCGCCTACCCCTCCTAGATCTAAAGCTCAACAGTCTTCTATACTGAATAATGCTCAACCTCGGAATATATCTAGTTCATTAACTGACTTAGAACGAAGACAATCCCAAAAACCGCCTGTAGAAAATGAAAAGCAACCCCCTCCTCGGCCCCAGGCACCGAGCTACAAGAAGTACGACCCTCCAGAATCTCCGAGAAAGAAAACCTTCAAGCCACCTCCGCTGCAGACTCAACCCGACGAAGACAAACAGCTTTCTCACATACTGATGCAAAACGAGGGACTCAACGGTAGTGCCGGTAAAATCTCTATGAGACAAGATTCTAATGTTTCCAGCGACAGTTTCAGCCAAAACTCATCCCCTAGCTACACGACTAAGAGTATGGAAACACCATTGTTGGCGCAGTGCGGCAAGAAGAGCCGACGCATTACCAATGAACGTCGCGGCGCAGAAATGAGAGGAGGAGACAGTGACGAGGCAGTGAGCGGACTAGAATCTGCGACGCTTGATGATGCTAACAACGCTCTGACCAAGAGTCACTCGACACCTGCGAGTCTCCAAGCCATTGTCCGCTTCCATCACGGCTCTAACATGTCCATCCACCACAGGGTGAGTCTTTACACAATGTTTGTCCCATGAGTATTTAGACACATAAGTACCCTGAGGCAACTGGCATCTAATAACACAAACTAGAGGTGTTCTAGGCCAAGAGACAAAACTCATATTTCATCATAGCTATTTTGTACAAAAATTCTTTAGCTTTATTATAATGACGGTGAACTTTCAATAACCTGTTTTAAGCTCAGTTTGTTGTGATAGCACTGATAGCACCATTGACTTTTAGACACCAGGGTAAACATATACCATTTACATGTGTCCCCTGTAGCCAATTTATATTCAATAGTTGAACTGATTGAGTTTCTTTCAAATGTAGGCCTATATCTTCTCTCTTGATGTTTTTTTTACTAAGGTAGCTGATGTGACATGAGAGATGCTAAAGCTTACAGTTTTTCTTCTGGTTGGTTTGGTTTAAAGTTAACAAATTTGATAGGAATCAGTTATTGATATCAGTGCTTCAATTCAATTAATCTACAGTATGTTCATTTCTTAACTTGACAACCACATTAATAGGAATGGAGTGTCTACTTTCATTCGTAGTCAAAGATGGAACTGTCTGATGTAAGCTATGAATTACAGATTATAAATGACATTCGGAGACCGTCAACACACTACATCACTAGGGGAAGGCTGAGGTTTCAGTTTGCTCAGGTTATTCTCAATGCAGTTGCACTACTAGCCATTGCCGGGGGACTGGCTGCCTACTTTCAAGGTAAACGGTAAATTATAGTATGCAATTCTAGGATTTATTCGATTTAATTTTCTCTGAAATTATTGTATTGCTTTTAAAATTCCATCAATTAAAGATGGAGTTTATTTTAAAGACGAGTACGCACACTTGGGTGCTGAATACAATACATGGTAGATGTAAAATTGTGTAGATAATGTAGTCCATGTAGCTTTGTAATTGTGTAAGATCAGCTTGTTCTTTAATCATGTAGCCATAGTTATGAAAAGTCCAACGATCAAGGGCCGCAGAATCTAGTTAAAACAGTATTGTACATGTATTGACTTTACTCAGGATTGAACTGGCATAGCTAATCATAGCTCTTGAGCTTCCATGACTTTCCCTATGATAGCAAGTGTGATAAGAATTTCTATTAAAAACTATTAGATCAAATGATAAAACTGTATAGTTATTCCCTTTTAATCTAAAGCTGAGATGATCTGGTTTTGGTATAGATGTTGATACAATATATTGTTGCAGCTTACCCCTCAGCAGTGCGATACATCAATAGGACCATCACGGAACCCTCCATTGCAGTCAAACCTCCAGAGGATGTTAATCCTGCTCCTGGTGAGTCTTCCCTCTATATAGTCAAAGTGTCGAAAAAGTATACTTACTTAACTAGGTATGCAGAGAATTGACATTTCTTGTTTAGGGAACAGATTTTGTTACAACATATTATTTATTTAGTTCAAATTATTTATTTCCCAGCCTATTTTATCGTTCATACCTTGCCACTTACATAGATTAGAAAATGGACTGTTATATGATCCTTCTCATAAGTGTGTTAACAATGTTAATATAATCTCTTGTGCATACTTATATCCCTGATGTGTGTTTGTTATTAAATCTGATACATGTTTATATCTCTGATGTGTGTATGATGTGTTAAATCTGATACTTGTTTATATCTTTGATAATGTTTATATATCACCGAGATGTGTAAATCTCTTGTGTGTGTTTATGCATGAGGTGTGTTTGTTTCTACTTAGTGGGTTTATATCTTAAGTTGTTTTAAGATCACTGCAGTGACTTTATAGCTGATGGTTGATGTTCCAGGGATTTGTTTACCAGTGATAGTCACATTTTGCCTGCAACACAAAATTCCCTACAACTACACAATGTTTCCCAACTACATTGGTCACTTCACGCAGCGTGATGCTCAGCAGGTAAATATGACATTTCTTAGTAAATAAAAATTAAAATATATTTGTGCCTGCTGATTTTTGTCAGTTGCGAAACATATATTACATCCTAACAATTGATGATCATTTTGATTTTGTTTTCTAGGAACTGGAAGTTTACGATGCGGTGGAGGACGTCAGATGTTACGAGTTGGCTGCATTGTTTTTGTGTTCAGTTTTTGTGCCAAAGTGTGGACCTACAGGACAACTGGTTCGCCCTTGTAAAAATTTGTGTGCTGGTAAGTGCTACAAGTGTTCAGTGTTACTTAATAATATGCATCAAATAACTTTAATCCCTGCAGAAAGTGATAAACTAATAATTATCTTACATTAACACTATTTTTAAATAAATGTTATCCCCTAAGTTGAAATCTGAGACAACCCATATTATAGTAAATTTTGGGAACAGCTCAAGATTAATTTTGTCCTCTCAGTGATTTCAGAAAAAGCTTAAATATTTGTGGCAATGAAAATATTTTTGGCAATTAAAATATTTTTGGAATATATTTTTTTTAATATTTATATCTGACAACTCATACTTTAAGTTGAAAATGTATCCTAGTTTCAAAAATATACCTATACTAGAGACCTAAGTGTTGAATGCATCAGTCATTGTCAATACGAGTATTTTTTAAATAGAACCATTGACTAGTCAATGATAGAACTGCACTATGGTTGTTCTTAATTACTGATAATATCCTATACTCTAATACGAGCAATGTTTGCTTGTATGTATGTATGCTTGCTTGCTTGCACCAAGATCTCGAAAACGGCTCCGACGATTTTCTTCAAATGTTGTAAATAGATTATTTTTGGCCTAAAAACGAGTTTACTACAGTTACAACTGCCAACAAAAATCCAATTACGTAGAAAAATGAAACTGAAAGTCACATTTTTTTAACATTAGTCTTATGGGTTGCTAAGTAACCATGTTGGAAGAATTAAATAACAAGGAAAAAGTAAACAAAAGACTTGAAGTTGTAGCATGTGTTCATAATAAGCCAACTACCCACAGTATACTAGCAAATTACAAATACAGTACAAAAGGGAAAGCATCACTTGTTACTATTGAGCAAAGATTATACTGAAGATTGCTCAATACATTGAAGGCCTAGAAAAGGCAAGCAGTACGAAGTGCGGGATCTGTTTATGACAATTAGATTAAGGTTATCTGCAATCCTAAAATGCTATAGGAAGGGAAGGAAATAGGTTTGCGACGTAGGAAGTGGTGAAGGAAGTAGTAAAGGAAAGTTGTCCGGAGTGTTGGATCTGTTTATGACAATTATATTAAGGTATTTGCAATCATAAAATGCTAAGGGAAGGGAGGGGAACAGGTCCGTGACGTAGGAAGTGATGAAGGAAGTAGAAAAGGCGAGCAGTCCAGAGTGTGGGAACTATTTATGATAATTAGATTAAGGTATTTGCAATCATAAAATGCTATGGGAAGGGAGGGAAACAGGTCCGTGACTTAGGAAGTGATGATGGAAGTAGTAAAGGCAAGCTGTCCGGAGATTGGGAACTGTTTTTTACGATAAGATTTAGACAATCCTTAAATTCTATGGGAAGGGAGGGAAACAGGTCCGCGACGTAGGAAGTGGTGAAGGAAGTAGTCAAGGCGAGTAGTCCGGAGTGTTGGAACTGTTTGTGACTGTTAGATAAGGGTATTGGCAATCCTAAAATGCTATGGGAAGGGAGGGAAACAGGTCCGTGACGTTGGAAGTGGTGAAGGAAGTAGTCAAGGCGAGCTGTCTGGAATGTGGGAACTGCTTATAACGATTGAATTAAGGTATTTGCAATCCTAAAATGCTATGGGAATGGAAGAAAACATGTCCGCGAAGTAGGAAGTGGTGAAGGAAGTAGTCAAGCCGAGCAGTCAGGAGTGTGGGAACTGTTTATGACGATTAGATGAGGGTATCTGCAAACCTAAAATGCTATGGGAAGGGAGGGAAACAGGTCCGTGACGTAGGAAGTGATGATGGAAGTAGTAAAAGCAAGCTGTCTGGAGTGTGGGAACTGTTTTTTTACGATAAGATTAGGGTATCTGCAATCCTTAAATTCTATGGGAAGGGAGGGAAACAGGTCCATGACGTAGGAAGTGCTGAAGGAAGTAGTCAAGGCGAGCTGTCTGGAATGTGGGAACTGTTTATGACGATTGGATTAAGGTATTTGCAATCCTAAAATGCTATGGGAAGGGAAGAAAACATGTCTGCGAAGTAGGAAGTGGTGAAGGAAGTAGTCAAGGTGAGCTGTCCGGAGTGTGGGAACTGTTTATGACGATTAGATTAAGGTATTTCAAATCCTAAAATGCCATGGAGAGGGAAGAAAATAGGTCCGCGACGTAGGAAGTGGTGAAGGAAGTAGTCACGGCAAGCTATCCGGAGTGTGGGAACTGTTTATGACGATTAGATTTAGGTATTTCAAATCCTAAAATGCTATGGGAAGGGAGGGAAACAGGTCTGTGACGTAGGAAGTGGTGAAGGAAGTAGTCAAGTCGAGCTGTCCGGAGTGGGGAACTGTTTATGACCTGATATAACTGATTAGATTAAGGTATCTGCAATCTTTATAAATGCAATGGGAATGGAGGAAAACAGCTCCGCTTCGTAGGAAGTGGTGAAGGAAGTAGTAAGGCTAGCAGTGCAGAGTGTGGGAACTGTCTGTGGCAATTACATTAATGTATCTGCAATCCTAACATGCAATGGGAAGAGAGAAAAACAGGTCCACGGTAGGGAGTGCTGAAGGAATAAGTAAAGACAAGCAGTGTGGAGTTTGGGAATGGATTATGTATCTGCAATACTAAGACTGCTTTCAGAGTAAACTAATGATTTCCCCGAGCAAAGCTCGGTCCCCAGGTACTTAATTTTAATACGCTTATTTAACAGCCATGCATGACCAAAAGTTTTTAACTCAGGGTCTATTATGTCTATAAGTAAACAGAGAAATCAATGAGAAAACGTCAGACTTTAATATTATATCAATTGTAAAATTACAACTTTGTTTCAGAGACCAAGAGAAGGTGTGGGTTCTTTCTTGACGTGTTTGGTCTGTCTTTGCCGGACTACCTCGATTGTGACTTGTTCCCTGACTCAGAAGATGCGGATGTCTGCGTGGGAAATAAGGAGGTCGTTGAAGCTGAAAAGCGTGCTCAGAAACCAGGTGAGGTTTGGTTGAATCCCAGAAAATGTACGAGGAAAATATACAAAGGAAATGGAAGTTTAGTCATTTATAGCATGAACATTTTTCAGTAGAACTCAAGAAAACGCTAGTAACATAAATTTATCATCTTGGAAAAAACAGATAAAAAAGTAAAATGAGTAATTTGATGAATAATTAGTACCGTATTGAATGACACATTATACGATTGATGTCAATCAATTTATTTATTTAATACAGTGACACACCCTTGAATACAGAAAGCATAAGTTATCTATAGGTAGAATTTGTTTTTTTAATACCCCTGATAACTCACCACTTTTCAATGTTTTTTATTAAGTTAAGGGTTAAGTACTTAACCCATGCACTGGAATGTAAATTAGCCTATTATTTAAAAAAGTCTTTCAAAGTGGCTACAAAATAATTTAGAATTGTAATTTATATAGGTTAATCATTAGGTATCTTTATAATTTATAAAATCACCATAGAGCATGAATATTTTATTCATAGATCCAATCTAAAAGATGTCACCATTGTAATTTTCTTGTTGATTCAATGAAAACTAATGAAAGACTGACTCTCTTAAGCGTAACACACTAACTTTTAAAGAAGGACTCAGGAGAACAGAGCCCTAAGCTTGACATTAAAATGGTTATAAGACAGAAACCGGCAAAACTTTGATATCCAACTCTATTGTATTATCAAACATAAAACTATCAATTCAATTGATAACCAAACTTATCTTAACCGAAAACCAGACCGTAACTATCAATGATTCTGATGGAATCGGATATCAATGTTTTACCCAGAAATCTATCTAGTAGAACAATTTCCAAGAATTTTTAGGGATTCTATGAATGGTTTTGTAATACAAAAAGACTGAAAAAAACTTATGAATATATGTTAAAATTCATACATTGTAAGGTTATGTAACGTGTTGACAGTGTGCCTGTCTGGGTTCCAATGCGATGTGAAGCGTTGTATCCCCGCAGACTGGAAGTGTGACGGACACGTGGACTGTGAGGATCAGTCGGATGAACTCAACTGCCATCAATGTGCCAAGGGTAAGTGAAACCAGAGACATTACCTCTTTACCTCTTAACCCTTACCTTGCAAATTAATTTGTCACTATAACAATAGACTGTGAAACAAAAGAAGCAATGTCAAAGGGGTCACTTCCTGATACTTTCACTTGAAATTTATCAGCACATTTCAGTCATGTGTTGCACCTGCTTACCTCGTGTTTTGCTTATATTCCATACACAGTACTTCAGTCCTTTGAGAACAATTTAGATTTAGATTTGCAGGTTAAAAGAAGCTGCCAACCAGTTTTCAAACAAACAAATTTTGTCCCTATGACTTTCCAATAAACCCCTCCTGGGGGCGAACAAGTGCTGATACTTCCTTCGGTAACCATCTACATCAGATCAACTATACAAAACCCAGATGTATACAACTAGATTTCTAGCTAAACAATCACAACTAGAATTATTATAACTTGTGTTTTCGGTCCATGCAAACCAAAATAAACTATTTCTACTCATTTTTTAAAATGTACCAGCAGCAGTTAGCTAAATAAGCTGGGGTTTCCTGGGTGCCGAAGGGGAGCATGGAAAGCAGAGAGCAGAGTCGGTTCTCCTCTTGTCTTAGGTAATTTGGTATAGTTAGTGTTTTCCTTAAAGCGGAGCGAACCGCCACTAGAATCGCTTTCCCCTCTGCGTTTCACTTACACGCCCAGGAAATCCCAGCTATATAGTGTTATTGATGGAATTCGACTGTTAAGCGCTCTACCTCAGCTCGGAAATCTCAGCTCGAGCTTCAGTAGTTATGTTGCGCCATTGAATAGCACAACGAGAAGCGCTTGCAGACGTTTAAATCCTCTCAAATTACTCAGTTACTTTAAAAAAATTTTATCGTCTGATTAAGGTTTCTTACTCGTTAGATAAAAATCTATGACTCATTGATAGATCGATTCGTTTTAATTTTCTTCTAAAAATTCATTTGTATTTGTAAAATGCTTTAGAATAAAGCTTATTTATAGTATTTACCAGTCACTTCCCACTTCAAATTCTACTATTGCCAAAAAATGAAAACGATACAAGCCTACAAAAATATGAAATGAATAAAGTAACATACACATATTTTCAATTAAGCCGACAATGACGGAGATCCTAAACCCTTGCATTAGCGTTCGGTGTACAGGTATAGTGCACCCTCAAAAGCACTGATTCAATTAGGAAACCAATACATACAACACCCTTGACTACTTCAATTTTTTTTAACAGCAACGTACTGCTCAAGCATGTTTTAACTTTTAAGCTAAATATAAATAATGCAGCTTGAGTATAAAATGGAGTCAGATAATATATACGAGTAGATTGCTTCAAATCAGATTTTTTTCATCTTGAATCAGTCATAAAAATCCCATAGTGATCCAATGACAGCTTGATCCAGTTTCTTATAGCCCCTTACTTACTCAGCATTGATCAATTCCCTCATTGGTACTGCAATACTTACTTTGCAAGAAAGTCAACGGTTATGTTTCTGCAGGGATGATTCACTGCGGATCACGGAGATGCATGGACCAGTCGCACATGTGTGACGGAATCAAAGACTGCCCCTGGGGCCAAGACGAGAGGAATTGCAGTAAGTATCAGTTGACCCGTTGACACTTACAGAGTGAGTTTTTAAAATAAACAGAAGAATTCTAGAACCCTTTGAGCTCCAGGGATCAATCAGTGATTTAACTAAGTCTACAGTAGACTCCCTCTTATCCGGACACCTTTTAACCGGACATTGGTTTAACCGGACCACGCTCGGTAGAAGTGACATCTCCTTATCCGGATGATTTTTATCAGCACATCGGTTTAACCGGACTAGATCGCCAGGAAGTGGGCGGTACTGAAACGACTGTTCTCATGGAAAAGATTTGAGACCAGTGATTACGTGTCTAAATACAATAATGCTCTCCTAATTTTAAGTCAAATACTGTATAGAGTATGCATTTAAACGGTCCTTTTTAATGAGATTTTGGGGACGTCGGTTTAACCGGAAAACCCGTTATCCGGACTAGCCTCGGTCCCGAGGAGTCCGGATAAGAGGGAGTCTACTGTATTTTTATTTTTATTTTACGAAAAATAATAATGGAAATTAATTTGTTTTACAATTTCAGTGTGGACACACACTCACACACAGTAAGCAAAAATAAAATGCTCAATTTGAGGTGAAACTTACAAAAAATACATCCATCTTATTTAACTAAATCAACTGTGTATGCCTGTAAAATTCATACCATTCTTGGAGACCAGTGAAATTTTTTCTGACCATTCCCTCACAAAATCTGTGCCTTAGAAATTGTGTTAATTTACTATATAATTATTAAAATGTTATGAAAAACTATGAGGAAATTAAGTCTACCGTACCACCCTAATTGAAAGCCCTAAGTGTGATAGTTTTAGACTGGACTCCAAGGAACAGCACATGTCAAGTGTGTAAGTTTGGTTACATTTATCTTGCGTTTGATATATAATCTTTTGTACGGTAGCTGAGGGAGTTAATTTGTATCCATTATGGTCAGTGAAAGAACACAAGTACTTGTAAGACTGAACATTTATACAATTGTGCTACTTATTAATTTTTTTTTAATACATAATGAGTGATGGCAATACTGTCTGAGCACTTCTAATAAGTCAGAATTTTAAAACATTTGTGTAGCTGTGAGTATTTTTATTATGTTTAGGTGTATGTTATTTTATTATTTAAAAACTGTAACTTGCAGGAACTCATGAGTGAAAAGATTCCCACTTTGGATATCCATAGGTAACTGACAAGGAAGAAATGTTATGTTACTGCACATTTAATTTGATCACTTTTGCACAGGGTCTCGCAGCATGTTTCACAGGCACATTTGTTCAGATCACAGTGTTTTTATCTAAGTGTTGATTTTATTTTCACTAAGACTTTAGCTATAAAGTAGATGGTTGTTTACTTGGTGATGGTTGTTTTGTTGGTTTGTAACACAAGCATTGCCAGAGGTCTTAGAAGGAGTGTATTGCTCAGTTGGCTATAAACTGGCATTTATATTGTACAAACACTTCACCGTTGTATGATCCTCACGGGGCTTCAGATCCCGAGGTCCCGGGATCAAATCCAGCCAATCACCATAGTTTCTATCTATATGTGGTAATGCCGTGACCCTCTAGGACTAGCCTGAAGTTATGTGTCAAACACAACCTAGCGTTCTAGGATGTGAAGGTGGGACAAAAACAACAGATTTTTTGCTATTGACTATCAATAAACTTTTAATGGGATTGAAACAAATGTTTAAAACATACCAAAACTGAACATGTTTAATAAGTTAAAACTAAATAACCGATGGTGGGATGTGCAATTCACAAATAACTCATCTCAATCAAGGTTATTTGACAGATTCAGACAACCTATCAACAACATTTAAGTATCAGTTTGTCTCTGACCGGTGCACAATCAATGGTTTCAATTACGCCAAAGGAGTGTGTGGTAAAATTATAGTAACCATGAAAGAATTATTTTAATCTTTTGAAACAGAATAGTGTAACTGTCCAATTTATGTAATATACAGGGTGGCTGAAAAGTAACTTGCACCCCCCCCCCCTTAACTTTTCAACCATTTGAGATATTTGAAATCTGTTTGCGGCAACCTTCTTAGATATGAGGGGCTACAATAATTATGGTCAGTTTTGAAAATTTTGCCCTTAGGGGTAGTGGTGGTAGGGGGTAGCTCAAAATCTTCAAATGACAAGTATAGTCGAATTTGGTATCATTTTACAGGTCTTGACGAAACATAAATACCCCCGCCGCAGCAAACCTGCAGACTAAGCAAATTTCCATTTGACTGATTGGATTTACACTGAAATGTCTACTTAAAAATATAACATTTATTCCCTATTTAAATAGAATTAGTTTAACAAGTACTTAGGTTTGCTGCATCAGGGAGGGTAAAACTGTTCTTTTTTTGTAAAATGTTAATAGTTAGTAAGAAATAAAAATATTTTTCAAATTTGATCAAAATATGTTCATAAACAAGCAAACTACAACAGTTTACTTATTCTCCATAAGAATAACATAATAACAAAATTGCATTTTGTTATTAACTACACTTGTCATTTGAAAATTTTGAGCTACCCGCTACCACCACTACCCCTAAGGGCAAAATTTTCAAAATTGACCATAATTATTGTAGCCCCTCATATCTAAGAAGGTTGCCGCTAACAGATTTTAAATATCTCAAATGATTGAAAAGTTAAAGGGGGGTGCAAGTTACTTTTCAGCCACCCTGTATACAATAAATTGTTAACCACACACCTGTGTATTGTCTTATCAAAATCTTGAATTATACTTATAGGGGTTTAAAAATATGGCCGAATCATCCATAACACGAAGGGATAATACAGCACCCTTCTAGACCTAACCTAGTTTTATGAGGTAACCATAAATATTATCTCCAAAATGCCAGGGATTTGAATACTGTGCACCAATATCACCGCTAATTATCACACGCTTGTGAGTGTTGGCACAATTGCATGGGTTGAGCACAATCACACAGAATCTGTTAACACTTAACACTTCCTTTTTTCTTTCGCACAAACTATATAAGCAATATCATATTCATAGAAAATAATCTAAACTTGTTTCATAACAAATTAAACTAAACAAAAAAGGTGCCGTATCCAGAAAGAGGGCTTTTAGATGTATAACAGTGTAAAACAAAAAAAAAAGTGTAATCAAAGTTGAAACTTATTTAAGAATTTTAAACAATTAAAATAATTGTATAAAACTTTTGCATGGTTAAGTTCATACGTATAAGTTGATTCTTCCGTAACATCGTATACAGTTATATCAAACTTGTCGTTCAAAATTGTTTAGTGAGAATTTTTTTATGTATTGTGCAGGTTTTAAATTATCAAAGGAAAAGAGACCATCGTACATAAAAACATCATATTAAAACGTTACAGGGTTTGTTTATTTCACGATTCTGTATCAACCGCTTGTTGGATTTTCATGGTTTTTGTGTTAAAAGAAAGCTAATTTTAGGAACTAGGGAATGTCAAGCCATAATTTTAGTTTAGGGTTTCAGTTTTTTAGAAATTAAGCTTTAATTTTGAGAAATCAGCAATTTACTAGCTCAGATGGTCAACAACTAAAAAAATAGCATAACATTTAATATAGGAATAGAAGGTGTAGTTTTGTTCATAGTCGCTAAAAGGCAATTGTTTACTACTTTCACTATTTAGTTTATTTTATTTTGACAATTTCATCTGTTGTATATCTGTGCTGTGTATGTGAAAGTATATAAATTGTACTGATTTAATCCCTCGATTGCAGTAAGACTGAGCGAGAGGATGGGGGACGAGGGCAAAGGCAAGTTGGAAGTGTTTCAGCCCCATCTGCAGAGTTGGAAGCCTGCGTGTACCTCGACGTGGGACCCTGCGACTCCTCGGGCCATCTGTTCCATGTTGGGATACAGGTGAGGTTTTTTTATTATGTCCCCCTTTTCATACTTACTTATTTTATTATGTAGCCACTTGTACCCCAGTCGATACTTGGCTTCATCAACAATCTTGTAGGCTTGGTTCATAACATCCTCCATTCCAAACTTCCTCGTGTTCCTGCAAACCTGTGTATCTTCTCTTGCTTTGAGCCTACCAGCTCTTTTTTGTCTTTGAGAAGATTTCTCAACATCCTTTTTAATATTGTGTTTTCTTTTTTTCCTAAAAATGTACAAAATCAACAAAACATCCGGCTCTTTATCCCTCCCACTAAATATGGATCTCTGATATGTGGCGGTTTTCGTAATTATGTTTGATCATACCCCTCTCATGAACACAAACCCTCCCTCCCAAAGTCATCTGATACAGGGAACTGTTTTTATTAAATTATGAATATTTTGCGTATTAAATAAGAGTTTCTCTTGTTTATGCTTGCGTAACTGATAGTTTTGTAAAGGTTGTTTTTAGTCTGTTACTCTAATATCCTTTGGATTTCTAAGTTTTTGTACTGTATACATTCTTTTAAATTGGTTTCTGTTTTAATATATAGTGTTAATTATTGAAAATAAATCATTATACTTGGAAAGAAAATAAAATTATTATTATTAATTGACTGTGATAAAGTGATGAAGAATGAACATTAAAATAAAGGGTGTGCCAAAAAAAACCTGACAGTTTCTGTTTTGTAATAAGTCAGCTGTTATACAAGCTAGATACCTCATTGTTGTAGTGAACTTGCTTATGTAACTAAATACATCCGATACATACCATTTTTAGGTTATGTTTGGTGAAAAATTACTTCGTCGAAAGAAAGTTACTGTCTAGTGTGGTGTGTGGCACGGTTTGGAGTCATCGGACCATATGTTTTTGAGAACGAAAGGGGGAACACCGTCACTGCAAACTCGGAACGCTATGTGGAAATATTGAAAGGGTTTTTGGTTCCATAACTGCGATTGCTAGTAGGGATAGACATGACCAACACATGGTTTCAACCGGACGACGCAACTTGTCAAACAGCCAATCAGTGACAGTTTTGCGTGAACTCTTTCCCGGTAAAGTGATCTCGTTTGGTGATGTGAGCTTGATCCCCAGACTTAATTTCGTGTGACTGTTGGCTGTGGGGATACTTAAAAAGCAAAGTGTTTGTTTCGAAATTTCGAACCATCCCTGAACACAATCAGTGATCCGGAAGAGATTGATTCTATTCCTTAGGCGAAGGTGACTGCAAATATGAAAAAAATGGGAAACCTGCGTTTCGGAAAAGGTCATCACCTAAGTGATATAATTTTTCATAAATGAAAATGGCATTGTAGTGTGTACAATAAAACATTTTTTAACACATAACATTTTATTTTGTTCTTGAGTTATTTAGTATTAAAAACCGTCAGGCTATACCCATGTAGCACAGATGGTTGGGCCAACGTTGGTAAATTGTGGAGCCACACAGTTGGCCAACGGTAGAAATGTCACCTCTTTAAACTGTTTTCCAGCCAACCATTGTCCAACAATGGCCCAACCATCCAAAAATACTGATGGCCAACTAACCATAACACAACTGATATCCAACCAACCGTTTTATTTCACACAAAATAATAAAGATTTAGTACGAAAAGCATAATTATTAGTTGAGTAAATTGATTAAATAGTTCATAAAAACAAATTTTGAAAAAAAGCTAGAACATAATTTTTTGGCCCAGACGGGTCTCGAACCCGGGTCCTTCGACATGTGAGCCTCTTGCCTTACCACTGAGCTATCTGTGATTGTTGATATAGGTAGAGAGTTTTCAAGTGGTGAAAGATTAGCCGACAGTTGCAATGGTCGCAATACTTAAAAACATTTTTGATACTACACAGTATAATATGATTCTGTTAATCTGTTAAGGCATCATAAGTAGTTATTTTTTTTGGGGGGAGTTAGAGAGGTTACTGGTATTTGAATATAGATTAATTAATTACCGTTAGATTATTAATGCTATTATAATTGACTGTTATATGATTAATTACTCTTTCCCCTTAAATTGTTGCAAATAAGTTAAAGAATATTAATTAAAAAAATATTTTCATTATTATAATTATTAAAATTCATTGTTGTAGCCCCGGAACTGTAATATATAAAATATCTGGTTTTACAATACCTTTATCAGTTCCAAAAACTTTTGGAACTGATAAAGGTATTGTAAAACCAGATATTTTATTATAATTATGTTGTGAAAGCTAGACCCAGAGAATGAAAGTCGTGTAAACTCAACTATGGACCATCGTTGGTCCAACAAAAGTATCTTTTGTTGGTCCAACGGAGTGAAAAACGGTTGGACAACGGTTGGCTTGATGTATGATACCCAGCAATGCATATTAATGTATTTCATTAACAATGAACCAATGTTGGTCCACAGTTGTAAATATTGGTTGGCCCAACTACGAGATATACAGTTGGACAACGGTTGGTTGGTTGTGGAAGCTCCAACCAACCATCCACCAACTGTCCCACAGTTGGCCAACGTTGGCCCAACCATCTGTGCTACATGGGTATTGGCACACCCTGTAAAAGCATTTATAAAGTAAACAAGAATACGCAGATACAATAGGTACAAAACACATTGCTAATTTGAAAATAGATTGTTTGCATTTTTTTAAATCAATTACTGTATATCTCTAAAGTTAATTTTTTTCTTTGGTCATTTCTAGGAATGTAACGTCCAGCAACCTTACAATCAAAGGATCCATCGGCTCCAAACATACTATAAAATATTCAAGCCACACGCTAAAGAGGTATTCAGTGCCAAAAAGAAATCTCAATCTTCTCAAAGAACTTCGTGATTGCAACACTGAAAACTTTGCCCCGATAGAACTAGGCTGTTCTAGTTTTAGTAAGTACAATAATATATTTTAACAAGCTAGATTTAGCAGCCAGCAAATTAATATTTCCTTTCATGGGGTTTTTTAGTATGATGAAGTACGCTGTCCTCTAAATTCATCTTTAGTTTAACCTACATTAATTTTTATTCTAAAACTTGGTAGAATGTTTACACATGAATAGCGTGGATATTTCAATCAATTTTAAAAAACAATACCAAATTCTTATCAGCTTGAAATTCCTCTGACAAATTGTGGTGTTGACAGCGTGTGGTTTGAGACACCAGCTGTTTCAAGAGAAGAAGCAGCTGCGTATCGTAGGAGGCACAGAGGCTAACCCTGGTGATTGGCCGTTCCTTGCAGCGCTACTCGGCGGGCCCGAGCAGATCTTCTATTGCGCTGGTGTCCTCATCTCGGACCAGTGGGTACTCACAGCTTCACACTGCGTTGGCAAGTGAGTAATCAAATACTTTGATAGATATAAATCAAGTATGTGGGCAATGGTGTTATATCATAAATTTGATACTTTGATACACACAAATCAAATTCCTTGGGGTTATAGTCATTTTGTATCATAAAAGTAACATCAATTCAATGCATCACCACGTGGACCACAGGGGGCCATGCTTGTGGACCTCAAGTAAACTTTAACTCTCATAAACCACTCCCCTCCACCCTTTGTCTTTTTTTTATAAACCATCCTCGGTTGAAACTTCTGTCAATACAGTTAGACATTCCATCCCCATGTTAAATTTGTAGCCAGCTTTTTTATCAAAATTGTCGTAGTTGATGTGAGCCACCTACAGATTGCGCTGATCTAAATTACCAAATTCTGCCGAATACACAATCTTTTTAGCCAAGTAAAACTTAGGGAATGACTTATGATGAGTTATAGCAAATATGACCCATCAACCTGGTCAGCAACAAAAAATAGGGTATAAAATAGAATTTTAGACACTAGCGCATTCTGTGACTGGCTCACACAACTACATTCTTTAATAAAAAATTGGCTACAGCTGGTCCATATAGATGGGAAGTCTACAATGGTAAAATATTATAACTTTTTAGTATTATGCGAGTTTTTTTTCTAAATCAAGATTTCCCACTCAGGAGATGCTGCTGTTCTAACTGAAATCATTAATTTCTTTGTACAGTTTCACCCAAGGAGACTTATCAGGCTGGACCATCCAGCTCGGTATCACCAGGAGACACGCTCACTCTTACTTCGGCCAGAAAATGAAGGTCAAGAGAGTCGTACCTCATCCCATGTACAATCAAGGCATTGCTCATGACAATGACGTGGCATTGTTTCAGGTGTGTCTGTATTTGAATGATGACATTATCTTTCTGATGATTTTTACGAATATATTTTACCACCTAAAGATAGATGTTTTTCAATTTCCTTAGGCCTTATCAATCTAGTGTTGCTTGCGACATGCTGAGTTGAATAATAATGATCTTAAATTAATTACTGAGCCAAACCACATCCATATCACAGCCATTTTGATGATCTAATATTATTAATGCATCTAATTACTAATATAATAAGGAAAAGAACACTGAAAACTTCCACTCGTACCTTATGGGTGGAGTGTGCTCTAAAGTATAATTTTCATATTAAGCTGAAATAATTTATAGTTCCCTAACCCCTTAATCCCCCCCTTTACTGAAAAGTTAGAACATATTCTTAAATATCTTAGACTAAGGAAAACTTATCAATTCGGCGATGGAGTCCACCCTTGACCATGGCGCCTACACTCGGAACACGACTCTACTCTGTCTCTGCGCTTCCTACCCCCTCCCCCTTTCTCCAGCAATCAGCTGATCTTTACCGTCTGATGCGTTGCCGCTGTGACGCAAGTGTCACAGGGCTATCAGAATGAACACTAGCAATTTATATGAAAACAATAACATATAACAATTTCCAAATTAGGAACAAAAAATACAATTGCAAGTTTAATATTTGTCATTTTTTCTAGTTGGCAACGAGGGTGACATTTCACGAGCATTTGCTGCCCGTTTGCCTTCCAGAGGCCAACTTTAAGCTGAAGGAAGGTCGGATGTGCACTGTCATTGGCTGGGGAAAGAGAGAAGATAGCGATGGTGAGTTTTACTTAACTCACTCCACCGAGAGCAGCGAGATACTTGTGTAAATCTATGCCTTTAGTCAAAGTCTGAAAGGTTGGAACAAACTAAGATCAGCTGATTATTCAGCTAGGACTATTTATTAATACCCCTGCCGCAGGAAACCTGCAGACTAAGCAAATCACCATTCGAATTCTTACTCAAATATTTCCTTTAACATGTTGATTTATTCCATATTTAAATAGCATTAGGTTCAAAAAGAGGTTTGCTGCTGCAGGGAAGGAAAACAGTGTTTTTTCATGTCAATGGTATATGTAGTATGAAATGAATAAATCTGCTATATTTGATCAAAAGATAGCCATAAACAAGCAAACTACAATGATTTACTTTGTATTTTCTCCATAAGAATAACATGGGATTTTTAAATATACAGTTTTTTTATATTTTCTCTGTAACCTTTGATCTACAACAAGGTCATAATTTTGCACAAGGCAAATCATTCGATTCTGCATCCATATTTCACTCATATTTGGGTAAAAATATGTCCCGTTGCATCCATGTCTCAATTGGTAATAATTAAGACCTGCCAAAAAAACCTGTAAGGACATGTAAAGTTACCAAAACCTAACTCACCAGACCGAGTCATCAGAAACCAGATCAGATCGGGATCAGATTCCAGATCCCGAACCTTTGTGTATTGTTTTTTACCATCGTGATGGAAAATGTCCGCAATAAACCTTTGAACAACACTACACCAGCCTCTGATCATATTCCTGTGTCAGTATCAGAGTATGAAGCAGCAGTCAATGAGGTACAAGTCCCCATCCTGAACCGTGATCTCTGCAACAGCTGGCTGGAGCATCGAGACCTCAACGTCACCCAAGGGATGATCTGTGCTGGATACGCAGAGGGAGGGAAAGATGCTTGTCAGGTAGCAAATACAATCAAGTCTATTATTTCTTCAATGTGTTGTTTGACTCTGATTAGATGTCTTCTGATAACGGATACAGGCTACTTACACTTTGGCAGGAAATATTTCTCTGAATGTTACATATTTATTTATGATTATTTGAGGGTTATTCAGCCTTTGTACATACATTTATTTTAAATACATTGACGAGTCTAAATCATGCAAAGCTTGTGTAATAATATTTTAATTTGGTCTTTTCTCACTACTCTCTCTTCAATACTTCATCATCCCTCTCCCATGTGTGCTTAAGGCTACAGTAAAAATTTGCAATCTTTTGGTTATTTGTTTGTTAAAATATTCATTGCAATGGTGGTATTGGTGTTATACTCTGCTCGTTATTACTGATGTACTAAATTGATTATAGCAATGTCCAATCTTGGTTTTTAGGAGATGACTGAGCCATTGAAATGGTGAACCGGTGAACTTTTACTGGATCAGTATTTACACCATTTCAACTAATGCATCGGATCATCTCCTGAAGACTAATTGTTGACAATTTTCTTTGACTGTTGAAGCCTATCCTTTTGTTTATAGTAAAGTTAACTTTTTCTTGGCAGGGAGACAGTGGCGGGCCACTGTTGTGCATGACGGACGATCGCTCTCCGCGCTGGTTTGTTGGAGGGATCGTCAGCTGGGGCATTAAATGTGCTCATCCACACCTGCCTGGCGTCTACGCCTACGTGCCTCGCTACGTCCCGTGGATCAAACAGCAGATGGCGCTCTACTCTGATAAATAATGTTTAGGCTTTGACTGTGTTGTAGTCTAAGAGAAGTGAGGGAATCAGAGAGTGCTCTATGCATGATCTAACGGTTCGGTCAAGTAGTAGTCGAGTGACTTTGAGTTACTAGCAAAGACATATTTGATTAACTGTTTTAAGGACCTCTGGTTTCCTCACTTGTATAGGCAGTAGCTCTAAATTAAATTCCCAGATAACATAGTAAACTTACTAGTGGTAACTAGTAAAAACTGGTATACAGGGAGTTCAACAGGAATGTTTGACTAGAAAAATTGATATGTATCAAATATAGCCCCTGGCATGTGTTATATGACTGATATAGGCTATTTACCTTGTTAGCATGATTATTCACTACATATTGTTTAGCCACTTGTATAAAGTGACACATATATGTAGTGCTGAATAAACAAGCTAAGAAACTTTTGAGACAAGGTTAATAGCCTATATTAGTGATAGGAGTAATTTCAGCTAAACTAATGTAAATGGCCCGAAGATCACATGGAATAATTTAATTTAAGGATTGAGAAAATTATTCAAAATTTTGCTTGTCAGATCCAAACAGGAACTATCTTGGAACAGTGAACAGTATTTCTATAAGTTTAAAACCAAGCAATCATTTTTAAATTTAAAATTATATCAGTACCTATTTATTTACTAATTTCTATTTGTCACTGTTCTACAGTAAGGAAATATTAGGGATTGTGATTTGAAATTTAGCTTTACTAATGGCACTTGTGATTGTAACAAGCAAAAACAGCAGCTAGTGAAAAAGTAGCACACTACATTGAATGCGTACTTGGAAAACATACAAAGTAACTGTGCATCAGCATTGTAGTCAGGGATTCACTGTTTCCCAAGTCAAATCCACAACAAAATAGTGACATTTAATTCCCCATGCCAAACTATAGAACTTGAATTTTGACTTAAGTCTTACTTAGTGCTTCATAGAACCACCACTCACTTAAATAAACAATAGATTAAATAATTTTAGATAACAAAAATACCTAAAATGGTTTTTAAAATTTCATTAAAGTCATATACTTAAAAGGTTTAGCTCCAAAGAGGAAATATCATTACTAAAATGAACAGTTTTGGGTTTTAATCGGAATATAAGCATCATAAATACATATCTGTTGTTAGTTTGAAAAAACATATCTTTCCCAAAGTGAAAATTGTATATCAGTAAAATCTAACCAGTGTGAGGTTTTTGAGTGTTTTCAAGTATTTTATAATAGTAAAACTGAATTATTAGTAGTAAATAACCCACATCCCCTTAAGGGACTGAGACATATCCAAATAGTTCAACTTTGATTAGTTTCTCAACACTATTAATTAAGATGATTACTTCCTAATTTTTGTACAAATTCTCTAGATACAAAAACTCAAACTTGCAGATAAAGTAAAATTCATATCTAATTTTGAAATATTTTTTTACTTAACACTTCACTGAAGTCAGCCTTAGAGTAGCTTCTGAAACACTCATATCAATTAACCAAGTCAAATGTTTTACATCAGTTTACTAATCACTTATGACTTGGATTTAATCAGGGTTGGACACACTGTTTTTGTTCTAACAGATTCTGTTTGTTAGGTTAAAGAATCTCAAGTACAGTAGTTGTTTTTTTTTGTTTCATGATATTTTTTAATCTCATAACCAGGTTTAGTAAGTCTGTGATTGTGAGCCAAGGAGGGTTCAATAGTTAACTAAGGTTGAGATTGTAGGGATGGTTTACATTTCAGGATCAATAATACTATCATTATTGGTTAAAGTAGTCAATTATCCAAATATCAATCTGTACCAAGAATTTAATTTTTGTAATTTGCTTAAGAAACAAAGCATTAAATAGCTATATGATAGTTGTTATCATATAGTAATTATATATTAAATTCAGGGTTGTTACTTGTAATGTAAATATGGAATATATATCTGGAGAAAAAATGAAAAGAAGATAATTAATTATTGAATAAAACAATCTATACAATCATGAATCTGTAAATAATCAATAGTAAGTATGAGTCTGCTCCTCAAAGTCTTTCGTGTTTGTATGTAGACGCTATATATTTACTCAAAATTTACGTTTCTCCGATCGACATCGGAAGATATATTCTTCTACCTGACAGCATATCACCTACTTAGACAATGATGAGAATCGATTCATTCGTTGATGAGTCGAATTTTGTAATCGTATTTGTATATTCTAAACGCCTTTGAAAATTATTTTGAATATTATCTGATCTCTTTATTTATTACAAAGAAAATTACTACAAAAGCTCAAATAATTTAGTGAACTTAGATGGTATAAACGGTTGTGTATACATCAATAAATCAATATAAATTGTGATATATATTTACACTAGTATTTATACATTACTGCATATACACGATTTATATTGAATAAATCTATTAGCTAAGCTTGTAAACGTATTAGCTTAGATTAGGTTAAGTGTAATGTAAGACAATAATATGTGCTATAGAAGCTTTGCGGGCGACTGCCCTGACAATAATGAGGTGTGTAGTGTGTATGGTCCTACCATTCAATATCAGCTGCAACCACTACAGCAGAAAAAAGTTAGTTCTGATTCAAAATGTATAATCAGCATCAGCATAGACTCAGGTTAACAGAGGTGTGGATGGAAAAGTGTCTTAGAAAAATATCTCAGTTGAAGATCACAAATTTGGGTTCTGGGTTACTTTTTTGTTATTCATAGTTAAGTTATCGTATCCAAAATAAGTTCCCACATCAACAAATAATAGAATTTATTTTCAACACTAAAAATGTTTATTTGTTTTGTTTTTTTTTGTTATTATCATACCAGTAATTTAGTTTTAACTTGTACAAATATTTTAATGTAATTTTTTCTTCTTTCTAATTAATTTCAAACTAATTTGTTCTGAATTTGAAACCACCTTGGCACCATCAGTCAAACAAGGATATCTGGTCTATCAACTGCTCTATAACATTCCAAAGAAAAGTGTGATTTTGTAGAATAGCTAATTGTCACTTGGTATAGTGGCCTGCCAAGTGTGGTAATTACAGCTGAATGGTGGCACCAAACACATGTTATTCCCCCCCCCTCCCTTAGTACCTCCTCATTAGTTAATGTTGTGTGGTTGGCACTATGTTGTTATTGTAACAAATGCTGATTAATTTTAAATCCCCCGCATTTCTTTTCTTGTTCCGAGAAATTCTAGGGTAAATATCTCTCGGTAATCATCTAGCTCGACTAACATCTTCCAAGTAGACAATACATTTAAGTACAAGACACTGAATAAGCATTTTAAAGAGGTTAGGCTAAGTTTAGTAAAATAAGTATTATTATATTTTAGAGTATTTTAAATGTATATAATACAGATTCTTGTTTGAGATATTTAATTCAAAGATTGTATTTTCATACATTTTTAAATAGACCTATTGTATACTGGTTTACAAAAAGAGATAGTATTGTTGTGGCAATGTCGCTTGTTGTATATCATTCATCGTGATCTATAAACTTACGGAAAAGTATTTTTGTAATTTTCCTTGAATAGGAGAGGATTGTCCTTTTAGAAAATAGGCAAGTTGTTGAAGTTGAATACATTCTTGAACTATTCTCGATATAAGAATGTCTTGTGGCTATTTTCTAAAACAAAACTAATATTGATACATCTTTGAAACTTGTGATCTACCATTTCACTAATCTCCATAACTGATCAAATGTCACTGTTTGCTTCTTAAAAAAATAATACTTTCTACATCCAACATGTAAGAAATTCCTTTTGTTATGTTAAGTAATATTTTGTTATAAATTTATCAAAAGTATGTAGGGAAGGATGATTTTAAAGTTTGTGGAAGAAAAAAAATCTTCAATGTGTATAGCGTATAGCTCACTTGTTACTGAATTTTTATGTGATTGGCCTTATGGAAAAACACTAAAATAGACAAATTGTCTAACCTTTGATTTTTCACAATAATCTTATCAGTTTGTAGGACTTTGAGATCGTTGTAATAAAAGTTAAATTACTTTGTGTGACGACAAGGTACTACATAACTTTCTGAAAATTGTTTCTTTATGTAGTTTATCATTCATTGATCTTCAGTTCATTAGAAAAGAGAGTTGTACTAACCATAACCAGTTAATAATGTTAATGTTGTGACATTAGACATTACTATCACGGAAAGTATTTTAACTATTTCAAAGTACCTTAAAAAAATGACATTTTCACAAATCTAGATCAAAATAGATCAATTCTAATCTTTACAAATGGTGAGCTATATATGCTTCATTTAGAAACTATTGAGTTAAATAATTTTCAATGTAAAATATTAGTCAGCAATTAAATTAGTAAGCTAAATTTAAGTACTCATACCTGATTTAGAGCTTGTTTTAGGAATTACAATAGATAACCTCTTAACCGGTCACTTAGGAACCGAGACCGTGACTGGAAAACGATTTGGTTAGTTGAATCAAAGTTCCGGTAAACTCTTAAAAAATTATAACTTGCAGTAGGCTGTGTGTTTATGTTTATACTTTGTTGAGTGAAAGCAATGTTTGATCTGTTAAGTACTTCTTGATTAGCATTTTAAATTATGGTGCTGTTGTACGTATATAATAAAATAAGTCTTTTAACACTTTTTGATATATCTAAATTTGTAGTGAACTGTTAAAATTTGATTGTATGGATTTACCATAGTATAAATATTGACGGCATAAGTGTAGATGTGTCAAAAAGTGGCAGAAGCCAATTTCAATTATATGTGCTAAGCAAAACCTGACGAGTTAAGAGTAATAGTCTATTAAATTGAGCTTTCCTCAAAGAGTATGCGTATCTAAACATCAACTGGTTAAGAGGGTATCTACTGTGATCAACTTTCTGCTTTCCAATTTGACAGCAATCTCGGCTTACCTTTCTGTTTGACAATAAATGTTATTGTAAGTGTCAGTAAGTCTTACAGTAAAACTGTCAAGCTTAGAAATAAATGTAAAAATGGTAGAATTAACGCACAATTAACTAAACATAAGTTAATTATGGATATCCTCAGAGAGTAAAAAATCTAGATCACTGTGTCGTTTAGAATAGCTTAGATGCTTCTATACTTAGCAGCTGTCTAGAAGTGTGAAGTGTGTGTAATGTGACTAGACGTCACACTACACACTCTCCCATCGTCCGCGCTACCACGGTGTACTGCGTTGTTACTGAGCTTGGAATCTAAGGTAATTAAATGCCTTACATGTTGCCCACAAACGGTGTTGTTCATTACATTTCCTTCTCTTTTCTTGTTTTACACAATCTAGATGGTAGGCTCTCTCAAAGTAGAGTCACATCTTGGTCATAAGGAATTGACTGGGATGAATGTGTTGTTGAATTGGTAAAAATACCGTCAGACACTTCAGAAAACAGAGAATAAAATAACTGATGTAAAAAGTATGTTTAAGAATTAAATCTTTTGAAGCATGCGTTTTATAATTATGTTAACAGTATATAAAATTATAATAAGAATACTTAGAAGCCATCATCCCAAGCAATTCTTGATAACTGTGTACCATGCTCTGTTTCATAGCCATCTTATGTACGGCTTGGTACTTTGGGGTCATTCACCAGCAGCACAGGACATATTATTGCTCCAGAAAAAAGCTGTAAGAATCATAATGTCAGCCGACTACAACGAACATTGTAGGCCCCTTTTTAAAGATCTGGGCATTCTTACAGTCTTCAGTCAATATGCATTGAACATCCTAATACTCCTGAAAGAGAATGTCCATCTGTTTGACCGAAGAGAAGTTCACCACCGCTATGACACCCGGCAAGCACTACACCTTGACATGCCGCGTTGTCGTCTCACCCGCACCCTCAAGAGCTATCCCCGCTATGCCATACGGCTTTTTAATACCTTGCCGGATAAGATGCGGGATATGGAAATCACCTCTTTCAAAGCGGTCATCAGAAATAGCTTGGTAGATAGGCCACTGTACTCGCTGGAGGAGCTGAGTAAAGAACCCCTAAAAGTTATATAAAAGCCCTTCATTAAAAATGGGGAACTTGTTTTATTTACCGCCACAGCCTGTTTAAGCTTTATTGTTCATATGTATGTAAATAGTAGTGTTTATTCTTAAATGTATATAATAACATAATAACGCAGTCTATCCGACATTGTCGGTCAACGACGCAGCACACAAGTATCAAGTATCAAGTAAGTAGTGTTGAGAATCAACAAAAAAGTAAAAATGCCATTACTGAAAGAGTAAAATATATAGTGATAAAGGTGCTTTCAGCTAGGCACAGGTCACGACGTGAGGGGTAGCAGATGTATACAGGGAGTTTTACTGACAGACTGTGTAGTATACAGTGTACATAAACAAAGGGAAAGTACAGTAACGTGCTTGTGTAAAACAGAGAGCCGTTGAGGGCAGCACGCACCTGCCAAGGTATATACAGTCATACCTCAAGGATATAACGCAATCTTACAATGCTCCACATACAGCATGGAAGGTTTAGATAATTGAAAATCGTATAATAGACTCTACTGTAAACAATAGGCAGTAAAAAGATACAAAAAAACTGAGGTTTTTTACTGAGTAGGAAGCAGGCTAGAGAAAATATAAACAAACATTTTAGTAAAAAATTTATTTCATAAATTAAGATCAATTTTGACGAACATTTCAGCTAATTATTTAAAATAACAATATTTTGATTAGTTTATTAGTTTATTGATAGATATACAAGTTGGAAAAAAAACCTGGGACGGTTAAATACTAAAAAAATAATCAAGATAGAGCTACAAAACTTGGTAAGTTACTGGGCATTAAAATCATTTTCACATTATTTAGTGATACACTTCCCTCTCAGCGGGAGTCAGATACAAATCTTAAATCAAGAAGTTATTTAAATCTTAAATGTAAGCATAGGTTGACATGTACATTAAGTTAAATTCCTTTTAGCAGAGTACATTGCAATGAATTTTGAACTCAAACATGTTCAGAGATGCCATATTTAATCTTTGAACGGCTGCCATTTCCTACTCAGTTGTTCTTATGAGATCAAATTTGTGGCATTTTATTCTACTAATAAAGACCTTTAATTTTATGTGCATATCAACCTATGCTTACATTTATGATTTTCTTCCGACCTCAAACGGGCCCCCCCCCCCCCCTGAAGAAGTAGCGTATTATAGCATTGCAAATTCAATGAATCTTTGAACAGCTATCATTTTTGACTCAGATGTCTGTGTGAGTTCAGGTTTGTGGTTAAAAACCTATGTTTTGATGTGCATATCAACCTATGCTTACATTTAAGATTCTCATCTGACTCCTAGCGGGCCGTATTCCTGAGCAGGTAGCACATCACTGAATAATGTTTTCAATGATTTTTATGCTCAGTAACTTTGTACAAAGTTTTATAGCTCTATCTTAATTATTTTATGAAATATTTAACTGTCACGGGACTTTTTTTCCACCCTGTACTAATCCAAGGACTTATAATGTTATTTCAATATAATAATCTGTTACAAAATTAAGATATTAAAAACTAATGGGTAATGGTAACTAGTAATTAACATTCTCAGTTTAACCCTTTGCAGTCGAATGGCGAATATAGGTCGCCGCCCGCCATTTTGCCGAATGCTAAAAAATGGCGACCAACAAGGACAAAAAAAAAAAAAATACTCAAAAATCAAAAAAGTTAATTTTTTGGTCGAATGGCGAGTATAGGTCGCTGGGCGCCATTTTCCTGACTGCTTAAATGGCAAGCTAAATTCACTGGAAAAGGTGGAAAAAATTCGACCTCAAAGAGTTAAAATATCAGTGCCTACATGGATAAACATATTTAAAATGTTAAGTGTTAAAGAAGCTTACCACTGTGTACCGAAAATTATTTTTCCTAACATCGATGTTTATAAAAATAGTTACTCCAAAGATAACTAACTCATTTTGAACGCACATTAACATTTACAAAACAAATCTGAGCAGTGTAGCATTACCCTTCTGTAGGTTAAGATAAACCTAGTGAACACAGAATAAAAATAGAAGGGCCATGCGCTGTATACAACTCTAGGATAGTCGCCAGTTCCGCCATCTTTGTGGCGGCATCAAGTTGAAAGTAGTGCTCAGAAACAGAGAATTTTGTAGTGCACGCTTTTCATTAACACTGCTGTTTGACATACTTAGAGTCAATGCTAATGGTGTCGTTAAAAGTATTAATTTAAACTTCAATGCAATCTTAATACCTAATTTAAGTTGACTGTTTGCAGTGATTTGTTATTTATATTCAGCCTTACTATTCCACGGATTGACTCTTCTCTTCTTTTAGTTTCTTTTATTTTAGATTGAATATTAATAAACAATATGTCAGAGTAAGGTCGTAACTGTATTTATTTAACAACCAATATATAATGAACACAACTTTGTAAGATTTTTGCAAAATTAAGGAATGAGTAAAGATATTTTACAAACTAAATAAGGAATAAAAACATAACAGCGTAACTAAGCTGTCAGTCTCATTGACCTAAAAATATTATGGTTTTGCAAAGTTGATTTCTTATTTTTGTTACATGCAAAGAATCATTGTAAAGCTTTGAATAGCGGTGCAATCTTACAGTGAAGTATCTTTTACAAAAAGCTTTTATTAAAAGAAGTATGTGGCTATGTTCAGGTTCCATTTAAGAAAAAATGCTCTCCTGTTTTGAGGCGTGAAACGTACAGTTTAACGTAAAACATATAACAAACAGGGTGTATGTACTATGCCAACAAACACGGTGCGCGATACTGAACTGACTGGAATGGGCGAGGTGAGCGTGCACCACTACAGTGACTCATCCACAGCGGACGCCATCTTGGTGGCGGCAGCATTATAAAAGTAGCGACAGCTTTTGTCTTGAGTGACCCTTCTATTTTTATTCTGTGTTCACTGGTTAAACCCCTCTGACTGACCAAAAAGTAACTGAGAGAACGAATATTTTCTCTCTATTAAGCTGGGAACCTTGTTTGGTCTTGGTAGCCAATTTTCTCATACATGCCACAAATAAAACCACATTTTACAGAAAATATAAAACTTAACCTACTACACGGTTACTACTACTTTATATAAAATCACAAACATTGTCTTAAAAATATTTTTACCTAAGAGTTTAATATAAATACAAAATTGTTTCAATTATAAATATATATATAATTTTTGTACTTACATTGTTTTAACAATATTCTCTAGGACTAGCTAAACCTTAATCATGATGATTATCAAATATATGAATCTACAAAGGTATTTTGTCTAAGTTTGCAAATAAAGGACTAGAGATATGCAGCAATCTGCATAAAAACTCCCACAAACTTCAGGACATTATTTGTGTATCCTCCATTCACGTCCAAATCAAAACTATAGAATTTAAAATGTCTCAAAAATGTACAACAGTGAATGAATGATTTAAAATTAAGTTTTAGATCAGAAACAAAGAAGACAGGCTCTAATGGTCATTGCTGTTGGTTAGTGTATATGTTAGGCATGTTTTCTCCAAATTTGCTCTGGTACGCAGCATTTTTGGCTTCGTACAGGATCTGTAAGAATATGTGGAATTTTGTAAGTTTTATATTTTACCTTTTACACTCAAGTTAGTTTGTCATACTGACCACATCATTGATGTAAACAGTGCAAAATTTAAATATCAGCTATATCTGCCACTTATGTGGTCTGTACAGTAGACTCCCTCTTATCCGGACACCTTTTAACCGGACATCGGTTTAACCGGACTACACTCGGCGGAAATGACTTTTCTTTGACCGGACAATTTTTATCAGCACATTGGTTTAACCGGATTAGATCGGCTGAAAGTGGGCAGTACTGAAACGACTGTTGTTGTAAGAAAGATGTGAGACCAGAGATCACGTGTCTAAATACAATGCTCTCTTAAATTGAAGTCAAATATTTGGGCTAGTTTTCGAGTGATTCCCAAATTTTGATACGTCGATTTAACCGGAAAAACCGTTATCCGGACTGGCCTCGGTCCCGAGGAGTCCGGATAAGAGGTAGTCTACTGTACCACCAATTTTGACACAAACCATCAAACAAGGTAGCTTTATCCCACCAGCTAGGAATTATTTTAGTTTAGAAATTTCTCTCAAGGAATCATGCTTGCCAAACTGCAGTGAATACCCAATTAATGCTTAGTAGAGAAGTAATATTTGATACAGCTCAAAATTTGTATTAAGTTTGGCGGGTTTTATTTATTTAGGGGTAATAAATTGTATATTTTTAAAAGGGCTGATACTTGTTTACAGTGTGCTGCAGCAGTTAGGTTAGGTATTGTTAGGTTATTTTAGTTTGGTTAGGATAAGTTCATGATAAATAAAAAATACCCCCGCCGCAGCAAACCTGACGACTAAGCGAATTTCCAGTTGCCTGAATTGATTTTCAATTAAATGTATTTAATTAACATAAATTTTTATGAGTACATAGGCTTGCTGCTACAGGGAGGGTAAAAAGTGTGTTTTTTAGAGAAATATTAATAACTTAGTATAAAATAAATAAATTTACCAAGTTCGATCAAAATATATCCATAAACAAGCAGACTACAACATTTTACAATATTCCCCATAAGAATAACATGGGAATTTTAAAATAACAATTATTTGAATTTTCTCCGTAACTAATACTATCCCCGCCGCAGCAAACCTGCCGACTAAGCGAATTTCCATTTGTCCGAATTGATTTTCAGTTAAATATATTTTAATAACATTAGGTTTAACGAGTACCTAGGTTTGCTGCTACAAGGAAACTAATAAAGTGTGTTTTTGAGTAAAATATTGATAGCTTAGTACAAAATAAATAAATTTGCCAAGTTTGATCGAAATATATCCATAAACAAGCAAACTACAACATTTGACAATATTCTCCATAACAATAACATGGGAATTTTAAATTTTGAATTTTTTCAATTTTCTCTGTTACTAATAATCGAACAAAAATACTTTTATATACTAAATTATTTGTTTTTTTAAGCTCTTTAAAAAGGTCTAAAGAGAAATCGGGAAATTTTGTGTTTTGAGGGTCAAAAGTGAGAAAAACCTATTTTTACCCCATAAAACCCCCCGTAAAGCCCCGTTCCCATGGTCCGATCGTGCTGGTTCGCGAACTCATTCAAGTTTATCCCGCTTTACACCTTTAAACCAAATTTCATCAAAATCGGACAAAAATTACTCAAGTTATCGCGTTCACAGACGTATATATATATATATATATATATACATATATAAAAATTTGAACGAATGGTGTTTTTGGCCTCTGGGGACATCAAAATGAAAAAGTAAATCGGTCCCGGGTCTAGGTCTTACCGTGCCTCCTTCGGTAATAGCTACTTCCCTATAGGGTAATTCGCTAAAAGTACAAAAACACTTTGATATACTAAATTATTTGTTTTTTTAAGCTCTTTAAGGAGGTCTGAAGAGAAATTGGGAAATGTTGCGTTTGGAGGGTCAAAAATTAGAAAAACCAATTTTTACCCCATAAAACCCCCCGTAAAACCCTGTTCCCATGGTCCGATCATGCTGGTTTGCGAACTCATTCAAGTTTATCCCGCTTTACACCTTCAAACCAAATTTCATCAAAATCGGATAAAAATTACTCAAGTTATCGTGTTCACGGACACATATATATATATATATATATATACATATATAAAAATTTGAACGAATGGTGTTTCTGGCCTCTGGGGACATCAAAATGAAAAAGTAAATCGGTCCCAGGCCTAGGTCTTACCATGCCACCTACGGTAATAGCTACTTCCCTATAGGGAAATTCGCTAAAAGGTAACATTTACAAAATAAATGCATTTGTGTAGTTGACAAAAGAGATAAATTTTACCATATTTGTCATTATCATAAGCTAACCAACCAATCCAACCTAACTGCCAGAGCACACTGTAAAAAAGTGGCGCCCCTCTTCTTGAAAAGACCTAAAATATCAAATAAAAATATAATATTATTTATATTTCCATTTAATAAGTGCCTGTATTATTCGGCACACAACTAGCATATAAGGTCTGCCAAGTAGTGTGTTTTTGATAGCATTTTTGGACCACATACATGAAGGAGTTGAGCTACATGAAATGCAGACTTTAGACCAAACAGCACTTATACTTTGTATGCAAATAATAGTCTTCTGTATGCCTTCTGTCTTCTGTCGATCAAATCAGCAAAAAAATGGATTATGTGGAGAAGCTGTATACTCTTTATAGGTAATTATACTTTGAAAGTTACGTGCCCATAACTCATACGAAACTTTATGAATAAACCGATTGTAAACGATCAAATTCACATAAGTAAAAAATGAGAGCAGAATTATTCTACTTACCGGGCTCTCAATATAAGAGTCGCAAGAGTAGCACCAGACTGAGAGGTCCTGATAGCCCAGGACTATTGGATGAGACAACTCTAGCGAATGCAGCATCATGTGTTCCTTAATAACTCTACCACAGTGGACCTGGAAACACATCTACTGTTACAACTAGGCAAACATTTTACACAACGTGCCTAAGTACCTACATTAGTAAAAAGTACAAACCAAATCATTATGTTGATGAAAAGTCAGTTATTCATTTATTTTAATTTTATCTTTGTATGATATTGATAATTTAACTATGGATAACCTGATACTTTAAGAGTACGGAATTAGATTACTGAAATTGTCGGTTACCTCAAATAATATTGAGTCTAGCTTATCAGCTGAAAAAAACTATTTTGAACACTTGACGTCAAATTCAACTATTAGGGGTTTCTCTTTCTTCCACTAAGGAATTTGAGAAAATTGCATCAATAAAAAATACAGTAACAGTACAAACATCAATCAATGACTCATTAAGCGGGATTATTATTGAGTACCAACTGTAAATCTTCAATCAAATAAAAAATTAAATCATTTTTTAGCCTAATTTTCTACTCACAGTGTAGCAAGTTAAACAAATCCAGTTCTCGACAGTGGCGCAAGGGTCGTCCCCGCACTCCACGCAGGGATCTGACGTGTTCAGTCCTGTGGCCGGAACAGCTGTCACAGCACCTTCTACATGAGGACAGTCATGGCGGGGGTGTATAGCAAACCCCTCGTCCATACCTAGCTCCTGCAATGTACACACAAAACCTTGCTACATTGCCTTTTAGATACCAACACACCATGGTGCATAATCTAAGGTGAAGGATAAGTGTTGAATGAAGAGATGATAGCTTTGTTTCTAGACTAAAATCAGCTTGTCTTTAGGCAGAAACTTGTATTCAAACCCTGATCCAGCACAGCTGGGACCAGTTATCAACCATCAAGGACCTACTGACCGTTCTCACCACTGAACCAGCTACCTATAGATTATTAGGTGAACATTACACCTATTCGGCTAGGAAGCTATATAGTCCATGTTGTGAGATGGTAGTTCTGTCTGGTTTTTTTTTCAATAAATGTCCTCAACGCAAACATTGTTTGGTTGAAAAAGCTATTAAGCGTCAGAGAAGTATTCCATTGTTGTTTAAGTGTACAGTTTTTATTTTTTTCTACCAGGAGAGTCCCCCCCATTCAGGTATCTGCTATTCCAATAAAATTCCACATCTAAGCTCTTGTGTCCTATGTTACATTGATAAAACATGTACCTATGCTTATACATCCTAGGGCCATAAATAAGGCCTATATAATTTCAAGTTTTTGATAAAAAAAAACATTCTTAAATTATTCAATACAGATATGAGGTTGAGTTACATACATCCAACTTTGCAAACTAGTTTTAACTTGTGCGCGAAGTTGAAAGCTAAAAAAATATAAAACTATTTATTTATTCTGCACTCTATAGGCATATAATAGCCTATTAAAAATAACAGACTGCTCAGGAGATAATAATCAAATATATTAGAAAAACTATTAAGTATTAACATTAACAAAAGGTCTGGAGAATGATTTGGCTAACTTATGATGAATAATAAAATTGTTACTGTTACTAAGAAAATATTAAACTTTTTCATCAACATACCTGCAAGATACTGTCTATTGTGGTGGTGATTTTAAGAGTGAAACCACTCGCATTTGCAGAACCTTGTGAAGAACCAGGTTTACAATCCTCTACAGGAGGGTGTGTTGAATCGGACGATTTTTCCCCACTCGGAGTTTCTTTTTCTCCCACCTTTCCCTCTACATCTCTCTGTTCATCTTCGATTGAAACTTTTGTTATACCTTCGCAAATGTCTTCAATATTGTCTGGAAATTTATCAACACCGTCGGCAGTTTTTTCAACGCCCTCTTTGAGGACATCTTCCTTGGGGAAGCTTTTGTTGAAGACGGCCGACCAGTGGTTCTTCTGGATGTCAAGGACTGTCCGTAGGTCTACAGCAGCTGAGGGTTTCCATGGAGGCAGACTGACTGGGGGACTAGGGTCTCCTAGAAGAGCCTTAGTACACAGAGTCATGGAGTAGGCAATGGAAGTCAGGTTGTAGCCTCCCTCTAGACAGATGATCACTCGGCCCTGAGCCAGCGGGGACAACCACGAGGTGAACAGAGCGTACGCCTCTGGGGCCACTTTACATCCTGGACAACATTACACGTGTGATACTGTACACTCAACACTCAAACTGTACATTCTAGAAATCATTGTCTACCTAGAGAAGAAGTTGTTGTTCCAAGAGGCTGTCCCAGAAATTTTTTCCAATGACCAATTTAAGTGTTCAGTCTCCAGACTGTTTTCCGGCTAACGGCAAAATGAAATATTCAATGTAATTTGATTTGACTTGAAGAGTACATGTAACTTATCGTCTTATGGGATTAATTTTCACATACATAAAAAATATTTTAAACGACCAGGATTTTGTAAAAAAAGTCTTCTGTATTTGGAACATTGTGCTACAAAGAATTAGGAGTATGTACTAAACACTACTTTTAATCTTCAATGTAAAAATCATCTTCTTTTATTGTACCTGTCATTGACTCTAAAATGAAAAAAAAAAAAATTTCTACTTTTTGATACAAAAGTGTTTAGATCAGCCGCAACAGCAGTATTAGGAGGCATGTTAACAAGGCTCCTGTTTATTCCTTGAAATTAATGGAATACACACTCTGATATTGCTAAAAGTAGACCTCCCTTTTATGTCTTTTGTACCATTTTGGAAACATAAGTGACATAAATGCAACATTAAGGTTATATTTACCTCCCAAAGGATCATTGATGGCAGCATCAAACCCAGCAGAGACCAGGACTAGTTGAGGAGCAAACTGGTAGGCGATCGGCATCACTACTTGCTGGAACGCCATCACGTATTCTGCATTGCCCATCCCCTTCTAAACACAACACCAAACATCTCATTCAACCTTGGTGTTCCATCTGCTAATGCTGTTGTGGTATTGTTATCAGCAGCATATTCTTAAGCGAAATAGAATTTTGAGTATCCAAAAAAATACCTCTAATTAGTTAACGAAAATCACAATTGGATGCAGGCTAACCTAGAGCCTACCCTGATCTGCCGTGAAATTCAAACTCTGCTACGAAACAATCTTAACTCTCAGATTAAACTTAGATTGTTAATGCTCTAAACCTGAGGAATCGAAACCTAGAAACTTGACTAAATGCTTTAACATTTAAAATCGTTGAAAGCATGCTTAAGAATCTTGTTTTAACAACATACGGTCACTAAAAACCTGACTGTGTCTATTGCATGATTTTGAATGCCAAATAGCTGTAAATGATGATTTTTATGAATAATTCAAATTAGGAAAGAAAAGAGAGTAGGAGGAGATATAAATCTAAAAAAAAACTTAAACGTCCTGTTCTGAACCTAAAGCTATTCTCGGGCTCTTGATCCCACAGCATACACTAAGAAGATCATTAATTGCTCTCCCCTTTCTTAAAGAAACAGCTTTCTGCAGATGAACACAACTAGTTACTGTTTTTCAACACTTACAGTCTACTAGCACATCACACAACCCTCTACAAAAACAGCTAGCAATGGTAAATTTCAACCAACCTGGTTCCAAGGTATATTGACGTTGAACCCGACACCATCTCCATCACCTACAACAGTGGCCGCAGCGTCTTCAGAGCTTGGAAAGAACGTGCCACGATCATACCTGTACAACATAGAATATGCCTATAGAACTCGGTAGTTTTATCGATAGTTAGTTTAACAATAATTTGCTTTTACTATTTAGAGCAAGCACTACAGTGAATATAAGGATGCACACTGGATGACCAGAGCGTTAGCCAGTAGCCTCCGAACCAGTTATTATTGGAACATTGACAATTTTGCTTATGTACTGTTTAAATGTACATTGTCTCAAGATCATATGTTTTACTTTTTATATTAAGCTGTGTTCATGTTTATGTTTGTGTGATCAAAAAATAAAAAGTGTGAATTCCTTTCTTTAATATAATTTGTTTCTCATTAATTTAAAAGTTTATTCTTATAAGTAATCAAGAGAAAGAATGCCTTGGACAAGTACGTATCAATAGGTTATGGGCTATTCTACAAACAAGGTATTTTTTTTAAATTACTTTTAAAGAAGCTATATAATATTTTTCTCCATTGTTTTGCCATTGTAACTGTTGACTTTTTTCTTGGAACAAGTATAAAATTGGTTAGACATTATGGCAAATTCAAATGAAAAGATATGTATAGAGAAACTTTTGGGTGCAAGTAATTGGACTAAATGGAAGATGCTTATCCAGTTGATGTTAAGACAACAAGGCTTGTTGAGTTTCATAATGGGATCTGAAGTAAGACCTATTACTAACATCTCTGGATCTGAGCAAAATGCTATTGCAGATTGGGACAGAAAAGATGCTTCTGCTATGTTATACCTTATGTCATCTCTAGGCGATGAACCATCTACACTGGTTTTGACTTGCTCGACTTCTAAAGAAGTTTGGGATTGTTTAATATCTGTGTATGAACAGTCTAGTGAACAAAGGCTAGATCGTTTGCTAGAAGAGTTCTTTAGGTGGGATCGGGATCCTAATGAGGACATAGCTACCCATGTTGCAAAGCTTCAAAAACATTTTGCCGAATTAAATGATGCACTTGAGAAACAAAAGGAATCAAAGCTTAGTGATAGAGTTTTAATTGCAAGAATTTTATCTACTTTGGGGCCAAGCTTTCGTGAATTCAGAAATGTATGGGAAGCTATGCCATCTAAGGATAGAACAATTAAAACACTAGTTGAAAAGCTTCGCACTATAGAGCAGCGTGATAACGTGGAGTTACTTAAAACTGCTTTATATGTTTCAAAACCCATGGGTACAAGGGTTAAACTTAAAAAGAAGTCTACATCTGATAAGAAGGATGTGTCTGCAAAACATAGTTTTATGAGCGGGAATAAGTTAACTTTTGCAAATCGGGACGTTTGGATTGCGGATTGTGGTGCTACTCATCATGTAACGTGGTGTAAAGATTATTTTACAGAGTATTCACAATTTTCAGAACCACAACTTATGTCTGGCTTCAGTGATAATGCTTCTGATAAAAAGTGTTATGCCGAGGGATCTGGGATCATTGTTGTGGAAACTAAAGTTGGTAAGGAGCTAATTCAAACGACTGTAGAAAACGTTTTGTATGTACCTAATTCTAGAGCTCATCTGTTGTCAGTCAGCAAGGCAGCGAAGAAGAACCATGTGTTTTCTGCTGACAATCTTGGATGTAAATTTACCCTAAATGGTATTGTTACATTGACTGGACGTTTGCATGGGGATTTATATTTTCTTAACATGCGTGCTATTTGTCCTATACAACCCACTGTACAACTTGTATGTAAGAAAGATTCTTTACAGCTATGGCACGAACGGCTAGGTCATCAGAATCAACGCCATGTTAAACAAGTTTTGAAGATGAATGGAATTAATGTGACTGGATACAAACCAAGATGGCGGACATCTAGCATCACCTGCAAAGTGCTCCCATATCTAAAGTGTAGTTTAAGTGGTAAAAAACAACAAAATTACTAATTAAACATCACACATCCAAACAACAACTTTATCAAGTGATTTTAAGACAAAAACATTTTGGAAGAAGTGAAACTCGAAGACATCAACCTCAAATCAAGCAAGTAGGTCGTACACATCAGCACCTTCACATGAAAGGTACTATTAATCAAGACCCTCAAGAAAATCTCATGAAAAGCCAATATCGAGACAAACTGAACATGACTGTAAGTTATTAATACAAGTTTAATACCAACAATAACATTTACCTCAAGAATTCATTGAACAGATGGTTATCTTGTAAACATTGCACAGTTTAAAAGTTTCAATTTTACATTTACATTTTACATTTACATATAAGTGTCCAAATTCTTTAAATTAAACTCTGCAAATATATCAAACCACTAAAGCACAATAAATATTAAAAAGTACAAAGAAAGAAATTTCACCAATATATTTGTGACAAAGTATCAAATTGACAACCAAGCAGTGACGTCATAGCCAACTCACAGTTTTACACATTCTTCACTTCCAACACGACACCTGCTGCCTGGGAGTTTTTGAACTGAGAGTTGCTGACTGCACGCTCAGCACACCCTGACCACAGACACTGCCACTTCAAACAGTGTCTACAACTTACTCCCAACCAGTAATACAGTGTAACACTGTATTCCTCATTACTCTACATAAATTTTTGACAACAGAAATAAATTATTTATTTAAAAGAACTTTAACGTCATAGCTAGCAGACAAACAGACATAGCACACTGCTGATCAACAACAGTTGTGTGTTCAGACAACTAGCCTCTCCAACTGAGGTAGAATTATGTATAAAGCAGGTGATTTAGTTTTTGCAAAGATAAAAGGCTACTGTTTCTGGCCTGCAGAAATAAAGGAGACTGTTCCAAAGAAAAATGATAGACAACCACAGTATACTGTTTCTTTTTTTGGAGATAATAAAACAGCTAAAATAAAGGAAAGTGATGTATGTCTTTACTCAGAAAACAAAGCAATACATGGTAAACCTAAACAAGACAATTTCAAAAATAAATATTTTAATGCAGCTTTAAAAGAAGCAGAAATCGCTTTTGCAAGGAAATCAAGCAAAACTGATGATAAGCATTGCTCTGAAAGTCAAACCTCAGACGACACCTTGCTTAGCTGCAGCACTCAAAGTCATACCTCAATTAACAAGCCCGAACCTATGTTAAACAATTTAAATCTTACCATGGACGATTTTCAAAACATTGTACAGAATTTTGATACAGAGAATGATTTGGAAAGTTCTCTTAACCTAGCAGCGGAGGTTGGAAATGCTCTCCTTGAAGAAAACAATAAACTTAGAGAGGATGTACACAAGCTGAGTCTCGAAAATGCCAAACTGTCTTTTCAAGTAACAAAAATAAAAAATGGAAATGAAGCAGCAGCTTGGGAAGAAAAAATAGACACACTATTAGACCAAAATGAAAGATTGTTAATGAAAAACAACTCGTTAGTGGAAACCATCAATAATCTTGAAAAACAGCTCGACAATGAGAAGATGCTTCGCAGAGACTTAGAACACACCTTTGAAGAATTGGACAAGGAAAAAGAAGACACATTAAAAAAATATGAACAAGAAACTCAACAACTTAAACAGAACATAAAAGATCTGACACAAAAACACAATGAAGTTCAGCTGGATGAAAAAGAGGAAAATCTGGTTAGTACAAAGCCTGCTGTAGCCCAGACCCATCAATGTATAGCTGGTCACAGTCCTTTCCTCTTAGCTGAACTTGCTCAAATTAAAATGAAACAAAATCAAATGGAACACGTCATTAACACCCTGAAAATGCAGATGAACAAAGAGATTTCTAACACCATTTCTCCGACAACTCATACAAATCCTTCCATTCCAACACCAAGTTCATTAAAAAATAAAAGGGCTCAAAGAAATCATAACAGAACTAACATATTCAGCGTATCCCTGCAAAATGCTAAATACCTAGAACAATCAAATCACAAACTTGCTACTGACTGCCGAGAAATAACCAACAAAACCTTCAAAAACACAACGTGGAGAGCCAGACAAACTCCAACGAAAAAACTGCAAACTGAAACAACAACCGGGAGAGTCAGACAAACTCCTACTAAAAAACTGCCAACCGAGACTACAACAGGGAGAGTCAGACAAACTCCTACTAAAAAACTGCCAACCGAGACTACAACAGGGAGAGTCAGACAAACTCCTACTAAAAAACTGCCAACAGAAACTGCAACAGGGAGAGTCAGACAAACTCCTACGAAAAAACTGTCATCTGAGACCTCAACGGAACAAGTATCAACAGGGGGAACCAGCCAAACCCCGCCACAAAAACTGTCACAAGTGTCACAAACAGTAAAAGCTCAAGAAAGCCTGAAAGAGACTAAAAATAAAAATAAACTTCCACCCCTAAATGCTAAGCCAAAGAGCAAAGACGAGGATTACAATGATTTCTTTGTAAAAAATATAGGATTTTATTCAGAACATATGAAGAAGCATTATGGATATTTAGTAAAAAGGGAGGCTGCATCGCTACAGGATAATAACTTTGTTTTTTCCTCACCTTCTCAGATTATTCCAACGCAGCCTGATTTTACTTTAAGAAAACTGCAAAAATCAGCAGAGACAAGAGAAACGCAACCTGACTGTTTTTTAGACAATCGAGTCAGGATGTAAACTCCAAACTCATCCTGCTGCACCAAAATACACAGGAAGTCTCAAATAAAATAAATAGACTACAGCACCTTTTAGAAGAAACCAAACCTGACATAGTAATTCTGACAGAACATGGACTGAAACCTGAGACAATAAGTAGCACTGTCATAGCTACTGGATTCTGCCTCAAGGCTCACTATAGTAGAACAGAACACAGAAAAGGAGGTGTTTGCATTCTTGTAAAAGAAAGCCTTGAGAGCAGCACAGTAGCCATAGATGTTTCCAAGTACTGTAAAGAACTGTTATTTGAAGCAGCTCTTATAAAAATAAAATTCAAGAACTCAAATCTGTTTGTACTGGGAACCTACAGACCCCCAAACGGAGACCTTGAGGAATCATTAAACACCTTTACAGAACTAATTGAGGAAACAAAAATTGAAAATTCCCCTCTTATCATCATGGGAGATATTAACGTTGATTTGTGTAACCCAAACAGGAAACACATTATCTTAAATGAAACTCTTGCTATGCACAACATCCAGAGACTACAGCTTCCACCTACGAGAATAACAAATCTAACACAAACCTCCATTGACTGGATATGTACAAATATGGACACAAACCAACTCACTCCAGAAATCATCAATGCAGGACTTTCGGATCATACTGCTCAACTCTGTACTGTAAACTTCAACTCACACATCAACTCAAGTTATCCTGCCCAAATTGGACGCTGTCTAAAAAATAAAAACCTGCAAGACCTCAAGTATCTTCTCAGTCAAGAAAACTGGCTTAGTGTTACCTCAATAAACAATGCCGAAGAAGCTTTTAAAACTTTTAGTAACATAGTGAGAGTAGCTATGGATGCAGCCTGCCCCCAAAAGAAGATAAAAATACAAAGAAAACATAAACTAAAATTCTCCATGGACCCAGAAGCAGTGAGACTTAAAGCCGAATTTCTTAAAGCTCTAAGAAAGTTTGAGGTGACGGGAAATCCAGATGACAGAAGGGTTTCTATTGAAAATAAAAAGAACTATGACCTGTACTTGAAAACGATGCGGAAAAAGGTTAACTCTGACCAGTTGATGAAAGCTGAAAATAAATCTAAATCTATCTGGGAAACAATAAACACAGTGTGGTCCAAAAAGGAAACATCCCTAAATGAAATAACCCTTCAAGTAGATGGCCAACTCATAAGTAATGTGACCCATGTTGCAGAGCATTTGAATACATTTTTTACACAAGTAGGAGAAAAAACAGTAGAGAAACAAAAACACCTAAAGACCACAGCTCAAACTCCTGACGTAACTCAAACAGGTCCACTGTTTTCCTCCTTTCAAAACACAGATGAGAAGGAAGTTAAAATGATTATAAACAAACTTAAAGCAAAAAACTCGTCTGGAATTGATGAAATCTCGTCAAAAATACTTAAGCATTGCTGCAATGAACTAGCACTACCATTGGCTGATTTGATAAATAAGTCCCTAAAACAAGGCATCTTTCCTTCACTACTTAAAATAACTAAAGTATACCCGAAATTTAAAAAAGGTAGCACATTAGAAGCAAGCAACTACAGACCAATTTCCCTCGTTTCCACCTTCTCCAAAATATTCGAAAAAGTTGTTTTAAAAAGACTTTTAGACCACTGCACAAATCACAACTTACTAAACAACCTTCAACATGGATTTACAAAAGGGAAATCCACAACAACAGCAATAATTCAGATGGTTGAGTCCCTGATTGACAGCCTAGATGAAGGAAATCTAACAACAGGAATCTTTCTTGATTTCAGTAAGGCATTTGACTGCCTTGACCACCAGCTAATCATTAAAAAGCTGGATTCCCTGGGGGTATCAGGGATAGTAAGAGAATGGTTTCAAAGCTACCTTACAGACAGGAGTCAGTTTGTAGAACTAAGGCACAGAGATAACAGCCTAATAAGAAAAACAAGATCAAATTTTCAACCAATAAATCGAGGAGTTCCCCAAGGTTCAGTTATGGGTCCGGTACTGTTTATTCTTTTTACAAACGATTTGCCGCAACAAATAGGAGACGCCTGCCTTACTCTTATGTATGCTGATGACACAACCTTAGTGTTTAATGAACCACTAGCTGAAAATCTAGAAGTAAAATCCTATGTGTCACTCAGTATGGCCTACCAATACTGCTATAACAATGATCTCGCAGTAAACACGTCTAAAACAACTCAAATAGCTTTTGGCCGTAAATCTCAAGAAGTGCCACGACTCCCAGATGTAGAAGTGGAAGATGAAGCTAAGTTTTTGGGCATCACACTCGACAAGAATTTAACCTGGACCCCTCATGTGGACAATATATGTAAAAAATTAAGTTCAACCATCTATGCTCTTAAACATATAAAAAATGCAACAGATGACATGACAACAAAAGTAGCATACTTTGCACTTTTCGAGTCGCATATGAGATATGGACTTGTAGCATGGGGTGGAACCTCTGCCACTAACATGCAAAGAGTTCTCAGAAAACAAAAAAAGGCAGTCAGAATAACTGCAGGACTCCACAGACTCGACAGCTGCAGGGAAGCATTCAGGTCACTCAAAGTACTTACCCTTGTAGCACTCTACATCCAGGAAGTTGTGTTATTTGCAGTAAGAAATAACCCTACAAGGCGTGGCGAAATGCACCAACACAACCTGAGAAACACCATGCAGTACAACCTTCCACAACATCGCACGGCACAGTTTGAAAAGAAACCTTCATACGCAGGAATGAAAATCTACAACAGGCTACCTCCAGATCTAAGAAGCAAGTCAGAAGATGACCTCAAACCAGCTTTGCATCAATGGCTCATTAATCGACCTTTCTATTCCTTAGAAGAATACCATCAACAGGTCTTTGACCAAACAACACCTCAACCAAACATTTAGAAAAAATTGTAAATTGACGCTACTACTATTCTTAATGAATGTGTAAATAAAGATTATTTGTCTATTGTCTATTGTCTATTGTCTATTGTCTATTGAGACATGGGTCTGTGTAATGGATGGCGTCTGTTTGAAGAAATAAGTTGTCACTCACTATTGACACCTGTTCTGAAAATTGACAATGGCAGTGCTGTGAAACTCATAAAGAACCCTGAGTTTCATCGCAGAACGAAGCATATCGAAGTTAAGTATTACTTCGTCAGAGAAAAATTCTTGGAAGGACTTGTTGATGTTGAACATGTATCTACAACATATCAACTTGCCGACATCCTTACTAAACCTCTCAATCGAGTAAGGTTTACACAGCTTAAAGTAAACATTGGACTTTGTGACATTTAGTTTCAAAATTGTGAAGGGAGTATTGGAACATTGACAATTTTGCTTATGTACTGTTTAAATGTACATTGTCTCAAGATCATATGTTTTACTTTTTATATTAAGCTGTGTTCATGTTTATGTTTGTGAGATCAAAAAATAAAAAGTGTGAATTCCTTTCTTTAATATAATTTGTTTCTCATTAATTTAAAAGTTTATTCTTATAAGTAATCAAGAGAAATAATGCCTTGGACAAGTACGTATCAATAGTTATCAGTAGTCTATCAATCAGCATCATAACCATGAGGTATTTAAAAAATTTCCGATTATTGTCTCCATTGAGTTGAATTTGTAATTTGTCAATGCTATAGTGCTACAAATTGAATATCTGTCTATGGTAAATAAAAAGAAAACCAAGTATTTGATCATAAACCAGTTTAAGTTATTGTTCCTTTCTCCTGACGATTTGGCATTTCTCAAACTTGACCGCCTTCCATTCCACATTGTGCAGATCTTTTAACTTGGCTGTATTATGGTAAATATTCATAGAGGAAGTGTATCAGTTAATGTGATCCAATGACAGAAGTGAGCTGTTACCTGTGTATGGACATGTAGAGCACACGAGGGTCTGACAGGAATATCCGCTGAGTGCCATTGCCATGGTGAACGTCCCAGTCTAAGATAAGTACTCGGCTGATGTCGTAATGTTTCAGTGCGTATTTGGCCGCTACTGCGACGTTGTTGAACAAACAGAAGCCACAGGCTGCGTAGGACTCAGCATGGTGACCAGGTGGTCGTATCACAGCAACTCCGGCCCGACTCTCCCCTTGCATCACACTGTCCACTACCTGAACAGTGATGTTATATCCAATAATGCCGACTTCCTGACTGTTCACATAAAATTTTATCTAGTAATGTCAACTAACTAAGCAGTCATAGCATATTTTATCCAACAATGTCAACTACCTGAGCAGTTATTCAAGTTTATTTATTCAAGCACAAAAAATTAAGTTAACAAATCATATTGGTTCAAAAGTACAAAAATCGATCAGTCAGCAGCATTCGTCTTCAATCTTAATTTAACAAACTATGTGAATTTTAACCACAGGTAAGAATATAAAGTATAAACAATAAATTAAAATTAACAATACACCAAATCATACTTTACCCAACTATGAATTTAAGTATGCTTAAGTATCCAGTACTTTTGTGGTACAGAATTTAGACACTATGCAACATACAAATCTATGTTTTAATCTGAAAAATAGTAAATACGTTTGTCTTTTGAAATTGTGGCAGATCAAAGTATTATTTTAAGACATTTTCACTATAACCTACTTTCAGAACTTTATAAGTTGGTAAATGTCCCAATTCTTATAACTTTTGGAAAGAACCTTAGCCACACCCAGTTCAAATTTAAATTACCTTGTAATAAAATGAGAAGAGAACCAAGTTTACTTTTAAACTTCGGTGGTGATGATTTCAGCATGACAAACGTGATAAGAAAATAATACGAGTAACCACAATAAATTAATGGGAAATTTTAGTTTGGTCATTCGGGTTTCAGTTAGGAATCAGAATATTTGAGAAATGATTTTTACAAGCAAAGCTGCAATAAGACAGTACCTGCAGCAAGGAGCCAGTAGCGAGGCTTGCGCTCTCGTAAGACTGAGGATGGATGTAAACAGAGTCTTTCCTCTCCATCACGGACAGTTTGTGTTTGAGATCATCAGTCAGCTGATCCATAGCACACAGCTGTTTTGTTTCATCTAGATATGTCACCTCATGTACCAGAAGTAACTCTTCTCTTGTGGCTGGTCGACTCTGAAACACACAGAATCAGCTGAACTAGCTATCACCATGCGCTTACACATTTGTTCACCACTTATACATTTCCTCATTTGACATAAGCACATTTACTGTCACCTGATTGGTGGCCCTTCGGAGAATATTATCCTTTAACATTACTGTCCTTCACATTTCACACAAACTGATCCATAAATCAATGATAATGTTTTTGGAACGAACCCTTAATTTGACAATAAAAGGCGAAAGAAATATTACAATTTGATGGTGTCCGGGTTCGGTGCAATGAAGACATTTAGAGCAAACAGTTTATAATAATTAATTGTTCTTGAAATATTGTAAGACCAAACAAAAAAGTGTTAACAGAACCAAGACACAAAGACAACGACTACAAACTTTCACTAACAGAGTAACAACCAACATAACTAATGTGTATGAATAAATTATATTTACTTGCAGTATGTGTAGTCGATCCAGGAGTTTATATTCTAAATGCTTTTCATAAATCTTCTGAATACGGCTTGGCCTCTCAGGATGGCCCCTGGAATCATCAAATGTGAAATAAAAATTTCTTCCAGTCATGGTGTTGATTTTAGGAATTTAGAATGTTTGTGATAAGAAGTTAGAAGTTTAAGTATTCCTTGTCAGTGCTTGATATTTAGGATTAAAGGTAACACAACTGAAACCAAATCACCAACTAATGAAACTGAAATCTATGACCCCTCTTGTCCATCCTCTCCACCTCCTCCTCCCCTCCTCTCCTTCTCATTCCCACCTCTATAGTGCATTGGGCTGGATGACGTCAACAAATTCAACAAAACGACAAAAAAAACCATCAGTATTTTGTTTGAATATACTGCATTTTCTTAAATATAGTTTGAAAATAAAAAAATATTCTTTAGTGAGAGGTCCTACAGCAACAAACTCTTTAAATAGTTAAACAGTCTGAATATCTTAAGTTGTTAGAGTTATTGTACATACACCGTGTCCCAAAAAGAATGGATCATATCTACAGCTTAATATACGTGTTACCAAAGATCCTAGAAAAGTCAACTATGGCTAATTTTAAAGCTGATATCTTAGAGTTTCTTCCGGTACCCTTCAACAGAAATCAGCTGTTCCATTGTTGTAGCCTGTTTGAATTTTTTTTATTAAGCTGCAATATAGTAAATGGAGTTTCAGTTGAAAGCATAGTCTATTGAATGGTTTATAAAGATAAAATCTGTGGTGTGATTTCTTTAGGTCTTGGGGTTTATGACACATTATATGTGTCTATCGCTCATTCATCTCAATTATAGATCAATTTATTAAAGCAAAGATAAGGGAAGCATTTGGAAAAAATACACGACAATGTGCAGTCAGAGCTGGAACATTGACTTGACTTTCTTTGACTAAATAGCGGAGAACATGTAGAGATTAGGCGGTGAAACAATGGTAGGAAAAACTTATGAAGTTAAGGAAAAAGGTGTATATAAAGTAAACTTGTAATCTTTAATAATAAAGTATTTATGCAAGTTTACTTTTGATCCACTCTTTTTGGGACACCCTATATTTTTATGCTTACTCATACAATATATATGAGGTTACATTATCTTAATCGCCAAGTGATCCATGTAGTCCAAAACTAGGATTATGTACGTTTCGACGTCAATGCGTCATTGTCAAATCTACAAAAACTGTTACAAATACAACATGAAGTTACTCATACAGTCATTGATTGTACCACTGAATGAAAATGATATCAACTTACGGATCTCTGAAGTTCTTGTGTTCCATCATTAGTGGATCATAAACAAAACAAACATTGTGTTTTGTCTGAAGAAGTTTGGTTTCTGAAACAGAAAAGACAAAGAACAATGTACAACACAATAAATAACAGTCAGAGACTACCAGAGTGGTAATAAACATGTGAATACTTTTTTACTGAAGTAATAAAAAGACGAGCCAGTGTTGCAACTTGTTTTCATGCACAAACAAGCCTGAGTGTGTGTGTGCCTACTTTTGTGTTCTTAAAAAAGTTTTTTTTTTATTCCTAGAAAAGTGAAAACAATGTATTATATCTAGTTTTTAACATGGCAAGGGCCAAAGGAACATAGAAGGGGCCACACAAATTTTAGAATTTATCTTTTAAGAGTTGCGTTAGAGAGAAAGGTGTTGGAGTAGGGTAGCTAATGGTTTCTTTAGTACCCTGGGACTTCACAACGCTAATATTGCTGACAGGAAATGAATTTTAGAGACCCTTACCGATTTTCAAAAAATGAACTCTGGATGTAATATGAATATGCCTGGCAGTTATGAGCCAATTTCCTTGTTAGGTTAGGCAAATACTTTTCCTCTCTGCCTCTCTTTCCCTTTCTTAATCTCTGAATGCATTGTTTATATTACCCTACAAACACTTGAATAGACGTGGCTCTCAATTCTATACTCCTCAAACTCGATGGCACATGGTACAGAGGACTAGAGTTTATAACACAACAGACCTGCAAGTAGTCGGTCCAGCTTGTTGTTGATCTCATCCTTGAAAGCTTGGGATTGTACCGGACACGTGTTGCGGGTGGGGTACACATCAGTACGAACACCTGTGTACTTCCACACCACCTGCGGCCAATGTTGCGTCTCACTCTCGCCTCTGTCTCTAGCACAGTAGCTCGCCTGCCACTGAAAACATCTCCAGTAGGCGCGGTGACTGTACACACAGTTCAGGATACTGTCTTGGACACTGTTGGACAAACAACGCAAATGAGATTAGAGAGTAAGAATTACCTTCTTTTTGGTTGAATAGCTAAGATCAAAGAAGGTCTGAAGACTATCTTGTCTTGTCCTTCGGCTCTGTTTCCATTCTTATTAGTGATGGGTTAGTTACTGATTTTATCGGTTCAGTTTCGGTTTCGGTTTTTTGTTTTTCCCCTTTAAATACTAGTTAAATAGAATTTGTTTCTCTGCTTTTGCAAAAAAGTACTAAACATGCAATTTTAAAATGTGCTTTATGATGAGGTAATTATATTTCGAAGCAAGAGTAGGTTAGGCAACATAACCTAACCTCAATCCTCTCAATAGGCTTTGTCACAACTAACTGTCTTACTTTTAAACTCAAAGTTACAATACAACACAAGGTTTTATTCACAAATAATAATATTAGACTAATAATAATACTAAGACTAATAATACTAAGACTAATAATACTAAGACTAATAATACTATTAGAATAATAATATGTCTATTGTCTATTATGAAATATTGTTTTTCAAAAACTGTAATATATGATAGGTATTGGAAACAACAATATGTCTATTAGTTTTGTATTATTAATTTTAATTTATCAACACCAACATTTTCACTAGTCCAGGCTCTAATCTGTTTATATTTTATACTGGCTCAGCATTTATTTAACTATAACCACTCGGTTACTCACGTATATAGTATGGTAAAGTTTATATTTCCTTGTAATTGAGTAATGATATAAAATATGTATCAATCTACAATCTATGTAACAAACACATTGAATTATTTCTTCAAAAGTAAAATATTCAGTGGTATTTCAAATATTCAACACATTTGCAAAATTGGCTATTAGATTGCCATGTTACTAAAAGGTTTGTCTGTTTGTTGTGTTGATTGTACGTCACCTGTTGGAGGGAGGTGAGAGAGGGGGGAGGTTGGGGCACGGGTCTCCCAGCAGAGCCCTCAACGTCAGTGCGGCACCTTCCGCTAGGGATCTGACACAGTAGCCTCCCTGCAACATGTAAACATAACGCTAAAGACAAACTAGGCTGTTTGTGTAGCTAGATAAGTATCAAGGTAGATTTCTTTTACCAGGCTGAAAACGTATTTTTCTTCCAAAAAACTTTTAAACAAATTTAGTGTCTATATTATATTATATTCTGAGGGCATGCCCTGTAGCAACACAGTCATCTGGGTACACACGGTTGCAAGATAAACGTTGAACCTCGATCAGACATTGGTTGATCAAAATTCATGGAGCTTATATTGCCTAACAAATTATCAATACAGGCCAGAAACCAGTTGTAGTGTAGAAACTATCTAACAAAGTGTCCTGTTTAACAAAAACAGTCAATCAGTCATCAACCAACTTTCAGTTGTATAATTAACGACCTTGATTGCTTGAATATATGTTAGGGTTACTTGTATATGAATAGTTAAAATCACCTCTAATATGACAGCAACTTTTCCAGATGCCAATCCCATCAGTGAGGACACCAAGTGAGCGTAGCAAGCCGGTGTGACAGACATTTCCCCCTGAAAGCAAAATACAGTGGTTATAGATTTAAAATACAAAAGCTTCCACTGCAAACTAAGCATATCTCTGGTCACTTTATTGAGTTTTTGATTTATTCTATTAGTTTTACAATAATGGAAGTTTACACATTAGATACACCATGCCTAGGATCACGTTGGCTCATTGAGTTATTAAGTTTGATAACAAAATTAACTCGCAAATGTTAGTTTGATATACATTTCTAGGCCTACAATGAGATAAGATGTTTGGATGGCCTTTGCACACGACTCACACTCTTGCATTGTACATAGCCTTGTAAACAAACAAATCAAAATAGTACAGTAGAACCTTGATAACAAGACTCTCATAGGGATTATAAAATAAGACTTGTTATCAAGGTTGACTTCTTATCGAGGTTTTCAATAACATGTGATTAGGGGTCAATTAATTGCAAGGGGATTTGAAAATGACCCTTGTTATCAAAGGTGACTTGTTATCGAGGGTCTTTTTATCGAGGTTCTACTGTATTATTAATTATTACAAATGACATTTTTTGACTGGAATATTCTATAATTCAAGTAGTTATACCACTTATACTGATACAACTTTGCCATCGGACATTTACATATTCTTCTTTATCCATGTTTTTATTTGTTGACAAAGTTGTTTAACACCCCTAATAAGTAAACAAATTACCTCAGGGCATCCTAAAGCAGCATCGTAGCCAGCAGACACAATTATGAGTTCTGGCTGAAACTGAACAAACAATAATCATTGCAAACTTGAAATACTAACTATAAATATTGAAAAAAGTAACATTATTGTTCAATAGTTATCACTGGAAAGCTTAAAAATAAAATAATCAAGCTCAAAAAAAGACTCTTGCAATATTGATGATGACTGTACAACGGAACTTTTTTATTGGCCTAAATGGAATAATGTATCAAGGTAACTCTTTAAATTAATAAAAAATTTATTTTTTAAACCTACAATTTTTTGAAGCAAAAGTTTAGTTGAATTCAAGATTACAAGACATCTTAAGTTACAGTACCAGGCATTTCTTGTATGCATAAAGACTAAGATAGTATTAGTTGAATTCAAGATTACAAGACATCTTAAGTTACAGTACCAGGCATTTCTTGTATGCATAAAGACTAAGATAGTATTAAAGTTCACTCATGTCTTGTATAAAAGAGCGTTGATTCGCTTACTCAGTTACCAACCTCGGCAGCCATGGGTAGCAGGACCTGATGGAAGATGGCCATGTAGTCGTTGTTTCCCATACCAGTCTTATTGAGAGGGAGGTTGAAGTTGAATCCCGCACCTGCGCCTTCTCCCACAAAGTCAAACTCTGACTCTCGCAAGTTGGGCCAGAACTCACCGTGCTCATACCGATGTATGGAGAAGTAGACCACTCTGCAGTAACAAAGGTTCTAGATTAAAATCACATTGAATGGTATCAATAACTACATCAATATGTTTGAGTCCTCACTTCTAGCTGCAGCATACAGAACAGAGTTGAGATGTATTGTTGGTTAGTCCAGAGATCTACTGAGGTTCCAATGATCCTGATTGGGCGAAGAGGTAAGATATCTACACCTGGCCCTGACATATAATGATGTAATATACACCAATAAAACCTAGGTTTTGGAGATTGTTGTTAGAACGGTCCGACTAGGAAGGAGTCCATCCTGGCAGAGGAAACGCAAATACTTTACAATCATAATACGTCACTGCCACTGGCAGCATTTTCAACCAAGGAAGGCTTAAGTTAGGAAGGAAGATCATCATCACATATGTTTCTCTAACTTTGGAATAATTTTATTTTTATGACCCAACAGTAAATTTTCAGTGACTAAGATGATCATTAGACACTCAGTAGCAGTTATTCAGTATACCAAAGTACCTCGGGTCATTGTAGAACATCTGCTGGGTGGCCTGTCCGTGATGAACGTCCCAGTCCACTATGAGTATCCTGCGCATACCGAGGTGGTCCAAGGCGTGTCTCGCTGCCACTGCCACGTTGTTGAAAAAGCAGTAGCCGCAGAAGTCGCTATGCATTGCGTGGTGTCCGGGGGGCCTGCCACAGACAACTGTGTTACCTTACTCCTCTACACTACTCGGGTTGTTATGTGATATTTCTCGTCCATAATATTTATTTGAATTTTATAAAACCGAAAATTATGTATAAGGTACAGTAGACTCTTGATAATTCGAAATTGGTGGGCCAAGCATATAAATTTGAATTATTAAGAGTTTTGAATTATCAAGAGTTCGATTTATCGGGAGAAAAATAAACCATTCGAATTACAGAGAGTTAATTTGTTTAATACATACAAAGGTACAGCACGTTGCAATAAAACATCATACCGTATTTTAGTACACTTTTAAACAATCAACGGCTTATTTTTCAGTTACAGTAGACTCTTGATAATTCGAAATTGGTGGGCCAAGCATATAAATTTGAATTATTAAGAGTTTTGAATTATCAAGAGTTCGATTTATCGGGAGAAAAATAAACCATTCGAATTACAGAGAGTTAATTTGTTTAATACATACAAAGGTACAGCACGTTGCAATAAAACATCATACCGTATTTTAGTACACTTTTAAACAATCAACGGCTTATTTTTCAGTTACTGTAGTTGCAAAGAAATCTGTTATTTAGCGCTATATATTTCGCCTAGAAAAACAAGTCAGCGAACTAACTCAGACTACTGCTCTAACTGAACAAACATCAAAACGTCCAACACTAGCCTACCATGGGAACAGGATGTACTATACTGTATAGTTTCTTGTTATAACAGGAAGAGATCACTTCGAATTATAGAGCGTTTTGCCGACTAAACTTCAAATTACTGTGTGACTTTGATTTATAGAGTGTTTTTTCGACGAAACTTCGAATTACAGCATTACTTTGAATTATAGAGTGTTAACTGACAAAACTTCGAATTACTGAGTTACTTCGAATTATAGAGTGTTTTTCCGACGAAACTTCGAATTAATGCGTGTTACAAATTGACCTGCCCTCTACTTGGACTTTGAAATACCGAGTGTATAAAAATGCATGGTAAAAATTTGAAATATTGAGAGATTCTCTAGGGACTGAGCCTTCATTTTGAATTATCGAAAGTTTTGAATTATCAAGTGTTTGAATTACCAAGAGTGGACTGTAACAGTCCAAAACCTGATGTGATTGGTATCCAACATTAACCTTTTTAGATGACTAACACAATGGTATCTGGGTCCCGAATTGATCCCGCTCAAGATTAATCCATCAACCTTCACATTGAATGGCCAAAGTGCCATTAACAGTCAGAAGATTGCCAGTTCAATCCTGGGAAATTTCAGTATCTTTTCGTCGGTTCAAAACTGAATCCAGCTATACTTAATCATTAATAAGGTCCTGGACAGAGAAACTGCTGATATTAGTCAGTGACAAGCTACATAAGTTACCTATCTCACTCCGAATTCATGTCCAGCTTAAAATACACTCCCCAGGATGCGTTGCTGACTCATTGAATTGAACTACCGGCTACCGAGAAAATACCCCTAGACTCGATAGAAGGGCTCTTTAACTACAATTTTTTGTTAAAACCCTAAAGAAATATACCCAAATATGAAAATATTTTCTCATTTATTTGACCAATAGTAAACAACAATTTAACATTTTTATACAGCAGTAGGAAAATGACTTATTTTTTTTACTATTTTACTTTAAGAAAGGTGTGTAACTACTGTACTGTTGTGTCATTATAATGTGTACTTTATATTGTAGTGTGTCTTCACAGGTAGGCCTACTAGATAAGTTTACAGCCTATCAGGCTACTTACCTCACAATAGCCATCCCGTTGTGGACATTGCCACAACACACCTCATGCACCAGTTGTATTGTACAGCCGGCAGATAACAAGGCCAACTTGTACGTCTCCTGTGAAATGAAAAGTACAATCAATTCCTGCAATAAGTTAAGCCATAAAACCGTATACTCCCTACTGAAATCGATATAAAAGGTATTGGAATAGATTGATCCTTTATGTAATGAACAAAACTAAAAGATAAACGATCATCCAACCAATAATCACAATTAAAGAGATTGCCTATAGATTCATAGTCATTGTTTTCTTCCCTAAGGACAATCTAAAAACATAAAACACCATTGTAGAAAACTTTTAAAATTTCTTTTGACTATTTATTTCCATTGAAAACTTGTGTGCGCACATGCATTCATTGCCGTTGTAGAGGTCCACGTTTTGGTTTTGGACTAGCTTGAATCAACTAGGCCTAAATATGTTACAACTTGATTTCGTACTGAAGCACCACAGTATTTTTACAAGCGACACAAGATCTAATGAGAACAGATACCGTAACTCTACTGTGTAATCTTGTTCCTCATTGCCTTCTTGGCCTTAAGTTTATAGCAGCTGTCATGTATGATATTGTATGCCATGTGTTTGCTATGTTTATTTATTTGTTGTAAATAAACTTCACTTCTACTATGGACTTGAGAAACCATACTGTGTTGTAATTTTATTCCTAATTAATATAAAGGAAAACCAATTATAAACTTTTATCCAAGATACTGTTTATCCTCACCGGATGAATGTAGACAGCATCAAACCCAGAGGCAAGCTGCTCCATTTGCTGCAGGTCCTGACAACCATCGGTCTGCTTCAACCTGTCAATGTGTTGCTGGGAGTGAACTGTCAACAGCTCAGTCTCCGTGGCCTCCCGCCCCTGCACTATCTGACATCTCTCCACCAGTCCCAGCTCTACACACCTGTTACACCACATTACAAAACATCTTTCATACCAACCCTTTTAATTCTGTGGATTATTCAGTGATTTAATTATGAATATAATCCTGTTTCAGGGGGACCAAAAATCCTGAAAAAACCAGTTTACCTTGCAGGTTTCCGATAGTTTTGGTTAGAGTTGGGCCAACACTTGGCCAGAGGGATCGGTTCATTCTGAAAATGATTATCGAGTCAAGCTCAGGTTGAGTATCAAATGTTTGGGAAGATAAACAATCAAAAATTGATGATTTTGTCATGATCGCGAGTGATGTTCACAGTTTCGTGGCGATCGTGAGGGACGATGGTCACCGTGACCGCGGAAGATGTTCATGATTTTGCTGTAACCTCAGAATCTTTTCTAGGTATTACCATGACCGAAAGAAGCCGTTAACAATTTTGCTGTGTCCGCAAACATTAATGTTGCTGTGACCACAAACTATGTTCTTGCTTGTTGATGACCATGGGACAATTTTCTAGATTAATTAAAAATCTTAATTTAATATTAATTTTTCACAAACTAACTTTAGGTTTTCTTGGTGAAATTTCTAAATTCCCACATAATTCCTGGCACACAAAATTCATGCATAGTGTCCGGCTTTCCCAGAATTCCCAGTCTGATGCCAGCATGCTTTTTCTACTCATCATGTTAACACAAAAGCAATTTCATACGTCAAAGTACTTGGACCATTAAAGTGTTTTACTTCCCATGCCTCATATTCGTGGGGAGCGAGCTGGCTTAGTGGTAGAGTAAGGGGCTTTGGTTCCTGAGTTTTGTATTCAAATCCCGCTATTCACCGATTCATTTTATCAATGTGATAATGCCGCAACCCTCTAGGCTTAGCTTGGAGCAGAGTGTAAAACTGTTTCGAGCTAGAGCCTTGCTTCCCATCATGTGAAGGTGGGACATAACAATATCCACCACCTTCGCAGAACAGTTATTTGAGGAGGGTATTGCATTTTGATTAATTGTTATACATAAATGAAACCACCAATAAATTCTAGTGTGTATTATATACTTTAGGCTACCTGTCTAAAGTCTTGCTGAATCTGTCTGGACACTCCTGATGAGCAGAGTCCCAGAGACAGTGATGATTGACCATCCGAGTGTCATACACCAACCCTGTCATCCCCCGCCGCATGTCTCTAGCACTCTGTGCCTACAACATCGATAGGTTATTCCAATATATTTTTTAGATTCAGTACCAGTAACATTTTGTATAAGAACATAAAAGCTTTAAGAAAAGCATTTGGAAGTCCAAACTCTTATGGATATACCATAGATCAAACCTATCTCTCTGACACTGAAGTTTGAGCCGCTAACCACTAGGCTAGCATCACACCACAGCTGTCAACAGCTTGACAAGGGTGAAAATGGCTAGTTTGTTGTAGCAGTGCGATTTTATTTTGTATTATCATTGCATTGTGATCACATTCTTTGAAAGAAACTATACAGAAGTCTCTTATTAATCTGGACCCTATTTATAGATGTTAATTTGCAGGTTATGATAACTTCATACAGCAAAGCTAGCAAAATTGACTATGTAACTGTCCGCTACATTTTTGTTTGTATGTCGGTTCACTAGCTCGAGATCCTCATCAGGAGGTTGAGTACAACAAAGCCACATGGAACGTTAGGCAAGCCCATTTTCATTGTTGCTAGCCATTTTGGAGGTTAAAATCTGCCAAAATTAGCATTTCAAAAACATTTTTTACATAAATAAATATGGTGTATAAAAATAAATAAATAAACTCTTTATTAAGCCAGTGTTAATCAGATTCAAAGTTCTGCTTTACATGAAACTGTTGTCAAATACATCGGCCTACATAAAACTAGTTTATTGTATTGTACTTGAACACATATATTTTGTAGCATAACAAATCAAATCGTATTGAGCCAAACGATACGAATAACAATAATACAGTTTGCATTAGCCAGATCAGTACAATACCGTACTACAATTACAAATTCTAATGTTTACAATAATGACATATTAGAGCTTTCAAAATATGTTAGGAACTCTTGGACGCTGTAGCCGGTTTTATTTAGCAATAATTTATGTTTTAGCTGTTGAATTTTGAAAGGCTTAGTTCCAACTTAAGGGACAGTGGAAGTGAGTTAAACAGCTTTATGCCAACGTACAATTAATGTGTGTAAAAAAAAAGATCTTTTGAGTTTAGGAATTGCCAAGTTAAATTAATTAAATTAATGTGTATTGACTTTTAGTAGAGAAGTCAAAATCAGAAAAGTTTTCTATAATTTAAATGGATGGGAAAGTCAAGATTTTTTAATTGAAAAGGACTCTGTGCAGGACTGACGCTTACGCATAGAGTTAGTTCTAACAGCTATCTTTTGGATTTTGAAAATAAGTTTTGTGCAATGCTAGAATGGCATTGCCTTTTTTAAGAAGATGTTATATAACTTGATCCAGACTTTCACCTATCCAAACAACATGGAGCTACAGTACAACTAGTCTCCTAAAGTTAATAGGAGTTTACGCAAAAATGTTTACTAAGTTAAAAAATGCAATAGAGTAATTAATAATTTACAGTTGTCAGACATGTCTAGTAGATGATACCATATTAATGAGTTTGGTAAATTGTGTTTTTTTTTCATATTTTTAATAGAATAGGTCAACGATTTTAAAAGATTCACCATTTTAAAACATTATTATATACAATCAAAAATGCATTTGCTTTGTAATATAAAAAATTAAAGTAAACAAACCTGTAGGAGATTTTGCAGATCTTAAGTTATACTAATAATACATCGGTTAAAAATTCAACAGAGGACTATAATATCAATTCAGTTTACAATTACAAATTCATTAACTAAACCAATCTATTAAAAAGTTTGGTAGGATAAGCAGTAAAACAAGAATTTAATAAAAAGTTTCATAGGAAAATGTAAGGGCTAATATATAACATAGCACAACTTACCTCATCATAAAAATCAGACATACTAATACAAATAAACCTTCTTTTGTCCCAAAACTAGAAAACAATTTTACAATGGTATTCTAGGCACAAAAATGCCATATGTAACAAACAGGTTCTCAGTGCACTAAATAGTTGAACCGTACATTGTTCCCAATTAACTGTTTAAATACCTTTGTATTCAACTCAAGATAGCACTTATCTAACAAGTGGTTCTGTTCCTATTAAAGTAGAACACACACATGTGCATGCTATTGAAATCAGCTGAGAGGTCATCTTTTAAATTGCGGAATCTATTAATATTCTTCTGTTTATTGAAGTTAAGTTTTGAGATAAAGAGAAAGACTCTAGCTGTTATATATTCTAAATAAGAAAACGAAAATATTTTATGGTTCTAAATCCAACAAGTTTCTTAAATATTAATAATCCATTAAGTTTTGTTTACTTTAAATTGTGCACACTAAATTTTATATAAATTTATGTACACCTTTTCGTAGACATCTTCGACACCAAAAGTTTCATTCTTCTTCTGGTTTCTGTAGTTTTCTTTTATATCTTGGAGTTTTGAGTTTAGCTTTCCTACAGGGGCTGGTACAGTACTGCCGACCTAAAACAGTTCAATTTATTGACAACTACGAGTCTTCTAATTTTTTTACTCCCATAGAATGATAATGAGTAAAAAAGAACAAAATACCCTTCCCGAAGCAAACCTGCACACTAAGCTAATTTTCATGACCAGGTTAGATTTTCACTGAAATATTCCTTAAAATTGTCCAGTATTATCATGATTCAGATTCAATTACGTACATAATAGAATCTATATCTATAAAAGAGGAAGTATGTATGTATGTATATATATAGTTGGTATTTACTCTATGGACTCCGAAACCGCTTTACAGATTGTAATGAAACTTTCAGGCATTATTCAAGGATAATTTGTGTGAAGTTTGGTGCAGATACACCAAAAGGGCCCCGCCCCAGAGGGTTTTAATGGGTCCAATGTCAGACTTTTGGAACTACAATGTTTACAAATAAATATAACTAGGGGCATGTAGGGACATAAGTCCCTAAAAAGCTCAAAATTTTAAACAACTTATTTTCATACCGGTACCGTATTTAAACAAACTAAGAATCCAATTTTTTAATTGTCAAGATGGATATGCCTCTACACTATATCTTTGTCTAAAAAAGTCTCTCTGCTTTGGTCGTTGTTATGTAAATTTATGAAATCCAATGTTCGTCCTCTATGCGTTACCAAACAACCATCTGATCGTGATGAAACTTAAGGGAAGTAAATAAGTAGGGCCTAAACAAGTACTATACAAAATCAACAGAGTTTTATTATACACATTGAGTAATATTTTATGGTTTACATAGTCGCGGCAGGCTCGACGTAAGCGTGCACGCATCGCGATGGTTTCTGTTTGTAAATACTTTTTAAATAAAATGTGTTTTGGTTCTGTGTTCGGTAAAAACTTTATCTGTGTATTTATTTATAACAAATCGTTCTACAAGGATTGACCTGATGATGTGACTGTCGTCACGAAACCAGTCGCCGCATGAAGAAAAAGGATATGGAACAAGATAACAGTTTATTTTATTTTTTAAATCTTCAATATCCAGTAGTAGTAGTAGGAAAATGAACTCTGTTTGTTTTTTTGTTTGAAGTTCAATCACACATTAACTACTGGTCGGATTGAGCTGAAATTTGGTATTATGATAGCTTACGTTCCCGATTAACTTAACATATTGACATACTATTTTCTCAATGATCCTTTCGGACTCCACCCCAGTGGCTCTGGAGATTCCCATGTTAACCTTATCAGTAGGCTATTCATGGTTAAAAGGAATTGCTAGTACAGTATTTAAGTATAAATATATAAACTAGTTTTTAGACATTGTTTAAATCCATCCATGTATCAGATAAATTATTCAGTTTAAATTATTCTGTTTACTTGTGTTATTTTAATAAAAATATTAAAAACCTCACCTGATTGAGCCTTGGAGATCTTCTAGAAGATTTTGCATCAGAATTCTTTTGGGTTTTGCTCATTTTTAGGTAAAGAATGTATATTTTATTACAAAATTAAGTTTGAAACTCACATTATACTTATTTAATTTTTTTATCTGTCACACGTATGAAGTCATCAATGCTGATATCACAACAATCCTGTAAAATAGACACGGTTATAAAATAGGTACAACCGGTTTATGACAAACCTATAATATATCTTCAAACTAAATATAAGTTGTTTACATTCTGTTTTATCTTGTGAGAAGTTTTGTCAATGGCCTACTTTGGTAAGAATTAACTTGAGATAACAATATCAGGCCATTCTTGTAGGTACAGTAGGTGTCTTTATAACAATCCTACTGATATAAGTGAGGAAGTTTGGATATGGATGGATGGATGTTTGTGACAAGTAAACATGAAAGAAACTAAGCCGACATGTTTGATTTGATTTAAAAACATAGTGGTTGTCGGAGATGTGAATATTGATGTGTTGGAGGAATCGAAAAATAAAAAAATGTTGTTTAATGTTTTAAACTCTAACCATATAAAAGCATTGGTGAATTTCCCAACTAGAATTTGCAAAACAAAGAAGAGTGCAATTGATAATGTTTTTACTAATATAGCCAAGAGCAAAATTAAAGTTTCAGGAATAATTACTGAATTGTCTGACCATGATGCTCAGCTGTGTGTAATTACTGATAACAGTATAGAAATTTAAAAAATCCAAAAAAACAATTGTAACATACCGTAGGAAATTTACTGATGATAGAATTGCTCAGTTTTGTAAACTATTAGAAAGTGAAAATTGGATTAATGTGTTTAATGCACCTGTCAATGATAAGTTTGACATTTTCTTTGATATAATTAAGTATGATTTTGATGTTTGTTTCCCTAAGGTTAAAAGTAGATTAACCAGAGGAAATAGTAATTGGACTAGCTGTGTGCCCGTTCTACGCACGGGGATCTTATCATAGCCAGTTAAAACCTTCTTATATAAAGCACAGCAGTTGGTTTGCATACTTTCAGATATGCTGACAAAACTATTCCTTCGCAAATACAGTATCTGACAGTTTCAAGCCAAAACTAATGCTTCGCAATTAAATGTCACCCGGATCTTGTTGGTCCATATGTTATATCCAATGATTAAACTAAATAAACGGTATCAGCATTCTGACACATACTTTCTCCCATAAGTTTGTCAACAACCTTTATCATGTGTAAGCGGTGAGAGTAAATATACGGAAATGGGATTTGTACAATTTTGTTCAGAATTTAAAGGATTATAACATAATTGTTAAAAGTATTTAAGGTACTGTGACCTCAACCTCTTAATTTAACACTTTATTCGGGTTGACATTTTCATTATCAAGGCGCTCTTGTCCTTTCCGTGAAACATTGAGAAACAAGGACATTAATGCGTTACCATCATACATACACACAAAAACACCGAACTTAATTAGGGAATCTGCTACGCTTTAAGCATAAAAAGGTACATATAAAATTAGTACTTGAAATCTTTGTTAATGCCATAAAATTTGATCATAACAATTTATATTTCCTTGGACCGGAGATGACTCGAAATTCTGTCGAAATGCTATCTGAATCGGTTTGCTATATGAAATGAAGTACAGTAGGCCTACTATAGACGATTTAGATTGGTAATTTGTAATAAAAATTACCATAATAGGCCACGAACTATTGATACATAAACAACGTTCAAAGTGTTTGAACAATTCATGATGGTTTGCTGAATAAATGTTTTACTAAAATGCGTTATAGTTTTCTTAGCATAACATTTTGGAATCCAGACAGAAAAAGCAAAAATTATACAGTTAAGACATCAATTAAATTGAATAGGCCTACGCCTGTAATAAATAAGGTGCAACACCAACGATAACTAATTTGTAAATTACTGTGATGTGTTGGTACGTAAAAATGATTCTTGCTGCTACTAAAGGTTAAAAGGAAAAGAACCAGTACCGTACCAAAAACCAACGTTTACAGTTAAGAACTGTAGTACAGCCGACCAATTATATGCGTTAATCAAGGTTATTGATCTCTTGGTTTTGGATTTTCTCGTAAAAAGTTATCGGCAATCAAAGTTATTTCCCATTAATTGCTTTATTTGTACACAACTCTTGATGTAAACTTATCGGTGTCAGTTTGAAAAAAAAAACCTTATACAACATAACTTTCTGTTATTTAATAGATTACGTATTCTCTAAACAATGGTTGCTGGTATATATATTAACATTATAAGGAAATGTGACAAAAATCACACAACGTTGGGTTTTTGGACGTTTATAATTTTATTTCTTAAGTACCTAGGTAGGCCGTGTATTCTATGGAAAAGTACCGGTATCAAGGATCGTTGTCGAAAGGGTTGTTATAAATAATTGGGTAAGCATACGTACCACACGTACCCAAGAGAAGGGCTATGGGCCTATTGGCTGTATGGTCCAGCGATTGCATCACACGATGAGTAGGAACTATTGACTTTATATAGTCAATGGTAGGAACAGAAAGTGACACATTGGAAAATCGAGTTCAGCATCATCCGTAAACCTCTGTTACAATCACCCACTGCAGTTGTAATTTTTTGCTTTACACTTTACACAACCGCCATTGAAGAGCCGTCAATGAGTGGAACATTGTTTCTAAGCTATTGGCGACGGTCATTAGTAAATTTAAGTTTCCCAGCCGTATACAACACTGATTCAATCTTGATTTAATGTCTTCTTTCTGGTTATCAAAACTCCAAAACAATTTTATACACATATTTCTGGTTCCTGACCTGGATGATGCCTAGTTATTTAATTTACGGTTACACTATATTATTCCACTTGCGATTAATTAAATCCTTTATGTAATAAAAACGTTTTTAATCTCACTTGGATGGGATTTGCCTTCAAAACGTGATCGGAAATGGTTGTGGTGTTTGTAAACAACATTTGTAAACATTTCAGTGACAGCTAGAAAAAATAATCTTGATCCGAACAGCTGTTCGTTGTTTCATAGATGATTATGTGATACAAATTGGAAGAAAACTTGACAAAAACCGCACAAAACTGCATTTTTGAACGGCCGTAATTTTAATTACAAAGTAGTGAGACCATATTTTAATGGCTAAAGACACTCTCGCCAATCCAGTGAATACATTAAAATGACTTGGGTCTTGATAGGTACTCTCGTTTTCCTGGAGAAGATTGCGAAAAATGCCATCTTGAGTGTGTCAGACAGACAGACAGACAGACAGACAGACAGAAATTTAGATGAGACTTGTTTCGGCTTCTTTAATGTATAAAACGTAAAAATAACCTAAAAATGTATGATTCTGAGCAATGTACAGACAAAACTCTAATTTTATTTATATAGATTACAGGTGATATTATAAATAAAAGAATACATGTTTTAGATTTGAGTAATACTGCTAGGAATGTTAAAGATAAATCATTTCAAAATATTCTGATAAAAAAAAAGAAAGAACTAAAAAAAGAAGTCATTGAAACTAAATGTAATTATTATCATAGGCTAACTTATTGGAAAAATCACGAAATGTTAGTAAAACTACATGGGATATTGTAAATAGGGAAGTTGGAGCAAATCATAAATCAAGCCATGGTGAAAGTTTAAGTTTACCATATATTAAAGCCAATAACTGCACGGACGTTGAAGAAGTCTGTCATCTCTTTAATGATTACTATACAATGACGGTTGAAAATGACATATTGCCCAAACTTATATCTTCTACTGGTTCGAAAAATATTATTTCACCCTCCCAAAAATTTATATCAAAATTCAGTCTTTCACCAATTACTTATGAAGAGCTGGATAACATTATAACTTCTTTTGATAATAAATTTTCCACTGGCTGGGATGAAATACCAATGCCAATAATTAGACAGGCTCGTCTATATATATATTATTACCATTACTACATGTTATAAACTCTTCTTTTATCTCTGGAATCTTCCCCGAAAAATTAAAAAAATCAAAAATTAAACCTTGTTATAAAAATGGTAACCCAGAAGAAGTGTGTAATTACAGACCTATCTCACCGTTATGCTCATTTTCAAAAATTTTTGAGCGAGTTGTGCATATACAACTTTCAAAATACTTAGAGGAAAATAATTTATTAGATAAGGAACAATATGGTTTTAGAGAAGGAAGGTCTGTGATTGACGCAGGAGTCGATTTCTGTGAATCTATAATTAATTCAATTGATTCAAAGGAAAAAGTAGTGGGAATATTCTTAGACTTAACAAAAGCCTTTGATAGTGTCTCGCACGATTTACTTCTTGAAAAACTTAAATGTAACGGTGTAAAAGGGAGAGCTTGGCGTTGGTTTGAATCTTATCTTACAGGCAGGCAGCAGTATGTCACAATTGATCACATAAATAGCCATAACCAATTAATTACTTACACTTCCTCAACGAAAATTGTTAAGTATGGTGTCCCTCAAGGATCAATATTGGGGCCCTTATTATTCTTAATTTACTTAACTGACTTCCCCTCATTGATAGAATCTCCCAATCGTGTTTGTTTATTTGCTGATGACATCAATATAAAAATATCCGGAAATTCAAATGCTGATGTGGAAGTCTCTTCTTTTGTTGAGCTTACCAAATGTAACCAATATTTAAATGAAATCAATTTATTACCGAATACAATAAAAACTAATTATATAAATTTTTCTTCAAAGAGCAAAAATTCACCTGAGTTTAATATTTTTATGGATACAATTTTACTAAATGAAGTTAAAACAATAAAATTTCATTGGATTGCATATAGATGATAAATTCAACTGGGACAGTCATGTTGAAAACGTTTGTAATAAAGTCAACTCAGGCATACATGCATAAAGACAGATGTCAAAATTTAGTAGTTTAAAAACCTTAAAAATAGTATATCATTCCTTAATTGAATCACATATTTCTTTTGGGTTGTGTCTTTATGGGGGCACATCAAATTTTAACCTAAATAGCATTCTGGAACTTCAAAAAAAAGCAATTCGCATTATGTTAAAACTAAAGTCAAAAACATCCGCGAAAGAGCAGTTTAAAGAAATAGGAATTATGACTGTTTTTAGCTTATACATTTAGCAAATAGCCCTTTATATTAAATCAAACCATGAAAGATTGCCAAAATTGAACTCTTTTCATACATATTCAACCAGAAAAGGTAATGAATTGGCGTTCAACAGACATAATTTATCGGTTTATGAAAAAATTCCATCTTATAGTGGTGTTAAATATTTCAATAGCTTACCTGACAATATAAAAAATATAAGTAATTTTAATTCATTTAAAAAACGTTTGAAATTATTTCTCACCAACAGACCCTTGTATAAATTAGAAGACTTTTTCCAACTTCCTGAAATTTGATTTTTTTATAATAACAATTTTCTTTGTAAGTAGTCTTAAGTTTAATATTGTGTTTTTATAACTGACTCCATTCTGTACAAAATGTGCAATATGAATAAAGTTATTTTGATTGATTGATTGATTGATTTGATTCATGGGGGTAAATTTCTGGGGGCAGAATTCCGCTACCCCCATTAATGGACTTATTGTAAAATTGTGTTTACCGTATAATTAATCAAAATAAATCTACAAAAGAGCCTTTCCTCAACCTAGCTTTCCTTGAAATAGTGATGACTCTGTTATACTCGACACTGTAACAGATGAGACCTTGGCAACTTCCAACATTTTTTCCCCCGCAGCTGCAAAAAATCGAGAAATTTTCCCGGTTTTGAGTGATAAATATTCAGATCGCGTATTGCACCCAAGAAACAAAGGTAGCCTAATTAAATCTTCGATAATGAGTGGGTAACATATGACGGCAAGAAGAGGAAAAATAAATCTTGCAGTTCTGAATCAATGTTGAGCGGTGAAAAAAACCGACAAATCCGCTAAACTGGCGGCTGCTCCAGTTTCAAACAAAGCATGGTTATTTATAACAAGAGTGTAAGTCAATGCTGGAGTAAATACTGTTAAGAATCATATCCAGGCCTATTGTGATGGTGAAAACATGCTATGCGAGGAAGTCCCAGTGAAGTTTCCTGACTACATCATTTAAAGCTGCTGTTCCTTTGGATAAGAAAGAAGCAATTCTAGACCCTGACATTTGGCCTTAGAGGGCATTATGGTTGGAAACTATTCCTTTCGAAAGAAATTTTATCGAAGATCTAGTGGACATTTTTAGGCCCATGCTGGATTTCCCCAGGAACTACTTAACTCCTACTCCTCAGTTGTCTTTCCTCCAAACAACTGTAAGGCCTACGTTTGTGTTACGTAAATGTCCAATGTGTAAGGACTAAAATAAACCTCTTATCTGTCCCGTGTAGTGAGGTTAGGCTTGATGTACTGTGTTTATCTGAACATTGGATGAATGACGAGGAATCTCACAGTTTTTAACTATTGAAGACCTCGGTTTGGCTTATGCTTCTCATAGATCAGTCCCCAGTCTCCCGACTGCCCACCAGGGTCAAGTACTGCCTGGACAGTGTTGCTTCTGATTGTGACCCAAGCCTGTGCACTGTGGAGCTTCCCTCTACTGAAGTTGCTGATCACAAGGCGGTAATAGTGAAGACGACCCAAGGTTCGGTTAGTCCTGAACTCACTTTAAATACTGTACCTCTATGGCAAAATAGTTAGGTTAGGCCTATAAGAGAAGTTTCAGAAATCTAAATGATGTAAGGGCCTTGATAGATTTCAAACAGGACCTTCTAAACACAGATTGGAATGAATTAAATGGTCTTATCAATGTGGAAGAGATGCATTTGAAATGTTTTTTTTTTCTATTTACACCAGACTTTTTTACTTAAAATTCCCTGAGCAGGTAAAATCTGGAATGCTTTAGCCGGCTGCACTTTACTTTACATCCTACACTCATTTGAATGAAAAAAAATTTGATTATTCGATTGTTTCATTCGATAGCCTAGCCTAAATCGTTTGGTTAGTTAGGTTAACCTTACCTGACTGATCAAACATTATAGCCTAGGTAACTTATCGAATAATAGATGTATCGATCGATATTTTCATTCGAATGAGTGTAGGACGTAAAGTAAAGTGCAGCCCTTTAGCCTAAGCAAAATATGAGTGTTTTGAAAGTCTGAAAAACTTTCAATTTTACCCTTCCGTTGTCGACTGGTTTACCCCATGTTAGCGAGATGGAAAACTGTAGTCCTGATACTGAAAGATAGCTCTCAGTTGGCATTATATATAAGAATTTTAACGGATGGTGTGGCTGCACTTTACTTGACGTCCTACACTCATTCGATTGGTTTTTTCGATTCGATATTTTCATTCGATTCTATCGTTCGATATATCGTTTGGTTAGTTAGGTTAGGTTAACCTTACCTAACTAACCAAACGATATATCGAATGAAGCAATCGATTAATCGATATATCGATCGATATTTTAATTCGAATGAGAGTAGGACGTCAAGTAAAGTGCAGCCGATGGTGTTTTTGGCCTCTAAGTATCTCAAAACAAAAAAGATCGGTTCCAGGTCTTACCATGAGACCTACTGTAGTAACCTAAGCTTCTTCCCTATCAGGGAAATTCACTAAAAGGTAAAGATAAATACAGTTAGAAAAATAATTTCATGCATCCTGCTAGAGTACTTGAACAAGGCTAACCTTAGCTCTACTTGTTTCCCAATAAGGCATGTGTACTGTGTAGGCCTAGGTCTAGTCAATTTAACTTTGAGAGTTTTTCAGAAAAAGGGTATTGAATCATTGTTATGCTTAACTTACATGCCTCAATTTCCCAACATTTGTAATGGTGAGGAAAACATTATTCAGTTGAGTAAAAATCCCACACACCAACCTACACTAAAAACATAAACATGACCACAACCACTACCACTGACCGCTCCTGGAATGGGCACACGGAAGGGACTAAGGCTAAAGGTGTAGTGACGTCATATCTCTAGTGGCTAATGTCTTCTCTTGAGGCGACACGATTACCGTAACGAAACTATGAGATTTCAGTGGCGTTCGTGGCATGGTTGGTAGCGTTTCGGATTGATGTTCAGGAGGTCCCGGGTTCGAATCCCGCTGGCAGCACTAACTTTTTGTCAACAAATTTTTCATATCAGCAAGTCCGCTGAGTTGAAAAAATTTAAATTATTTTTTTTTTATAAAATTAACTTTTTAATCATACAATTTTTTAAATTATAAAATGAATTTTTAATTTTTAAAATTAAACTGGCATAACATAACCTAACCAACCAAACTTGCTGAAACTATAACAAAGATATAAGATAAAAATTGAATAAAGGTTCAATATTTAAAAAAAAGTTCTGTTCATAAATAAAATTATAAATGCATCATATTCTAACAAAAATATGTACAGTAAAGAAGTATTCGCATTCTAAGCAAAAAATCGTTGACAAAAAGCTAATGTCCCGGGTTGGTCTCGAACCCGAGACCTCATCCGAAACGCTACCAACTATGCCACGAACGCCGAAAAGCATTTATTTGGGACATTCGATAATATAAAAAAACTTGTCTGAACTGTTGTTTAGTTCCTGGACCGGGAAAAATAATATTGAAAAGAAAAAAATACTCAAACATTGTTGAAAGTAAAAAAAAAGTATTATACCTAATTTTTTATTAAGTTAAAAAAGTGATGTGTTTATGTATACATTCGTAAGCTACGGTTTCCAAGATCACGCCGGACGGCCAGCGTGATTGGAAAAGCGTGATTACGTAATCGTTTACTTATATACAACAGACACTCCTATCTATTTACTGTCATAGATAAAACAGACTCCCTTGTTGGTTAGTCTGTGAACTCACTAAGTAATATCATAGACTAAGGGGGTATGTTTTATCATAGACTAACCGACCAACCAACCATTAATAGACTTTTCATCCCATTGTAAATTTTTAAGCACGTTTTTCGTGTCTAGACACGAGTTAAAGGGAGCCGTGGTCTAGTTAATATCCGGTGGCACTGCTGGGGGTGTTAATGTGCCACGCTGATAAGGACTCACACTGGACAGAAGGTGGAAAACTCGTGTCAGACGTGATCGCTCGTCCTTGGAAACCACGACCATATAGAAGCATGGCTTCAACTTAAACTTGATAAGTGGTAATCACGCTTATCCACTCACGCTGTCCGTCCGGCGTGATCTTGGAAACCATAGCATTTGTCTTGTTTTTTTTAGTCTTGGTTTATTGGCATTTACATACATGTATCATGCACATATATAGAAATAAAACATGCCATTTCATTCATTCATTCACCTGCACAACGTAAGAGATATCTCTTATCATAAACCTACGCAAAACCCATCATCCCAGAAGCTCTGGTAAAAATTCCTTCGTTCTACCTATTTTTCATATATATTTTATATGTAAAACTAAGAAGGTAGACTGAAACCATGAATACAAAATATGGTTATTTTTTTATGGTATTTAGCCCAAACATATTTTTATTCCCTCGTTCACCTTCTCAGTTCTCAAGCAGTTGCTACCAGTGCTACCACGCTTTGTTTGAATCCCACCTCAGGTACGGGATCATCCTTTTGGGGTTGGTCATCACAAGAAAACCTCCAACGAGTTGGTGCTCCAGAAGAAAGCAATGCGGATACATCTTGGAGGCAATTTCTTACACAATAAAGGTCTCTTCGTCGAAGTATCTTGCCTTCATAGACTTTATAACACGAGGCGCAACGAGGATTTCCATCTGCTCTTCAACCTGCCAGATTGTCAAAGAGGGTTCACCTACAGTGTTGAGGAGGCGAATTTGGAATTGGCTTGCTGACTCTCCAATTTACAGCCTTGAGGAGTTTACGGCTCTTGTAAGACCACTTGCAAGACCCCATCTACGATTGGACTAAAAATCTTATCATGTAAATAAAAGATAGAAAAAGAAAAATTTGTATTGACACATTTTTGTGCTTTATGTTTATGAACAAAGCATTGTGTAATAATTAAAAAAATATATATAAATCTACTAAGGGAGTATGATTTGATCTATGGTGGTAATAATTAGATAGTTTAATCAGAATGTACATTTTATCTTTATAATTACATGAATATGTAACTGTATATGACTAATGGTCTTAAGCAGTGCTTACTTTCAACTTTCACCCGTAACTGTTGCTTTGTTCTCACTGACTCGTCTCAGTTATTACAACAGCGATCTTCCTTATCTGTGCAGTTTTGTTGTCTCAAATCATATGGTACATAATCAATTTTTTATTTACAATTTTACACCACAGAAGATGATTGGAGGGATAGTGTTAAGTTGTAAAATAAATAAATAGACAAAACCTTAAATAATAATCGTCTGCTAACCGTCTATTCTCTGCTCTAGCACATCAACAAAGCAAGAATAATTAATTTTGGATTGAGAACGAATTGACTAGCGCTCCACTACACAAGTACAAGTATGACATTTTTCAAGTCAGTAAGTAGCCTATATTTTGATTCAGCTTGAAAGTAAAACAATTTACACTGTTGGAGATAATGTCTTGAAATTAGACACATTACCCTAGGGATAACTATTTTCTATAGCTAATGGCTATAAATAGGCCTGTTCAGTTTTAGTTTTACACTAATAAGATTTGCAATTAGTAATTGACTGTTCCTATTTCTGTATTTAAGATCAACAGACTCTTGACTTATTCAGATCAATGTTTCATTTTACAAGATAAGACAAGACAAACTTCCTTATAAAATATCATTGTAGAAATATGCAACACAAACGTTAGAAATAACTTGTCAACATATAGGCCTACCTAGGCCTATTCTAGTTTTGTATGCTCATATCTCCATTTGATTGTAGTTAGGTACGCATTCAGTTAAATATAAAGGCTACTTACAGTCTCCGCAATCCTGTAAATTAATTGAGCACTACGGCCGTTTCGGAGATAACTCCATCGTCGGGTGCGTAGTCATCCGACTAACCTGAACTATGGTGTGATGATCACACTAATCTGAACTATTTACATATTTACATTTTTTACGTGGTTTCTTCATTTTCATTGTGTCAAAGTAAATAGTAACATACAACACAAAACACGGACACGACACGAAAACATTAAGGCATGTGCACGGCTAAAAACTGACGACCGACTGAAAAAAAACGACTGCATTCAGTTAGGCTGCTGCCAATAGATCAATAGACCGTATGGAATGGTCAAACTTCGGTAAAACAAATTCTTCAATGAATTTTTTTTTTTATCCTGAAACTTTCATAAAGGTCAATGCTAAAAAAAAACGGTACTTTCCTGTTAAAGAGAACATTCATTATTATCGATGATTTTGTATCGATATATCGATATTAACAAATTGAAACATATCAGCTGACAACTACGATAAATATTGTTCAGTATCGACAAACAATAATGAAATTAAACTGTTCTAAAAAAAAATTACCTAACATAACTAACCAAACTTGCTGTGTAACATTCCATGTTTAACTTGCCTTTTCTGTTTTCAAAAGTAATTTTTAAATGGTACAGCAAGTTTGGTTGGTTATGTTAGGTTAGCTTAGAACTGTTTCATTTCTTAAATCCATATAATATACTATTTTAACCTAAACAAGATCAGTTGTCAATATGTAATGGATCGGTAAACAAAAATATCGATATATCGAAAAAATCATCGATAATAATGAATGTTCCCTTTAACAGGAAAGTACCAAAAAAACACCTCATACAACGTAGTATTTAGGTTAAAAACCTCTGACAAATTTGTTTTTGATATGGGCATCAATGCGACCTCTATAAGATGAATTTGTCATGATCATAACCTCCATAGTAGGTACGTAGTTTTCAAAACAAACAGAAGCTTGTCTCAACATGAAACCTCCACCCATACCTCTTCCTTCCTCAGTCGTTGTTTGGCACGTGCCTGTGCAGTGGAAAAACCTCTATAAGATGAATAACGGCATTATTAAACCTCAATAAAACAAACCTCTTTATTAAGAATACCTCTATAATAAAAACTTTTTGCCTCATTAAATTAGATTTTTTAGTCTAATATTAAATTTTATATTAGTAATAATTGGCCTTTAAGCTGGGGTTTTCTAGACGTGCAAGCGGATCAGGTGATGAAAGAACTATAGGTAAAGCAAACTCATTGCTTATTTAACCTCAATTGATCAAAATTCAAAAACAAATTCTAGAATTGTTCAGACACTAGATTAGTCATACAAAGTGTTTTCTGTAGGCTAATTATATAAGGCCTACCATTGACCATCAAAGTCTTAATAAGACACAGTCTGATAAAGAAACCATACCTCACGATAGGTAGTTTATTACTTGTATGGTATTTAATTTCCTTTTATATCCAAACGGTCACGACCCTTACATAATTGATTCATGCAAATACAGGCTTAGTTTATACATAGTTTATAATTTAGACTAGTTAGGTACAATACAATTAATACAATACAATTAATTTGACCCCTTTTAGCGAATTTCCCATATAGGGAATAACTTACTGTAGGTCTCATGGTAAGACCTGCACTTGAGACTGATTTATTTTTTTGTTTTGATGTCCCCAGGGGTCAAAAACAACATCCGTTCAAATTCATAAACATATAACAGTTTTGTTATATATCAATATATTATATGATAAATTGAGCAAAAATCATCCAATTTTGATAACATTTCTAGTACAAACTTGTAGATCTACGATTACTCTAACGAGTACGCGAATCAGCGATCGGACCATGGGAACGTGGTTCTATGGTATGAAAATAGGTATTTTCCATTTTTTACCCTCAAAACATCAAATTTCCCAATTTCTCTCTAAACAATGTTGAAGAGCTAAGATAAAACAAATAAATTGTATTTAGTATATTGAAGTGTTTTTGTATAGTTATTGGTTAGCCTACAAGTATTAAATTTAAAATGTATTCCTATGGTTTTTTTTTTTTTAGAATAAGTAAACTGTAGTTGGTAGTTTTCTTGTTTATGGATATATTTTTATCAAACTTGGAAAATTTATTTATTATACTAAGCTATTAATATTTTACTAAAAACAAAACACACTTTATGACCTTCCTTGTAGCAGCAAACCTAGGTATTGGCGAAACTTAATGTAATTTAAATAGATTTAAGTGAAAATCAATTCAGGAAAATAGAAATTTGCTTAGTCAGCAGGTTTGCTGCGGCAGGGGTATTTTAACTTGAGATTTGGTTTGTGTTCCAGACGTAACATCTTACAGAGCTACTCTCTTTGAAACTATTATTGACAATGGATATTCAATGTGCAGGATTTACTTTCATTTCAAATTTTGATTCGGGCAATTTGGCTCGAGTTGAAGAAGTCACAAAACCCTCTTCTGGTAAGTTCATACTTTGTAGCTATAGTAGTTAGTAGTTTAATTATTGCCTGAAATTGAGCATTGCCCATATGGCACAAACATATGGTTGCCTACAATTATGCATTAGTCACACTAATTAAGTTTAGAACCATCATAAGTACTACCACCATTTGTTGCTTGATTTGTTTACAACAAACCATTTTCTTAAAACTACTTATTGCGTTTTTTAACTGAAATAAAAAATGAAATGCATTTAAATCATATAAACGCTCTGGAGAAAAATACAAAGCCTAGAATCAAAAGATTGCAGTAAGCCTACACAAATTTAACTTTCAATGATGACACAGCTGATGCAACATGTTTTAAACCGAAACAAAAACTACCCTTATAGTGACATAGTCTATGGGGTTGACATCAATTCTCTAGATAAAGTAAATCTTTCCAGTCAAGCGTTTTATTTATAATGAAAATGTGTTATTTTACAGTCAAAAAAATACTTTTCTGTTTTTCATTCGTCCTGAATTGTTCCAGACAAAGGTGGAAATGATGTTGGCGCACCTGACTTTGAATTTAACATTTGGACTCAGCCGGACTGCGCTGGCACGGAGTTTGAAAATGAGAGCAGAACGTGGTTTCACTTTGGTATAAAAGGCAAGGAATATTTTGTTGACCAGTTAAGACCTCTTTCAGCAACTGCAGTGAAATGGCTTTGTGTTTTCAGACCTCGCTTTTCTGCTGATCGCTGACCTAAGTGACCGTTGTACTAATTTAGTAGTGAAACACATTACCTTTCGTCCAAATCACAGATACAGTGTATGCCTGTGAGAATTTCCGCCAATATCAGTGATTTTTGTTGATAAAGGGATTTTTTAGTCTGATTAATGATGAATGGACGTAGGTAAACTGATAGGCCCTGCAAACCTATTAGAGGAAATTTTTAATAGTTTTCTTGGAATTTTTTGTGGACGTGTAATCATTTAAATTAATCTTGTTCATAGGTGGTACTCCCTTTGCACTTGTCAAGTTAAACATGGTAAATTTAAACCGGCAAAGTAAGATGTACAGCCAGGGTATGGCCCCAGTGTTCAGGATATCTCCGGGCAGATCTAGCTGGGAGAGGATACGAGACAAACCCACATTCAATGTAAGTAGACTACATAAGTTTTACAATTTCACTTTCTTTGTAGATTATTTTTTTTGTCAAATTGGTTTAAAATAGTTTTCAATACTTTTTTCCTCCTGCCTTTTAAAATTTATTAAATTTGCCTACTACAAAATTTATTATTTTTACGCTTAGCCTACTTCGACAAAATTATCATCAATGAATGATCTCTACTTTACCTTTCAAAGTTTTGGCTTGCATGATGAATTATAGGGATATAAATTATAAAAATTTCTAAACTAGTAGAGGTTTATTGTAACAGAAGGTACAAAGATCTTGGTAATCTGGACCCAGGCTTAAAGATGGTGTCAATTATGTTGGCCCCCAGGGAGGATAGTGCAGGAGGGACAGAAAACTTCTCCCACCTCTCTTCTCCTAATCTGCATGCATATATTAAATCTAACAGCAATTTTTTAGATGACTGTGCAAAATAAAAAGGTGATCGGGTTGAAAACAGTTCTAATGAGAATGTGTATTCTGCTTGCCACTCTAAATGATTTGGTCCCTACTTGAATGTGAAGAGTCCATCCTGGCAAATCAAATCAAATCAATATATCTTTTTTCATACAAGACAAGTAGGCCTACATGTTAGTACATCTGAATAGTGTAAGCTTAGCCATTTAAATTAACATTTGCTTAATTATTCATATACTCTTCTATTGAATATAATACTTTGGAAACCAAGTAAGTTTTTAGTTTTAGTTTAAATTTGGAACTGTTTATTTGACACTTTAATTCTTTTGGTAATTTTCTAAAATAACTTGCTCCTTTGTAAGACGGCTTCTTTGTGTAAAATTCAAGTCTATGGTGAGTGGGTATGATTTCATTCTTTGCGTGTGTTGTAAAGTAATGGTGTATTTCTTGTTCAAAAATTGTATCCTTCTTATTGTTAACCCCTTCGCTTAAAGCGACGGCGATTCGCCGTCGTGCTCCCGCGAGCCATTGTGTGAAGCGACGGCGAATCGCCGTCCGCCATTAAAACCAATATTTGCCGAGTTAGTTCCCAAAAAATCCAACAGATCGCATATGCTTCTTGTTCTGCAAGCTTCAGGCTTTCATTTGGTTGTATTTTCGTCGTCCACGGCCTGCCCAATCGGCAAAAACAATCAATTGAAAATTACGATTTACCAGCTGACGTTGGGAACGTTGTCTTGGCAGCTGTCTGCCTTGTTTGTTTATGTTTACATCGTCATTTCACAACAGTATTTATATTATGTTGAATTCTATTTTTCGTTTGCAAATAGTTGTTTTATAAAATAAATAAGATGAGTAACTTTTTATTTGTTGATGAGTGTGGAAGGGAATTGGACGAAAGTGAAATTGCTAAACTAATTGAATGTGACAGTGACTCAGACAGTGATTGTTATTTATTTGAAGAAAGGCTTGAGAGTGATGATGAATTATTAGAAATAAACAATGAACACGTAAGTGAAGCATGCAATAGTATAAGTATTGCTGACTGTGAACCTCAAGATTTAGCTGATAATGGTGTGACAGAGCATGCTAGCCCTAGGCCTGTTATAAATAGTGATTGTTTGCATGACCTGCATGTTAGGCCTAAGCCTGTAAATAATGATTGTTTGCATGACCAGCCCTCCTGTAGTTATTCCCGACCTATGTCCCCTCAAAATGTGCCTTTTAGGCCTAGTCCTGTGTCCTATGAACAGCAAAGTTCTGATGATGAAAACCCTGTTGGATTTATGGAAAAAATTTACCGAGGTAGGGTAATTGCACCTGCACTATCTCCTACACCCAGTGAGGAGGCTGAGGCTGATGACCCTAGTTTTATTGAAACCATTCCTTGTCAAGTACCTGAGTATAGTAGAGGTGCAACTATTGGTAGATCAAGGGGAAGGGGAAGTAAACGAGGTAGGCCTAAAGGTAAAATTCCTAGTTTAGTGCTACCTAAGCCTACTAAACGGTCTAAGGGCCAACCTAAAACAGCTAAGAAAAAGAAAAAACAAGGTTGGAAATGGACCAACACCATAGAAGACAATAGTATTTTCAAAATACCTTTTACAGGCTGTCCTGGTGTCAGGGCAAGCTTAGCAAGAAATTTAGGTCCTTCTCCATCTGAAGTTGAAGTATTCAACGCGTTTGTCGAGGATGATTTTTGGCAACATGTTTCTACAGAAACGAACAAATACGCCGAAGAGACAATTGAAAAAAATAATGCAAGTGGTAAAGATAAACAGTTATTCTCTGAATGGTTTGAAACAACTCCTGATGAAATGGCATGTTTTTACAGTCTATGTGTTTTGATGTCACTTGTGAAGAAAAGGACCATTCAATCGTATTGGGCCCCTACTGCTACTACTGAGACTCCGTTTTTTCGAAAAGTTATGCCTTTTCGTAGGTTTTTGCTCTTGTCAACAATGTTCCATATTTGTGATAATAAAAATAAGCCTCAGAATGACAAACTGTGGAAACTGAGGTATGTCATTGATTACATGAATCAAAAGTTTTCACGGTTATATTTGGCCGATGAAAACATTGCAGTAGATGAAAGCTTGATGAAATTTCGTGGGAGGTTGGGGTATGTGCAATTCAACCCCAAGAAAAGAGCCAGGTTCGGAATCAAATTTTACAAATGTTGTGAGTCAAGCAGTGGATACTGTACAAAATTTAAAATATACACCGGTGCTGAAGTGAAACAAGGCGAAACAGTGGAAGAAGGGGGTGGAGACACTGCTGAGGATGATAAACTTTTGGTGAGCGAGGCCATAGTCATTGAAATGGTCAAGGAATGTTCCGGTAATGGTCATACCCTCACAATTGACAACTGGTATTCCTCACCTCTCCTCTACTATAGATTGAAACATATTGGTTTCAATGTGATCGGCACGGTGAACTCTTGGAGGACAAATATGCCTGACAGCTTCAAAAGTGGAAAACTTGATGTCGGTGAGTATGAAGTTGCGTTTAGCCACGACATGATGGCCCTTAGATGGCAGGACAAGAAAGAAGTGTGTGTCTTGTCTACTTTCCACAGTAAGGGAGACAAAAAAACAACTGGAAAGAGAGACAGAGTCAGCGGTGAGGTGATTACCAAGCCTGAACCCATCCTCTATTACAACAGCTCGATGGGCGGTATCGACCGAGAAGACCAACAGCTCGCTTCTTTTCCTACGATGAGGAGATATGCTAAAGGGTATAAGAAGATTTTTGTTTACATTTTGGACATAGCTCTCTTCAACTCTTATGTTGTTTTTAAAAAAATCACCCAGAAGAAGATAGGATTTGCTGAATTCAAAAGTAAATTTACTGAGCAAGTGTTCCAGACCAGACAACTACCGGCCTACAAACGAAGAGGGCGGCCATCAACATCTGAAACCCCTCTACGGCTTCAAGCAGCTTCTTGGGGTCATTTCCCAAGACAAATCCCACCTAATGAAGTAAAGCAAAACCCATCAAGACGCTGTAAAGTTTGTAGTGCACAAGGGAAGCGTAGTGACAGTCGGTGGGAGTGCGAAATGTGCCTGGTTGCGCTTCACCTACCCGAATGTTTCAAGACATATCATACTAAGTTGAACTTTGCTTGATATCTTTTTGAGTCTACAACATGTCAATCAGTATTTTAAGGCAGAACAGTAAGATATTTTTAACTTTTATAGTCAAAATTTTTTTAAAAAAGCAAAAATAAAAAAAATTTAAATTTTTTTTTTGTATTATATGGTATAAAGAAATAATAAAAATACTTGTAACCAATAAAATGTTTGTTTTTTTTAATCTAAATTCAATTCTGATTAGAAAAATAACAGTATTTGATATACAAATACAAAATTCTGAGTGCAGGTAAAAATATTGTAAATTGTGTAAAATTACACAGAAATAATTCATTTTTTTGGCCCGGTTAGGTGTAAAAATAAGTTTAAGCGAAGGGGTTAAAAAATATCATAATAGTGTCCAAAATAAACTGAACATAAACTGTTAATATGTTTAGCATTTTAAAATGTTCCCTGCATGATTTATCTGGATTTAGGTTCTTTATTATTCTAATTGCTTTCTTTTCTTCTTTAAGTATTTTATCTAGATTTTCTAATTTAGATGAGCCATACAGACTAATTCCAAATGAAATGTGTAAATGAATTTATGAATGGTAAATAATTTTAAGAGTGGATTCACTGGCAAGATTACAAATAAAAACTACATTATGGTCGAACATTAAACCTAATTGTAACTTTCTTTGGTTGAAAATGCTTTCATTGACAGTGAAATAATCTTATGTTTATCAAACAGTATACAACTTGTGTTTCTTATGCCAGAATAGATTCCTCTCAAACATGAAAACATGTTTTTTTTTTAATTTCTTAAACTCCAAGCAATGCCACATATAAATCTATAGCTGTGTAAATTTAATACATTTCTTTTCAGACGGAAGACAATGTGTTCACCATGAGTTTCAAGTATAGAACGTTGGAAAATCTACGTTCGATCACTTACTTTGCATTTACATACCCGTACTCTTACTCAGAACTTCAGACCAGCCTGAGTTTGATTGACAGCAAACTACTCAGCAATAACAAACCTCGTAAGTTGTCTTGAAACTAAAAGTGAATACAGTAGCGTCCTCTGTGGTTGGGCCAGCTGAAGTGAAAGGCTTCACTTTCCAAGAATTTAATTAGAGGTTAGAAATAATGAACTCTTATTTCAAGCTATGGGTTACCCAAGAGCCTAAATAACAATAAAATCTGGAAATGTATATCAGGGAAATATTAGCTTAATCAAGGCGTTCTGTTTATTTGTTTTATTTATTTACCACATCTTTGGTTACTATTTACTATGCTTAAGGGATCTTTGCCAAGATTATCCATCATGATTAGTAAAAACATAATTTTACACAACCTTTCAGGATCTGGAATCCATCCCATCCTCAGGTGAGAAATTACGTACAACTTGACAAGATTTGTACAAAAACACAGCCTAAGCTGGAAAATTATGAATAAAAAACCATACAGTGAACTGTATAGGAGTGTTTGCCAATTGGCAACTCCAATACATCTCAACAATGCATGTTTACATCTACCATTGTATTATGATTTCCTATGACATGAGTGTTTTACACAGAGCCGAGACCTGACGACATTTACTACCATCGTGAGCCAGTGTGTTACTCGCTGGAAGGCCGCAGAGTGGAGTTGCTGACAATCTCCTCTTATCACAACATCTCAGCCGAGAGGGAGCCTCGTCTGGCCAACCTCTTCCCTGACACTGATGTGCCGAGGCCTTTCCAATTCACCAACAAAAAAGTATGAGATCATTGTATCAGGTTAGACTTATAGAGCTTAATATTCCTAGAACATGTAAATGAGTGGTTAAAATACCCTATTGTATCTAAATTCCCATAGAAGGTAATAAGCTATTACTGTAGGTCTCATGCTAAGACCTGTACCCGGGACCGATTTGCTTTTTAGTTTAAATATCTACAGAGGCGAAAAACACTGTCCGTTCAAATTCATATATTTATTTAATATATATATATATATGTCCGTTAGCACAATAAGTCATGCTGATTTTGATTTAACTTAGTACAAACGTGTAAACCTAAGTTTATTCGTACAAGTTTGCGAACCAGCATGATCTGACCATGGGAACGTGGTTTTATGGGGGGGGGGGGGGGGGAAATAGGATTTTCTTATTAATGGCCCTCAAAACATAAACCCAATTTCTCTTTAATCATTTTAATGAGCTAAAAAAAAAACATATAAATTTAGTTTATTGAAGTTTTTTTGTATGGTTATTGGCTACAGAGAAAATTACAAAAATTATAAATTTAAAATTCCTATGTTATACTTAGGAGAATGAGTAAACTGTTGTAATTTACTTGTTTATGCATATATTTTGATCAATCTTGGGAAATTTATTTACTACTATGCTATTAAAATTTTACTAAAAAACTCTTTCTTACCCTCCTTGTAGAAGCAAACCTAGGTACTCAATAAACCTATTGTTATTTAAATAGATTTAAGTGAAATTCAAATCAGGCAAAAGGGTATTTGCTTAGTCCGCAGGTTTGCTGTGACAGGGGTATTTATTTTATGTTGTTAAATGTGTTTTATGGTTTTACGAATCAACAGAAAAAGTATGTACGCTCTCCAGTTGTCATGCGGATGAATCTGAGTATTTATGGTGAAAATGGTAAAAGATAAGTGAGTTTTTGGCTGATTTCCATCTCTTCTAGGGAGCCACTTTCCATTTAGAGTTTCCTTCCAAAATTGTTCTATCGTGTCTTCATCTCTGATGTCTGCTTTTTGTTCGACAGGAATGTCTGGTTCTTAAAAAAGAAGCCTTAGTTCCCCATATCGTTTCATTTTTCATTTCCTTTTTTATTATGGCAAATATTTTCTATAATACTTCATTTATTTGACTTCTGGTTGAAATAGTTTCTCACCTGACTCCTAAAAGTGCTACAATGTCTACGTTATGTATTAAAGTCCTTCAGTTGTGTATCCTCCCCATCTTTCTCAAAATTTTTAAAAAGCTTCTTGTATTTGTAATCTAATAATTAAATGTTGTGTCATATTTGTCTTTTCAAGGTGGTATTCCTGAGTGCCAGAGTACACCCTGGAGAAACTCCCTCCAGTTTTGTACTGAATGGAGTATTGACCATGTTATTGAACAAGGACGACGTAAGTGCCCAAGCCCTGCGGCGACTCTACGTGTTCAAGCTCATCCCCATGTTGAACCCCGACGGTGTGGCGAGAGGGCACTACCGGACTGACACTAGGGGTGTGAATCTCAACAGGGTATACAACAACCCCTCACCCACTCTACATCCGTCTATTTACGCAGCCAGGTATGGTACACTTACGGCGAGGGTGGAACATTTTTAATTTGAAAAGATAAACCTCGAAGAAATTCTAAAACTTTAAACAGTGCATTGGATTTTATGATGGTTTTGACATTTTTTTTAAGATACAGAAGATTGTAATAAATCTGGATTTTGAAAAATCTGGGCTGATAAAATTGATTTAAAATTGTAACACAATACTGGGGTTTACCCTATTAGTTTCTATTGTATTTATTCTGTATTAATATTTACCTATGTAGGTTTTATGAGTAATTAGATTTTGGAAATCTATGCATCGGTATGGGAGTTTGTTTCAGATATTTTGTACCATTTTGCATAACAGTACTTCAGTAGACCTAATGTATCAAAAGTTGATGAATCAGCCCCTAGTACTAGCAATAGCAGGCTATTATTTGCCACTCCCCACCACTCTTAAGGCTGTACAAGTGACTTATGATCAACTCTGAAAATCCCAATGTTCTTGGAATCTAGATTGACTGTTTACCACGTTAGTCCATATTTAATTTAAATCAATCTTATTTAAATGAGTTATCTTTACAGATATTTAAATTTAGTGTTGACAATTTACTACTAGAAGTAGGCTGTTAAAAACAATCAGGAAGGCATAGATTTATATTACGCATATATAATATATTGCATTAAATTATCACTTTATCCCTCAATAGCCCCTGATTTCTGAGATTGTTCTATAGTTTCAATTTCTTCAAAGAATAGTTTTAATTTATTATCAATATAAGTAACTGTACACGTTTTCAATTTTACTTCACAGAGCTATTATTTTTAACATCTACTCATTGTTTTTGTGGAACTTTTGCAGGAGCCTGATCAGATACCACCACTATGGCGAGGAGGTTCCTGAGACTGATGATCTCATCTCCAACAGAGTCTCCGGCTTGTCTCTAGAACTGTCCAACAACTTGCCAGACACTCGCGAGAACCTGTGAGTCAATCTGTACACTTGATGAGTTATAAAACCTGTCAAACTAAATTGTTATGGTTATTAAGAGTTAATAGTTAGTTTATAGTTACAAGATACAGTTTCAGTGTTTCTGCAAAATAAGTAAATCAGATGGTACATTTATAGTTATTCTGTAGTTTACACAACGATCGCGTAAAGATATTGTTAACAACACGAGTAGAAAATTTAAGGTACGAGCCTTGGCGAGTGCCTTAAAAACTTCTAGGAGTGTCATTACTCAATTTACTTGAGTTGCGTACACTACTTTACCTACAACCGGTTTTTAATTAGCCTACTAATAATCACTACTCAAAACTTCTAAGAGAGGTTATGTTTTGTTTATAACCTCTCATTGCACTGACATTGATGCAACGAATCGTTGTACCAATCACTAATTGTGCCAATTGTTTACAATTAAATTGGTTAACAGCTAATTAGCTAAAGTTTGAATCATTACAATTTTACTTATTCTCTCTCAATCCTTCAACCTCATTGGTCAGTTACCTGTGTTTTTAAGTAAAACTATGCTGTTATGTAAGGAAACAATGCTGTTAGGGGAAACTTTTCAATTCTAAGAACTGAACTGAAACAGCTATTTAAAAAAAAACGGCCGTAGGTAAAAGTTGTAACATAATTTTGAAGACTACAGTAGTAGTATAATTTAAATATGAATATGTGATTCCAATTCAACAAAATTGGCTGAAAGCTATTCAGACTGGCTTCTGCTTGCAACCTGGAAGTCAAGTAAAGTTTAGAACTGCTGGTGTTTGGTTGACCAGTGGTGTTAATGTGCCAGACTGTTCAATTTTTTAAGTCTGATAAACTACAAACTGCTTTGCCCATCCAGCCAGGAGGCAGTGAGGGCTCAAATCCCACCTGCAGGTCTAAACAGTCGACGACTAACGTAATTGGTTAGTTCTTTATGAGTTGCTCATAAAATCATAATATAGGTACTACTTTTTACCTCTCCTTCCTGTATGAGTGTCCATCAAATTATAGTTTAAAATAATTTGTAATTTGTGTACCTTCATGATATGAGAGAGTTTTTTTTATAGGCGTAACTAAATCCATGTAGTTCAAAAGGTTAATATATTTTCAGATCATCAGTTAGCTCCAATTCAGAAAGCATTGATGAACACGATGATGTAAAGGAGAATTCAGCGATCATGTCCAAGTTGTCACCCATCTCTTCTCCTGGAGGCCCCAGCAAGGAAGGATCGGAACATTTCCAATCTGGGTTGTTCCTGTATGTTGACTTTCACGGACACGCTTCCAAGAAAGGTAGAAGAAGTTTAAAGTAAATATTGTTAATTGGTACCTATTCTCATCTAATCTAATAGTGTTTGAGACTAAGACTATATTTACAATTTTGAAAATAATTGTCGGTAAAGTTATAGGGCTCACAGTGACAATGGTATATTCTTGAATTTGTGAGAATTTGTTTCCCATTAGATTATCATGTAGATTCACTTCCTTAAAATATTTTTATAATTTACACATTATCATAGATTTTCTATACTGAAGGAACACATCCTATTTATCTGAACCAGATTTTTCTTGTTTTGCGTAGTTAAACATCGCGGGAAAACTATCTCGAATAAGGGACATTGCTGTGATCGCAAGTAATCAGTAGTTTCCGTTCGATTGCGAGAAACTTTCACAGATTTTACCGCAATCTTCTTGGATGCTTACAACGTTACTGTAATTCAGTCGTTTTAACACAAGTAATTATCACGGACGTTGCCACGATCGCATGAAATCATCACAAATTGTGCCGCTATTACAAGATGATCTCAGATGTGGCCGCGAACGCTAAAAAATCTTCACACGGGTTTTATAGTAAAATCATTACAGGTGTAACAGTCGCGGCATAATATCAAAGTTGTTGCCGTGATCGTGTGAAATAATCAAAGGTTGTTAACATGTCCACCGGCAAGATAAACCACTGTGGGTAGGATGTTGCCGTGATCAAGAGATTATCACGTGTGTTGCTGCAATCGCAAATAATGATTACGGAAATGCTGCAATCGTGGGAAATCATCATAAAATTTTCAAGAAAAGATTTCCTGATACGGCCATTGATGTCTGACATCGCGAGAAATTTTCACAGAGGTTGCAGCAATTATGGGAAATAATCACAAATCTCTCTGTGATCGAAAGATATGATCATTGATGTGGCCTTGATCGCATGAAATGATCACAGAATTCGCAGAAGGGGTTTTAGTTTACTAGAAGTAAATTAAGTTAAGTTTTGCTTTTTTTTGAGCGGCAAGTTTTGTCTTGAAAATTTAATTTAGAACCTGGAAAACTTTGAATTGTCCTTAATGTTTATTTTGGTAGGATGCTGGCCACTCTGTAGTAACATTTTGTTCTGTATAATATGATATCATCAAAAATCCAACTCGGAAAACTGAATATAATTATATGAATTCAATCACAAAGCTGATTATTTTTCAGGCATATTCATCTATGGGAACCACTTCTCAAACCCGACAGACAATGTGGAGTGTATGTTGCTACCCAAGTTGATGTCTCTCAATTCACACCACTTCCATTGGACCTCATGCAACTTTTCTGAAAGGATTATGTATTTAAGGTAACACATTGATGTTTCAAAATTCTGCTTTGAGACCTTGTATACAAAAAAATTTTCCCTTTTGTACAAAAATGAGAGTGGCGTAATGTGGAATCTTTCTCAACAAAAATATCTTATATAGACTAAGCGGAACATTAACAGTATGTACTAGACACCTACCATTATTATTATTTAAGGATCACCGTCTAAAACATATTTTTGGTAAGAATATCAATTATATAATGCCATAGGCAGCAAATTTAATGAGTCATAAAATGATGAAATGGAGATAGAACTCGTACAGCTGTGATGGCATGTTCTAGGGACAGACACGGAGGTCTCAGTAGGGAAGGGTGTGGCCGTGTGGCTGTACTGAAGGCTACAGGACTTGTACGTAGCTACACACTAGAGTGTAACTACAACACTGGTCAGATGGTCAATATCCTACCTCCCACACAGCGAGACGCTCACGACCGCAGGAACAATAACCTCCTGGTGCCTCCCAAGTACAGTCCGTCTGTCTTTGAAGAGGTACTGACTCCTATTACTACAGATATTATTTAATCACACAAGTTTGTAGAGTACCAAAATCTCTCACATTCTTCAGATTAGTGAATTGTCAGTCGCTAGCCTAGGCTGTGGTAGTGATTCACTAAATTGCATCACTTTTGTTCTGTATTTGCTCTTAACTTGTACTTATATCCTTTCGTAACATCTAACCAGAAGCCAGTTGGATCCAGCAAAAAGAAAGTAATTTTTTTTGTGGTTTTAAACTGGTTCCAGCTGTTTTTAATGATTGTGCTAAAAAGACAGCTGAGCTCTGTCTATAGTCCTTGCCACCCTAACTTGAGGCAGCCCAAGGCCGCGCGCCGTATATCTATCTTTGGCTGTTTCAAGATGGGGTGGCGAGGACTATAGCAAAGCAACACAAGGCATCTCACTCCTTTCTTATCCTTCACTCGTAACCAGGTACAAATATGCAGCACTGTTGAAACGGGACAGTGAGAGTGTTCAGTCTTTGGTCTTAGTATAATGATGTGATGGTTATAGTGAACATGGCTATATGATGATAAATAATGATAATGATTGACGGTCTGACAGTCCAACTGGAGAAACAAGTACTGGGAGAAAGAGAGCTGAAGAAAAGAAGAAGTCTTCACATAAAAGTGACTTCAGTAGTCCCATGTTGGCCATAACATGAAAATAATAATCAAACAGATAGTTAGAAGAAGATTTATTGATTATTTTATACTTATTCTACATAAGCCTCCTGAAAGATGGCAAACTTTATTATTTTCTGATAAAACAACCTAAAAGCTATATTTGAACATTTCTGCAAGATTCTACTTGCTCATTGGTTGGGTGTAGTTTCAAATAGCCTTTAAAGTGTCAATAAAGACTATTTGAAAAACCCATGTACCTACGATCGTTTTTTAAAGTAGCCGTTTTAGTTCAGTTCATAAAATTGAAGTTTCATATAACAGCTTAGTTTTAACTAAACAACACGGGTAACGAACCAGTGAGGTTCAAGGATTGAGATAGAATAAATAAAATTGTAATGATTCAAACTTTAGCCAGTCAGATGTTTACCAATTTAATTGTTAACGATTGGTGCAATTGGTTCAATGATACGTTGCATCAATGTAAGTGGCAATGAGAGGTTATAAACAAAAGCATAACATATTTTAGAAGTTTTGAGTAGTGATTATTAGTAATTAAAAACCGGTTGTAGATAAAGTAGTGTACAAAACTCGTGTGAATAGTGTTCAATCCATCAATCAATCTTGATTTTAACAAGTAATAATGCAGCATTACATAATATACAAAAATTATCCCATGGGCCTATGTGTGATATGAGTTCAACAATGGCTGCATGTGTTAACGTGATCATTGCGTAAACTACTATTTAGGTCTACAAAGTGGTCCGGAGTTTGAAATGAAACTTTAAAATCATTTGTAATGTTTTAGGTTGGGAAAGGCCTGTGCTACTCAATACTGGACCTTACTGGGGCAAACCCTAACTCCAGACTGTGTAATTCAGAGTTCCGATCTCTTTGTGGAGTCCGAGATTGGCTCCGCAAGTATGTTATGGTGACTGAATCAACCTTGCAGCCCAAACCTCTGAACCAGGTATGTTGCAGCTGGCAAATATTTTCACAATAAGTACGTTGCATGAATATTGTTTACTACGATGTAAAATTATGTTATACAAAATAACTTCCAGATTCACCAGTACGGGGAAATGCTAACTGTATGGTCAAGCTTTTAAACAAACAAAAAAACTAATTGTTGAGTTTTTCAATTTTAACAGAATTGTGTTCTTGTGCTGGTGTGCTTTACTCTTTATTTAGTTTGAGTATGGGGTAGAAACATTAACTACAGGGTGGGGCAATGAAAGCGCCCCAATTTATAAGCAGTACAAACTCAATAATATTCACCCTGTGGATATAAATAGCACATCAAAACACAGCTTACCTTTTGCCATTTTAACTTAATAAAGTCATTTTTCCATTTCTTGAGAGCGAAATCCTGCAAGTGGCGTCCTTGTCCTACTTGACATTAGGCACTTGAAAACTCCATCATATACCCCTCCAGCATTTCTTCAGGAATCACTTTAGTTTTTGGACAATTCTTAGCTTCGGATCAAGAAAATCTGTGGGGTGACTTTAAAAAATCTCGAACTTCAAGTAGCTTATTAGAAACCCCCCCCCTTCCAAAAAAAAGGAGCCAACGTAAAGCTTTTAACAACAACAGCGTCCTGGCAAATCTCTTTGGACTTTGAGTTACTGCGACTCGCACTCTTTCAACATTTGCTGGTGTACAAAGAGTTTTGCGGCACCCACCGATTATTTTTAAGGTTTAAGCGTTTATCCTAAATAATTTTACCCAGTTCACCATTGTTTTCCAATCTGGAACAGTGCCATGTTGACCAAGGATGGAATGTGGTCCAAACAATTTCTGGGTTTTTGCACAAGAACCACCATTTTAAAAATAGGTTTGCACATCAAAATCTCAGTGTTAATAGCCTCGGGCATAATATTTACTAAAATGGCATAGTTTAATTGATGTTTTAAGCACAGTTGATCATTTGTTGTTGCAACAATTAACATGTGACAGCTAAAACAAATTGTGACGTTCTCATTGCCCCACCCTGTATTTGTGAATAATTTGTGACCAGTTTATCTTAGGTTCCATAGGGCATTCCATAGGAAATTATTATTTTAATAACTATACAGAGTGAAGGGATTATTTTTTGTATATTAATATAATTCAGGTTATTGTATTTGTTGGATCGCTTCACGTTTTATTTGATAATTAATATCATAATATGTAGATGTGGTTTGTCCATCATTTTTAAATAACATATTGAGCAGTTGAAAATTATCCTACTTGAAAGGCATAGTTACAAATTGTTAATTACGTTTGTACATACTATACGTACAAAGAATGATAACTTAACCTAAGCTCAAACTAACATTGATTATTCGGCAGCAATAACAAACAAGTGAACATTAACATGGCGCAGACACTCACTTTGAATTGGTGCCACAGCTGTCCAGGTAGCTGGGGCTGCGGTGTTGGCAGCCTTGTATTAGAGAAGGCTACAGTAGTATAAATATGTTGTTGAGATAAACAGCTGTTCTTGGGAAAATATTCAAGGAATTTTTAAAGACTGTTTATTTGAGAGAAGCCTTGAATGATTTTTTATTCCTAGAAACGTTCAGTCTTGCATGTTTGATTTGATACCATAACTTTCAATTCTATCAAAATAAAATTAAAACGTGTTAACTAAATAATTTTTTGGTCTATTACTTAGTATATAGTTACGGCAGTTTTACGATTTTGTTTTTTGAGTTAATGTTTGGTTTATGTTATAGGATCCACAAAAGAGCAATTTTTTTCAGTTTTACGATTTAGAAGAAGAGTTAGATCAAAGCTTAGATTCTTCCAACAACAATAGCTTTTCTTAGAATTATATTTTACATCGTTTGGGAAAACAACATTGGCCATTGAAAACAGTTGACATTATGCAGTTATCTGCTTTTAAAAATCACTGTTTTCTTCCAAAATTTGTTTGTGATTATCAGGTGAGGACAAATGTTTATTTTCAAAGTAAAACTCACTCATTAGTCTTTTAAAAATCCTTGTTTCACTTAACAGTACCGTGTTAGAATTTCTTTCTTTTACGGTGTATGAAGTTATCTTCTTCTTAATCTCTGTTTCCTATTAATTTACTGCCATCTATTAATTTACTGCCATCTATTAATTTACTGCCATTAGTACCAGAAAATATATATTTTCCTAGGCCTATTGTAGACAATATATATGTAGTTGAGTATACATAGTTTATAGAGTCACAAGTAATTTTAGCTTCTGCATTTTACAATGCACACACATTAAATTAAATTTTTTTTACTTGCGCACACTTTGTACTGTTTGTTTGTTTACTTAAATGAACTTCTTTTTTCCCTAAGTTTTAGCCTAACTCGTCCATCATGAGAAAGCCACTGAATAGAGTCCATCATGAGCCGTTCATGAGAAAGTTTAGAGATGCTTTTAAATATTCCAGTAATTTGAATTGGTGAACACAGTGAAAACAGTGCTTGCGTTCTAAAATTGAAGAGCTTGAACAAAAATCTATCTTGAATTCGGAAACAATTTATAAACAATTCTTTATTAACATTAATATGTATTAACCAACACCTTTAATTTAGAACAACAGAAAAAACAAAACATCAGTAGGCCTGTTGACATCCAAAACTAAAAAAAAATGGTCTCTTTAAAGAAATTGTAATCGGATCTTTTTGGGCATGAATTACCTCTGATATTGCGATCAAGGAAAATGTCTTCGAAATTTGTGTGATACGGAATATTGTGAGGATGGATTTGGTATCAATGAAATTAGTTTCAAATTAAGTAAAAACATATTTGTGTGAGAAGGTAACATTCTTAAAAATTAAATACTTAAATAAATAGGATATCTGTGGAAAATTTCCAACACACACTGTCATTGTCAGCATTCAGCCTGTGTAAAGTTTCTTGTAAATAGTAGGACTAAACTTCTAAACAATATTGTTTAGGACCAGTTGTTATACTATCAACAGCATATTCTTCAAAATTTTCATATAATTGTGTGTTACTAAGTGTACATAATAGTATTAATAAATTTAAGTACAATACTGAATCATCGCCAATTATTATTATTTAATAGAAGGGGCACAAAAAAATTCCAAGATGGTGGTGGGTCGCCAGACCTTAAAAGAGTTACTTTAGACCAGCAACGCATGTAGGCCTATTAAAAATTGCTGTTTTTGCTGAAGTATGACGAAAAATACATTCACCTACGACCAATTTTTAAAGTAGTTCAGTAGTATTCAGTTCAGTTCTTAGAATTGAAAAGTTTCACATAACAGCATTGTTTACTTTCATAATAGGCCTACCATAGTTTTACTCATAACAACACGGGTGACGGACTAATGAGGTTCAAGGATTGAGAGAAGTAGAATTGAAGAAGAAGTAAAATTGTTATGGTTCGAACTTCAACTAATAAGCTGTTCAGGCCAATTTAATTGTTGAGTGGTGCAATTAGTGTTTGGTACAATGTTTCGTTGCATCACTGTCAGTGACAATGAGAAGTTATAATCAAAAATGTAACCTCCCTTAGAAGTTATGAGTAGTAATTTTTATAAAACACTGTTGTAGGGAAAGTAGTGTACGCAACCCGCGTAGTGTGAACACAATCGTTGCGTTAACTATTTCATAACTATGATGTTGCTGTACTACGTTTTGGTGCATATTTTCCTTAAACATTTACATGCTTGGTGCTATCTTGATAAAATGATAGTTACTAATAAAAAGGTTAAATACCTGTAGTACTTGTCCGTGATCCTGTGTTTTAGGTCAGCGACCCAGGATTCGAACCTAAAGGTTAATTTTTAAGCTGATACCATGGTTAAACTCCTACTAAACACACAAATTCTCTTCATAACTGTAAAGAGTCGTTGAACACACGAACAAGAAAACACAAACATTAAACAAAATTGACCAATTAATATACGGTAGCGTGCGTGGCGTAGCCGGCAAAAGATGAGTAATGACTGGGCATGCATAAACTCGAGTTATCGCACTAACGGACACACACATATATATAATTATATACTAGCTGTTGTAGGCTGATATGAGAAAACTGACCAAATATTCGAATAAAACTTTCACATACATGATTTACCTTCATCTCCCTAATTTACATATAATTTTTTCTTTATTTTTGACATTTTCAATTTTAATTTTGAAGTTGCAAAAAATACTAATTATTAAATTAAAAAGAATATTTTTTTAATTAAACTTTTTCATGGTAAATCACAAATTCCTTCCATCTTCAGTTTCTTCACTCACAATAAATCATTAGCAAAACTAAGTCAGCTGTTATAAACTTTAGAAATATTGTTGTGCCTTATCAATAGTCTTTTGAAATATTAAAGACACTAATCTATACTATAACAAATTTTAAACAAATACTTTGACATTAAAGACAGCAGACAAAACTAATATGATTATCAAAGCATCAAGGACTAAAAAATTTAATGGTAAATACAGTATATGTTTCATTGCATCTCTGATTCAACTCTACAAAAATATCAACAAACAACTAAATATACAATCCAGTTCTTTTAATCAGTTCCATCGTCCATTGCCTTACATTTTCACACTTACCATTAAGTAAACATAGTAACATTTAATTGATTTTATAAACAAAAGAACACTGTGTACTGCTTAGTTTTATGATATTTTCCTTGGTATAATTTGATCGGTGGTGTGGCAAAACACAAATAATAAATTTATCAAATAAAGTAAATGTGAACTGAAAGCTGTGTTAAGATAAAATAAGAGTATTTTGTATTTTTGTATTACCATTTGGTAATTAAATATAGTTACACATATACAACAAATTTTAGAATACAAAAATCAACGATGTATAATTTAGTTATTGATGTTATTCTTTAGTTTAATTTAAGTATAGGTTTAGAAAAATACCATAACTAAATAGTAAATTTACCTAAATATAGTACATATAAAAAACTATGTGATGTGCAAGTTACGTTAAGTTAATCTAACACATGTTAAGCAGTACAAATTTATTTAAAGTAGCCTCCAAATTCATACAAAACATCTATAAATTGTCATTGTCTTACTGTTTCCATGAATATATATCAATAACATTATTTTCATAACACTTAAGACACTTTAAAAATCGAAAGCAGAGCCTGAGTTAAAACAGCAACGCTTTTAGAATATTTGTTTTATTTCCATAATCAATGACATAGTTTTTGAATAAATGATCTTTGATAAATTTTTAGAGTAAATAAACCAACCACATAATTGCGTGAAATATGAAATATTATATTTAATTTCATTGGATCAGTTGTCTTAAATTGTGAAATATGCAATTTGGCAGTTCTTCTTGTTTACAGTGAAACGTCAAAGCAAATGTAAACATTGTGAGTATTCTCATTGCAGCCATGGAGACCAATCAATATTTACTTTTTAAATCCTCACCTCAGAACTTTTAAAGCCAAAGGGGCAAAGCCCACGGTCAGTATCGAAGTGTGTATAGTCCTATAATGGTCCTTGGTATGGTAGCTATGTTTTTGTAAAATTTAAGCCCAGTTAGTTGGTTCAGTAGTTTTTGCACCTATTAGTAATACACATACAGACAGACACCATTAGATTTGTATATAATAGTATAGGTATATAAATAATATATATATATATATAAATATTTTAATATATATGAATTTGAACGGATGGTGTTTTTGGCCTCTTGGGACCTCAAAACAAAAAATTAAATCGGTCCCGGGTCCAGGTCTTACCATGAGTACTACGGTAATAGCTTATTCCTATATGGGAAATTCGCTAAAAAAACAATTTTAAAATGTCATTTAAAACGTCAAATAAACTATCTTATCTCCTAAAACCATGAAATGTACAAAACACTGCTAATTTTGATAAGACAGGAATTTATAAAATTAAATGCAATGACTGTCCCAGTTACTATGGACAAACAGCTCGCTCGTTTACGCAAAGATTTAAAGAACACCTGCCTAAAAATCTACTAAATCTGCTTTCGCAAATCATCTGACCTGGGTCGCTGACCTAAAACAAAGGATCACGGACAAGTACTACAGGTATTTAACCTTCTATTAGTAAATTACGTGATTCAGAGGATTAACATGTTAAAAATTATACTAAATTTGATTCAGTAGTTTTAGCAGGATTTAGTAGCAAGCCTATGCTATACGTTTTGATAATTTTGTCGGTTGTAATGGTACATCCTCAACCAGTTTTGTGTATGATATATCCTCTTCCAAACAAGGTTTTTGATAAACTTGTATTTTAAATATTGTAGCTTTTCATCAGGAAAGTTTTAAGTGTTCTTTTTCTAAATTTTATTAAAATCAAATAATGGAGAAAGATTTCAGTTTTGTTTTCCTTATATTACAGACCTTTTGACGGGCATTGTGCATGAGTGGATGCCCCTAATATGCTCGTTTGTTCTACACATTAGCAGACCCGCACTAGATACAGATATTCACCTACGTTTCCCCATACCGTCTTATGTCACACTTATTCACCGACGGTTGTTAGTTTGATCGTGATTGTGCCTATGATATAAAGAACAGAGGGGTTAAGGTGTAAGTACCTAACTGAGAATTTTGGCAGTATGTTGGAAACATTACAAAGTTGATACAATATGAAACTACTCCTGATTTTTGAAAGCTTGAGAGTTGGAATTTAGATATCCTCTGTTGATTAGTTCAGTGTTGGAAATAAAGAATTAATCAAAAATTTCACGCTCTTATCCTGAGTCATCCACAATTTGGTTTTCATAATTTAATTAAATGTTTGATGGTCTCGTACCAATTTGGCAAGGCCAAAGTACCATGCTGATGACTCCATTTTATTATGCATAGGAAGATTTTGTACCACCAGATGTTCATATACAAGTTTACTGGCCAGGCACCTAATTTATGGACATACTCGTAAGTCTGTGAGCTTGGTTGAAAAATGTTTGAACATTACCGTTTTAGCTTCTACGATGTCATGGTTAACTCGGCAAAATTTTGCCGAGCCTAGTTTTGAATTTTGAATGAAACCCAAAAGAGAAACAATGTGTTATCCTTTCTCCATTCAAATATTAAGTACTACAAAATGTTAACAATATACCAGTACGTTTATGTCAATAACCACAAATTGAGGCAAATGCTCTAACAGCTTACATGCTAATGTTCACTATTATAACAATGTTGGTGTTTTCCCAAAACCTAAAACACTGTATGATTCCAGGTGCGATTTGGTATCCGACTGACTCCTCTGGTGGATGTAAAACCAAAACCGAGCCCTGCGAGAAACGTTCCTGTGGTGCTGCAAGTGCGGACTAAGTGTGCGGCCATCTTAGCCCTGGCAAGCACCAGCACGTCCAAACCTGCACAGGTGTTGCGCAGGAACAAAGCGGGCGCAGACGATGTCAACAAGAAGACCAAGAGACTCAAAGTCTCCGACGAGAACCGAGGAAAGTGGAAAGTGTCGAGATCTGACGAAGTGTTGGTGCCGTGGAGATCAGGCAGTAGGTTGGAGAAAAAGTCCGGAGGGGACCTGAGTCGACGGTTTAGCACCACGGACCGCAGGAAAAAACCAAAACCCAAGTGAAACATGCTTTGTATTTTTATTACAAATTATAGTGAGCATTTTAAAAACTATGAGATAACTGCCATTAATATTTTCAGTGTTCAAAAATTTTTATGTAAATAATCATGAGTATTAAAAGAGTTTATGTATTTTGTTATTGTAATTTACACAAAAAAGGTTTATATGAGTTGATCAGTTTGCTTATTGTTAAGACCACACCGAGTTGTATATTGATGGGTTATTACTTATTATATTGTTTATTTACATTATTGTAAATTTATTGTGATGTTTATTTATTAATTGACTTTTAGAAATAAAGTAATAAAGGACCAAATTGACTCAAGCGTCAGATTTATTAACCCTCATTCAGGAAAATATTTTTCTTTTTTTATACTAAGAAGAAGCATGCTGTGAGTTAAGCTGCATTGCCTAATGAAATGCCTGTTTTATACAGGGAAACAAACTACAATATCAGTACCAATATCACTGAAGATATCAAAGGTATTGATCTGAAATTTTCTTTTTTACTTGAATAGGCCCTATGTGTAAGAAAGTAAAACCATGTAGTATAATTAAGACCGAATACTGTGATAAAAATAGTACAATTAACTGGTTACAACATGAAACATACAAATTTAATGTCTAGTTCTAGAGATATTTAGGATAAAATTAAATGAACTGGATTAAAGTTTATAAAATATTACACTTATTTATTCAAGCAACTCAATAACTGAGACCATTAAATTATTACAGAGTTGATTATAAAACACGCAACTACTCCCCAGTGCTTTTTTGAGGAGCGCCCAATCTTGAAGGGTCTTGAGAGGGGTAATGTATAGGGATAGTGCCGGGGGGAGCGAGATCCGGGGGTAGAGGAGGAGCAGTACCAGGGGGGACTAGTGGAGGCTGAGGGGCAAACATAGGGGGACGCAGGGGTAAACGCATGTGAGGGGGGAAGAAGAACGGAGTGGGGGGAGGTCCTGGGGGTCTTAACCCCGTGGGAGGACGAGGTAGAGGGGGTAGAGGTAGCATTGGAGGGGGGAGGAACGGCGGTGGAGGAGGATGAGGAATAATCTCTGACTGAGCCAAGTTGAAGAAGTTGTCCTGCAGGTCAGTGGGTGGAGGTGGCAACGCTCCAGGTAGACCAGGTACAGGTTCCAGACTCTCTATGCTCTCCTGGGCTACGGAGGCGGAGGTTTGCCGACCCTGCGATCGACCCCACTTGATGTTCATGCGACGGCCGCCCAAGATCAGCTTGTTAAAGGTCCTCTCTGAGGCCAGCTCAGCAGCAGCACGAGTGGTGAACTGTATAAACGCACACTGCTGTCGAGCTACGTGAGTTATACTTCTGATCTCTCCGTACTGGTAGAAGTGATCCCTGAAAATCATCATTGATAGTTATAAATCTTCCATAAAAAAATTACTGTATCAACAAAGTTTATTTTGTGTTATAAAAAGACTGGCTACAGCAACCAGTGATTACCAAACCAAATGGGTCGTGGAGAGAAATTAAACTCTTGAGTTTTGAGTGGATATATGACCAAAACGGTCCCCTTGGACCCAAAAAAGTAGTTTTTGAAGTGTAAGGGTATGTAAGTGTGGATGTGTAAAGAGCTACAGACCACACACGTGGTCCGATTTTGATGTAATTTGGTATGTAGGTACTCATCCATAGTATCTCCAGGAGTTTTTATTTTTTTTCTGAAATTTAAGTTTGAATCACAATTTTCCATAAAAACCCATCAATTAACAGAAAATTCCAGTTTTCTCAAAAATGGCCCGAATGATTTTGATGCTTAACTCCCATTGCTGTAAAAATTACGGTTCAAAAGTTATTCTTTTCCCATAAAATAATGGAGAATCAGATTTCTGAACAAAGCCAGGTTTGATTAAAATTTTTATGTCATTTGTTGTCATTATTGTCATTGTTGTCAATTTATGTCATTGTCAGATTGCTGATACCGTTTATTTTCCAAATACAATACTAGGAGTAAAGAACTACCGAAATAAAAGTTAACTAGTAAACTTGTTTTAATTTAGTTATAGCCTATGGATTAAGGTAAGTAGTTGGGGGAGCGAGCTAGTCTATTGGTTAGAGCGCGGGACTTTGGTCCATGAGTTTAAACCCTGCAAAATCACCAATGGAGTTGATCTAATTGATAATGCCGCAACCCCTAGGTCAAACCTGAAGTAACGTGGAAAACGTCCCAGGCTCGTGCCTAGCCTAAGACAGAAAATTTGTTAAAAAGTTGTTTGTGTGCTCTAACCTGAGGTCCTTCTCCCCGATCCTGTCTCCGAGGTTGCCCACGTACAGTGTGGTGATGCTCTTGTCTTCGGGAGACTCCAGCTTGGGCATCGCTGACGCTCTCCTCATCAGCTTCTCTGCCACAGGGTCATTGACACCGTAGTACCTGGAATTGAGATTGAATAAAATTCAGGACGAAATGTTTTTCAACTGTTATGTCTGTCATCCTCCAAATAAAAATTTACTAAAAACTACTCAATTACAGTTATTGACAACTAAAAACTGTCACCTTATATAAACAAAACTTTTCCCCAGTAATTTTGTTTTGCAACCAAATTACATTTCATAATCCTCGTCTTAGACTACTAAATCAGGGGCGGCTCTAGGAATATTTTTTTGGGTAGGCCTGACAAGGATCAAGAAAGAGTTTGATCGGGGATGAGGGGTTTGAAAAGCTTTGCCAGCAAAAAGGGGGGAATTTTAAAATTTAAATGCAAAATAATTAGTTTGAATGATATCTCTTTATTTACATAGGCCTATAATTAAATGTCTTTATCTATCTATATCCTCCATACTATTATATAAAAATCTAATGGTGTCTGTCTGTATGTGTGTTACTAATAGATGCAAAAACTACTGAACCAACTGGACTAAAATAAAACAAAAATATAGTTACCATACCAAGGACCATTATAGGACTATTCACATTTCGATACTGACCGTAGGCTTTGCCCCTTTGGCTTTAAAAGTTCTGAGGTGAAGATTTTTAAAGTAAATATTGATTGGTCTCCATGGCTGCGATGAGAACGCTAATAATGTTTGTATAAATTTGCTTTAACATTTAAATGTAAACAAGAAGAACTGCTAAACTGCATATTTCACAATTTCATACAGCTGATACAAAGAAATTAAACATAATATTTTCCATAACTATGAAGTAGGTTTATGTTAATTTAACCTTTTATCATGGATTATTTATTCTAAAACTATGTCAATGATTATATAAAAAAAAGATTCTATAACCGTTGCTTATAGAACGGTATAGTCCTCGTGGTTATAGTCCTTGTATCAACTCCGGCTCTGCTTTGGATTTTTTTAAAGCGTCTAGTTATGAAAATAATGTTATTGATATGATTTCATGGAAACAGTATAAAAATTACAATGTATAGATGTTTTATATGAATTTGGAGGCTACTTTAAATAAATTGTAACTGCTTAACATGTGTTGGATTAACTTAACATAACTTGCACATCACATTGTTTTTTTATATGTATATTTAGGTAAATTAAGTTTTTGTGTTTTGCTAAACCTATGCTTAAATTAAACTAAAGAATATCATCAATACAATAACAAAATTGTACGTCGTTGATTTTTTTTTTATCTGTTGTATATGTGTAACTGTAATTTATTATCAAATGGTAATACAAAATACTCTTATTTTATCTTAACATAGATTTCAGTTCACATTTACTTTATTTGATAAATTTATTATTTGTGTTTTGCCACACCACTGATTAAATTAAACCAAGGAAAACTACATAAAACTAAGAAGTACACAGTGTTCTTTTGTTTCTAAAATCAATGAAATCTGTTACTGAGTGAAAATGTTGAAACGTATGTTTTTATGTCCCTGGCCTTTTACTTCGTAGATACTGAATATGTAGTTTATCATTATGTGTTTTTATATTTTTTGGGACGGGGGCAACATGTTACACACAATTATTTGACTTTAAATAAGTTCTAGGTATTTTTTTTGTATTTTTAAAGTCTCGAAACTCACGACCGTCACGTGTCCCTAGGGTACATTTTGCAACTTTCATGCTGTTTTTAGAATAATTATTCATGCTGAAATATATAATGTCATATTTTTATTACATCAATAGTTATTAAGCTTACGAAAAAGGAGCATATGATAATTTTGTTTTCATTGTAAACTGACTACCATGACTAAATAGGTCTGTCCCTCGATTTGACCATTAGGGAAAAATTTGCAACTTTGGAGAACGACAGTGGCAAGCCTGGCGTCGATGGAGTCAGTTGGTTTTTGAGACTAGTTCGGGGTGTACGTAAGGATTGTAGTGCCGGTCGTTTCGAGTTGAAAGGAGATTAATAAAGGCAAGTTTGTGTTTTTTGTAATTTTGGTGTGTCCATGACCGTACGTAGTCATTTGATAAAGTAGACATGCTGTTAATTTTTGTTTATAAGATATTTCAATAGCTATATTAACCTAGAAGTCCACTTTGTATCCTCGAACATGAGGTGCAGGGCTACCGCCAGAACAGGGCCAAATAACACGTAATGTCACGACCAAAGTTTCACGACCATCGCGGTTTTCTTTACGACCAATCCAGCCTTATGGATTATACTGTGTTTGGTCGTGACAATAACTTAAATATCATTGTAAATTGAACAGTTTAGTTCAATTGAAACACATATTTGTATTATAACTATCAGTGTAATTGAAGGATTGTTTGGAAAGATTTAGATTATTCCAGACAATTCACGACCGTACCGCTTGTCCCTGACCATCATGTTTATGATTTATTTCATAACAATTTCAAAAATTAAAATATCATCATATTTCAATGTTTTATACACAAAAGGAGCACACCTCTCTAAAAACATAACGATTTTACGGGTCTCAGGTAAGTTTTTTCGGAGTTATACAAACTTAAAAAAGATTTTATTGTTTTTTAGCGAATTTCCCATATAGGGAATTAGCGAATTTCCCATATAGGGAATAAGCTATTACCGTAGTACTCATGGTAAGACCTGGACCCGGGACCGATTTTTTTTTTCATTTTGAGGTCCCTAGAGGCCAAAAATAGCATCCGTTCAAATTCATATATATATATATATATATTTATATATATATATATTTATATATATATATATGTGTCCGTTAGCGCGATAGCTCGAGCAAAAATGATCCGATTTTGATGAAATTTGGTACAAACGTGTAAACCTACGTTTATTCGAACGAGTTCGCGAACCAGCATGATCGGACCATGGGAACGGGGGTTTATGGGGGATTTTATGGGGTAAAAATGGGTTTTTCCCATTTTTGACCCAAAAAACTTACAATTTTTGCAATTTCTTTCCAAACTATTTTGTAGAGCTTAAAAAAACAAATAATTTAGTATATTGAAGCGTTATAATGCGCCTAATGGTTACGGAGAAAATTCAAAAAAGTTGTAAATTTAAAATTCCTATGTTATTCTTATGGAGGATAAGTAAACTGTTGTAGTTTGCTTTATTAACATATTTTGCCCAAATTTGGAAAATGTTTTTATTTCTTACTAACTATTAACATTTTACATAAAAAAAACACTTTTATCCTCCCTGTTGCAGCAAACCTAAGTATGTGTTAAACTGATTTGATTTAAATAGGGAATAAATGTGATATTTTTAAGGAGACATTTTAGTGTAACTCCAATTAGGCAAATGGAAATTCGCTTAGTCTGCAGGTTTGCTGCAACGGGGGTATTTTTTTAATTCTTTGAATTTTTTTCTTTTTTTTTAGAAAGTCCAAATTTACCAAAAGCTTAGTGAGCTGTTTTTTTGTATAATTGCCCTAAAAGTAAATTAATTTATAGCAAAACATAGTTATAAAAATAATATTACTATTTTTAATATTCAATTTTATGTCCGTGATGGTCGTTACAACATTTTGTGTTTTTCCATCAAAGATGCTCAATTAATAAAAAATCACCAAACCATGGACATTTTATGAAATTTCAAATGTTAATGAAATAAAAGAAATAATAAAAGTTTCAAAAAAACGTAACAATAGTATATTTCATTACTAGGACCGAAAGTGGCATTTTCCGTCGCGCGCTCAAGTTTTTGTGTGAGGCGAAGCCGAACAAAGGGAACTCCAATTTCACGTGCTAGGCGAAGCCGAGTATGTGAGAGCTATCTTCACATACGAGGCGAAGCCGAGGACGGGAATAATGGAGCGAGTGCTGTGATATGCAGAAAACCCCCAATTTGGAAAAGACTCTAAACCCCAATTTTGAAAACCGTTTACATTGTCTTACCTGGCCTGGCTCTGGTGCACCTCACAAACACTACCCACCAAAACTGACCCCTTGATCAAGTGCACTGGCCTACTTAAAGCAACAGCCTTCAGTAGGTCAGCACAACAAGTTATTGTTTAACAACACTACCAGCCTACTCACACAACATTGCCAAACACTTCCTCTTTACAATATTCGACCCCTTCCATTACAGTGCCGGATAATAACTTTCGGTACGAGTTATAGGTAACGATACTTTTCATCACAACGCAAAAATAACAAACACAGATTAGCAGACCTCATTAATATTACAACTATTTTATTTCTCAATTAATTTGGTTGAACATCAAAATAAAATAAAATCTTCTAAAAGGAATCCTACGTATATTTCTCAATAAATTTTGTTTAAACATGAAAATAAAAGAATAAAGCAACTTTTAACAACACATACAGCATATAGCTGATTCAAATCATTAAATGAAACCGTAACAAAACACTAGCGCGCGTAGAGAATAAATGGAGAACTAATTGGAAGGGAAAATCAGCTGATCGATTTTCCCTCGCCCTAAATTAGAGCTTGGGAAACAACTACTTTCATTGATGTCAGCTGTTATCGAAAATATTTACTTTCGTTACGGAGTAATGAAAAAATTTTAAAAGTGCTTTTCCTGAAAACGTACCTTTCAAAATGTTCACTCTACTATGTTTAATAATGGTAAGTGTGAAAATGTAAAGGGCAATGGACGATGGAACTGATTAAAAGACCTGGTTTGTTTTGTATATTAATTTGTTTGTTGATATTTTTGTAGAGTAGAATCAGAGATGCAATGAAACATATACTGTATTTGCTGTTACATTTTTTTAGTCCTTGATGCTTTGATAATCATATTAGTTTTGTCTGCTGTCTTTAATGCTAAATTATTTGTTTAAAATTTGTTATAGTACTATATATATAGTTTCTTTCATATTTCAAAAGACTGTATTGATAAGGCACAGAAATATTTATAAAGTTTATAACCTGACTTAGTTTTGCTAATGATTTATTGCGAGTGAAGAAACTGAAGATGGAAGGATTTGTGATTTAATATAAAGAAGAGTGAAATGTTAAAAAAATATTCATTTTTTAAATGTAATAAATTAGTAGTAACTTCAAAATTGAAATTTAAAATGTCAATAATAAATAAAAAGATATGTAATGAAGGCAGATGAAATGGTGGTATCCACTACTTACCAGATTTAAAAGTCATAACTTATAAACGTTTCTGTTAAGGCCATAAAAGCTGAATTTTGTTTCTAAAAGCGTTGGCGGATGTGCAACTATTATATGCAACAGATGTAAAGATTAAAATGTTTCTATTTTGTGTCCTCTTCCCGTTGCAAAGCATGGGTACAACAGCTAGTTTATTAATTTTGAAAAATCCACCAACATTTTGGGTAGGCCCGGGCCTAACTGGCCTGCCCACTGGAGCCGCCCCTGCTACTTATTCTGCAAGTGAGTTGAATCAGTAAAAATATTTTGACTGAAATGGCAATTCCAGCAGTAAGTTAGGGGTGTCGCCTGTTTTTTCATATGTGCTAAACTAATGAAAGTTTCTTGTGACGTTAAATGATTGATTGATAATCATACCTGTCTTTGATGTTTTGATCGGCAAGTGGGTCGTCAGGATCCGTCGGTTTCTCGTGACGGTACGGACACTCCTCACCTCTCCGACATTCACCTTTTACCCAAAAGGAGCAGATGTGCGGCCTGTTGCGTTTGTAGTACGGCGTCGTCCGAGCCAGCTTCATCAACATGTCACTGGCAGCCTGTGTCTTACCCACGGAGCCTGCCGCAATTGTCCCGTCAGCTTTTGTCAGCTGTTCAACATATTGCATAAACTCAACAATTGCTTTTGTGTTTTTTTTTGTTTTTTTTTTGCAGCATCACGTAACATTACGTTAATTCTATTGGTCTTAATAGATTGCAAGCCTAAGATTTTCAAAGCTTTTGGATTTTATGAATTGGTGCTTGGTCACTCTAACTTAGGTTTGTCTCAGCTTAGCTCAAAACTTTAAAACAGTTGTGCAGGACCAAAATAATAAAGTTGCCACTGGCAAGACCCAAACAATTCAACATTGTTACATATTTGTTGTTATCAAGCACCAATTGAGATGTGATTGAGCTAACTTATCAAGTTTGTCCTTAAAAAGTATAAAATACGGTAACCTTCTGGGTGTGGTGGAGTTTTTTTTCTTTTTTTGTATGCAGATCTCGTTAAAAAATTTACCTAGGTACTCAAAAAGCCCTTTAACCCTCCGAGTGTCCCTTGTTTTGGCCTTAATGTCTGCCTATTTTTTGCTCATTTGCAAGGTTTTATTAAAACGGATCTGAGAAGCTTGAAAACAATGTTAATTATACTTTTCTATATACCATTTTGTTTGGAAAATCATGGGCTTCAATATTGTACATAAAACATAAGGAACATTTGTTTCTAAAAATTTTTTTAGGTAAAAAAAAATTTTTTGGAAAATTTAAAAAAAAAAAAATAAGTTTGCGCTCAATGAAATTGTATAAATTATAGGCCTATAAATATATTTGAAAATAGCCACTTTGTTCTAAATTTTATGAGGATTACAAATATATAATAATATAAGGAAGTAGATTTGCAAATAAATAAGTTATGGGCAAAAAACAGATTTCAGCACATAGCGTTTAGCTAAGAATGCATAGCCTAACCATAGCTAGGAATCTGGCTGATAATTTACATCAATATCACTACCTACTTCTTCAAGATCATCAACCAGCCCTTCAAAATCACTTAAATCTTCTTATAATGCACCACCACGTATATCACTACTTTTGATTTTAGCGAATTTCCCTATAGGGAAGTAGCTATTACCGTAGGTGGCACGGTAAGACCTAGACCCGGGACCGATTTACTTTTTCATTTTGATGTCCCCAGAGGCCAAAAACACTATTCGTTCAAATTTTTATATATGTATATATATATATATATATATATATAGACTTTTATATATATATATATACGTCCGTGAACGCGATAACTTGAGTAATTTTTGTCCGATTTTGATGAAATTTGGTTTAAAGGTGTAAAGCGGGATAAACTTGAATGAGTTCGCGAACCAGCACGATCGGACCATGGGAACGGGGCTTTACGGGGGGTTTTATGGGGTAAAAATTGGTTTTTCTCACTTTTAACCCTCGAAACACAAAATTTCCCAATTTCTCTTAAGACCTTTTTAAAGAGCTTAAAAAAAAACAAATAATTTAGTGTATAAAAGTATTTTTGTTCGATTATTAGTAATGGAGAAAATTAAAAAAATGTAAATATAAAATCCCCATGTTATTCTTATGGAGAATATTGTCAAATGTTGTAGTTTGCTTGTTCATGAATATATTTTGATCAAACTTGGCAAATTTATTTATTTTGTACTAAGCTATCAATATTTTACTCAAAAACACACTTTATTAGTTTCCTTGTAGCAGCAAACCTAGGTACTCGTTAAACCTAATGTTATTAAAATATATTTAACTGAAAATCAATTCAGACAAATGGAAATTCGCTTAGTCGGCAGGTTTGCTGCGGCGGGGGTATTTAACACTAAAACAATGATAAACGTAATAAAACACATCAGTCATCGGTCCAAGGTTATCCAAGCTGTTTACAAATACGCACGTCAGCTGTCTGCTACAATATTTTCGGAACTAAAATGAATAGCACTTAGAAACAGACCTCTGGAGAAAGCTTATAATCTAACAAAAAGAACGATACCTAACTCGATCCAGTTCAATCCGATTCAGTCAGTCATAGAGCCTTCGCCGTAAACGATGTTCGTGTGTCGAAAAATCGACAAGTGACACTACACAAAGTGTGTCGTGAGTCGTTTTTTCGACAAGTGACGCTCGGAGGGTTAAACTTTTACCATTGACTATTGGATTTAGATTTTACTAAACTATATGTATATATACATATATAAATCCAACTTTGTCTTTGTAGTTAGCCTATATGAATAAAATTCAACATTGAACTTAAAAGAATTCCAGCTAGACCCAAACTTACACACCCTACTCTTTCTGATTCTGATTTTGACACTAGTCACCCTGTCAGTGGCAACTCACTATCCATAGATTTGACGCAAGGCTATTAGACATACGGTACACCAATTACAAATTTTAACACTTTTTGGCAAGGCTTGTATACCAAAACCTAGAGCTCTTACAATATGTTCAATTAGCTACCCTGCTAAGCTAAGGACAGTTAATTCCTTCTCTTTTCAGAGTGGGTTAAACCAATTGTATATGGAAAATGGATAATTTTGAAACTGGCCTATCAATTTTTACAGTAACTTTTGTTAACCTTTTAATCTAGGATGTCCCTTTGGGCATTAAAATACCTCTGCCGCAGCAAACCTGCCGACTAAGCGAATTTCCATTTGTCTGAATTGATTTTCAATTAAATATATTTTAATAACATTAGGGGTAACGAGTACCTAAGTTTGCTGCTACAAGGAAACTAAGAAAGAGTGTTTTTAGTAAAATATTGATAGCTTAGTACAAAATAAATAAATTTGCCAAGTTTGTTCAAAATATATCCATAAACAAGCAAACTACAACATTTGACAATATTTTCCATAAGAATAACATGGGAATTTTAAATTTACAATTTTTTAATTTTCTCCGTTACTAATAGGCCTAACCAAACAAAAATACTTTTATATACTAAATGATTTGTTTTTTTAAGCTTTTTAAAAAGGTCTAAAGAGAAATTGCAAAATTTTGTGTTTTGAGGGTCAAAAGTGAGAAAAACCAATTTTGACCCCATAAAACCCCCCGTAAAGCCCCGTTCCCATGGTCCGATCATGCTGGTTCGCGAACTCATTCAATTTTATCCTGCTTTACACCTTTAAACCAAATTTCATCAAAATCGGACAAAAATTACTCAAGTTATCGCGTTTACGGACGTATATAAAAATTTGAACGAAAGGTGTTTTTGGCCTCTGGGGACATCAAAATGAAAAAGTAAATCGGTCCCGGGTCTAGGTCTTACCGTGCCACCAAGGGTAATAGCTACTTCCCTATAGGGAAATTTGCTAAAAAGGTTAAACAAGGTTAATGAGGTTGAGGAGTCTTAAATTAGGCCTAATTGAATATTAAGAAAGTTTATTTGGATACGTTGAAATGTCCTAGATGAGTGTGACACAGTTTGAACTAACAAATCTAACCTACCTCACTGTCCATATTTTGTATGTAATACTCCTTGTTGACTTCAGAGCGAGGCAGATCGTCCTTGATGCGTAGAGCTGTGTCTCTTACTTGAATGGGTAAACCATACTCAAGGTCCAACAGACACGTCTGGCAAACATTCTTTAACCGAGAACATGTTTGGCAAACTTCGGTCTTCTTAAATCGCATTCTTGCCCCGGGACACCATCGGAAAACAGTGAATGGTCTTGAACATATCTTGCACTCTTTACCATATTTTTCTTTAGTCTGGAAAAATACACTTTTAGATAATTAATTTCTAATTGTAGGCTAATTTGTATCTTGAATACGCATATTAGGTTTATTATATATACCATTTTTGTTAAGTATATTTGATTTGAACGCATATGTTCTATTGTCCTGAGCTTTGGTAGCCTCTTTCACCACCATACCTATACTGAACTCAATGCCGCAATCCGTTTTTCATTTGCATCTTTGGTGTTTGAAATATTGAAATTTTAAATAAGAGAATTTTAATATTTCATCAAGAAAGCTTGATAACCAAAAACGGATTGCGGCATTGAGTTCAGTATAAAAAAGTAGTTCAAAATGATGGGTCACAACACTACCTTCATATTTAAATTGGGTAATTTAAATATGAAGGTAGTGTTGTGACCCATCATTTTGGGTACCCCATCAATTGGGTAATTGATCACATTTCAAAATAGCGGATCCAAGATGGCGGCCGAATAAATTACATCCGTCATTACAAAGTGAAAATAGGTCAACAATGAATGGTGGTGTATACTTATCTTTATCTAGCATTATTTTGAGATTATAGTCTTAGTTTGTAAATGTACAATGTTAAAATGGGCTAAAAATAAAGTTATAAAAAGTCCTCATCACTTTAGAATGGATCAAGATTTTTAAAAACTAATTGCGGCATTGTAATCAGCGTAAAATTCTAGTTTGAAATAATGGGTCACAACCCTACCTTTACATTTGAAAAAAAACTTTGTATCCAATATGGCGGATCCAAGATGGTGGTCAAAAATGTATACTCAGTCAAAATGAAGTACTTACTACTCTACAATGATCTGATATGGTCCGGAGTTCATTTAACTCAATTGGAACTCATTGGAATGGAACTCATTTAAAACTCACCCTGTATAATACGTGACAGGCGATTTCTACGAAACACTACTCCTCCGTTAATAATGGACGGATTTATACAAACGATGTGTCAAAATTAAGTATTTTTCGTGTAGACGCCCCCTTTCACCAATTCCTGTAATAAAAGTTCTCGGGCTTTGCCCCACAGGCCATCAAAATCCTAATGTATTTCTTACGAAGAAAATATTTTGTCTATTTAACAAACAATTTGTATTAATTGCAGCTGTGCATAGTCAACACATATGATACACACAAAAGCGTTCGTTTTCAGTTTTGATAACTGTAGTGGAGTGGTTGATTACTTTATTTTTGAGTTGACTCTTTTAAGTAATCGGAAATTATGACTGTTATTTGTTTTGAAATAACGTCTGGAATACTTTGAAATTGCTCGAATTCGAGCAACAGGTGCACTAGTTTTATCTAATACTTGACCCACTTGTATATAATTTACTACCTTAAGTGTTTTTGTAAACCTGAATGATTTCGTTTTCAAATAAACTACTGTATTTGTCTTTGAAAATACGTACTGTATTAAATTATTTACCACATATATCTAGGCCTTAGTACTTTGAACTTGAGGTTATAAGATCTAAATAGTATTTAATGTATTGTACCGATGGACACACCACACATTTTTTTAAGAAGAATTGTAAGGAATTAGTTTCAGTCCAATTGAGAGAGGGCGCCAAAATAGGTGTTTGCCCCGGGTGCCTAATTACGTCCCTGAAACTAGGTAAGTAAAAAGTCTTCGCTACAAATGGCAATATATTTTAAAAGTCCAAACTATCAAAATCTCATTATTTTAGTGCTTCCTAGTTCTAACTTGTTTTCAAAATAACTATTACCTAGGTTTTATTATACTTCATCACAGTACAGTAAAATAATTCATAATGAGACAAAAATAAACACACAAGCTAAGTAGGGCCTATTTAAATAGGTAAACCTAATACTGTAGGCCTAAACTTCCGGAGGTCTTGGCAATTAAGTGCTGCGCTAAAAACCATTCTGGACAAGGAACTGAAGAAAGGGAAATCCTCATCCTCTCCAAAAAAAAGTAAGTCTGCCACTTAAAAACTGATAAAAAATCAATTACCGTACATTTTAAATCAGTTAAAGACAAAAAATTAAGTTACCTACTATAAGAGTTGGGACTATTTCAATAATAACTTAGCTAAAAATTATTCTAAATAGGTATGTAAAATTTCTAGTTGCTGGTTCTTGATTGATAAACTTACCATTCGGATGTAAGGATTGTCTCCAAGACATGTTTGGCATAGGATTGGGAACTCCTGCAAACAAACATGATTATTCAGATGAACCACATACATACGTGGGCCTACAAGCGATCCACCTTTTTTCATAAAAAATTTAACTAGGCTAATTCAACCTATTTACCCCCGCCTATTTTCTGATGATAAACCACGTCAGTATGTCTCCCCACCAAAAACCCCGAATTCCCACTTGTCCCCTAGAGAGTTGGGGTTATTGCTGGTAGTATCACATTTTTGTCAAAATCACGCTTATTTTAGACGTCAAATCGTTTTGTTTTTTATTTTTGTCGTTTTGGTTGTTTTTTTCTCGTAGGCTTAATGGTCGTTTTCCGTGGAAAAAGAACGTCATTTCCAGAATCAGTGTTTTATAGTAGAATGAAAAATAAAATTCATAAATCGTGTGCACACCCTAAAATGCATATTAACTTAACAATCGATTCTTGGTACAAAATCGGTATGGTAGGCCTAAGCGTTTACCAGTAAGCACAGAGTAAGATTACTTAACTTATTGTATTTTCATTTGCTGAGTTAACATCAACATAACTTAAAGCAATAATTAGCTTATCTTAGGCTTAATTACATTTTCTTAGTATATTTTACAACTCTTTCAAAGAATCAAAATACCCAGGCCTGGACCTAATTATTTACTTAACTTAGGAGGGCCATAAACTGAGTAACAAACAATGAGGTTATAATAGCAGCAAAGTCACTATCATCAGTCAGTACTCATGTAAGAGTAAGTTAACGGATACAGTTTCTTAACTGGGCTATGCTAATATCGATTGAAACTATCAAATTCAAAATATTGATCAATAATCTATATTTTTAAATATATCTATACATATAAAATCTAATGTATGTATGTTTGTTTGTTTGTTTGTCCTTTATGGACTCCGAAACCGCTCGACAGATTGTAATGAAACTTTCAGGCATTATTAAGCATTATTCAAGGATGGTTTGTGTGAAGTTTGGTGCAGATCCGTCAAAAGGGCTCCGCCCCAGTGGCTCTGGAGTTTCCCATGTTAACCTTATGAGTACTCATATTTAAATGGTATTAAAGAATCTTAACAGCTGGTTCACCTAAACAATTTGATTCTGTGATTTTCAATAGCATTAAAAAGTTAATATGTTTGTTAACCAACAGGGTTCAGCACAATTTTTTTTTTTTTTTTATTTATGACAAAGGCTAATTTGCAACCAAAAGGTAAGTGAGCGTAGCAAACGAACTTCATCCTGGAGGCGAGTCAGAGAAGCGAACGAGCTCCAACCCAAAGGTGAGTGAGCGTAGCGAACTAACTTCAACCAGGATGTGATTGAGCCATGCGAACGAGCTCATCTTGAAAATGAACCAACATTTGACATAAAACCACATAGGACAGGACGACGTCTGTCGGGCCAGCTAGTCTATTATAAAAGGCTGCACTTTACTTGACGTCCTACACTCATTCGATTGGTTTTTTTCGATTCGATATTTTCATTTGATTCTTTCATTCGATATATCGTTTGGTTAGTTAAACGATATATCCAATGAAGCAATCGGTTAACCGATATATCGATCGATATTTTCATTCGAATGAGTGTAGGACGTCAAGTAAAGTGCAGCCTTATAAAATTAAACTATCATAACCTAACCTAACCAACCAAACTTGCTAATGGTGAGAAATTTGCATGAAGGTTTACTAATCAAATCGATAGTTTCAATCGATATTAGCATAGCCCAGTTAAGAAACTGTACCCAAGTTAACTCTATTAGGGCCAATCATTTTATGAAATGGATTGCCTGTCAGTAAAAAATAAGGAATGGGCCTAAAGGACTGTTCACACCGGCGTAGCCAGACGTATTAATACTTTTTCGGAATACGTAGCTGACGTAGCTCTTAATGTAATTCATAGAGAGTGTTCACACCGGCGTATTAATACGTGAGCTACGGAAGCTACGGCGCTGCCGCTACGCCGGCTAGCTACGCGTAGCTCGCATCGCCGAATACGCGCATGCGCACTAGCACACCGGACTGTCACCGCCACCCTCCCTCCACCTTATAATAAATTTATTTAAGCGGTAAATGTTGGATTATAACACAAAAATTAAGAATCACTTTAAAAAATCATTAAATCACTATAACAGGTTAATACTCAATGCCATAACATAACAACCAAGAAAACTTTATATGATCAATATAATAATACTTCATCATACGAGTACCTAATGTTCACTAACATTTTGCTTGTAAATCTCCTTATCAAAAAAGTCTCTCTATGGCTTATTATGGTTCATATTGTGGGCTGATATTTATGAAACATTAATGAATTATTTTTAGACATAGGCCTACGTCTTACTTACACCATAGAATATTTTATCATGTAATCCATGGATGAGCAAAATTATTGCATGTTTTCTGATAATATTTATTTTATATTATAATATATCACAAGTTTTATAGTCTACTACTGTATATACGGCCTAAAATTAGAGTGAAACATGTTTATCAACATTAACTCATTAATCAACAGACTTTTCAGGGTATACTATAAAAGCAGCAATTGAACCGTGACAATCTTAACTGAAATCCATAAAACGCTAATAAAAATAAACAATAAAATTACAAAAAAAAAATATTATAATAAAATAAACCAACAACAGCCGGCTCACCGGCTACGTAGCCGTCAGACGTAGCTGCGGTGTGAACAGTGCACGGTCAACGTATTAATACACCGAATACGTCTGCAGACGTCGGGCTACGCCGGTGTGAACAGGCCTTAAGTTAACTTAAGTTAAAACTAGGCCTAGGCTAAGTTTTAATTAATGTTTGTCCTGTATTAATTGACCTAAAGTTAACTCAGGTTATTGTATGTTTCTGTTAAATACCATAAATAGCGTGTAACCTTACCAATCCTACGAATTAATTATTAAAATATAACCTAGGTCTATGCCTAGAGTTAGGTTGGGCAATAACTTATAGGTTACCTAGCGATTTCCACATAGTTAGGCCTTCCACCAACAAAAAAATCTATAAGAAAAATTTGAAAAGCTAAAAGTCAAGTACTGTGCCAATTCTATATGAACTAAGAGAACATTCAGCTTTTTACTTACAGCGTCTTCCCAATTTTGCCTATTGTAAGTATTGGCAGATTTGGACGTCGCCATTGCAGCAACAAAATAATTGTTATTGTGTCACAATTAACGGAGACTCACTATACAGATAAATTAAATTGGGATGTGTAATAGATGCTAAATAAATTCCAAATCTTCATTAATTATTAATCTAAAGTGCAAACTAAATTAAAAGAACACTAATCACAAACAACCAGCCAGAAAGGCAGAGAAGAGCGAGAGGAGAGCTCAATTTTTTGTTGATTGTTTTTTTTTTTATTATGACGGCTTGCCGCCGACGGTTGTGTGTGAGTGGGAGGGGTGGTGGGACTGTTAAAGCACAGTCTAATATAAATAAAGTATAATCTAGGTATCTGTCGGGCGACAAAAAATTCAGCTTATGTCGGGACTGTATAAATTATTTATTGTTAGACTGTGACTGTGTTAAAGCGTGGTTAAAGAATAGAGATCGATGGGTCAAGCAAGAGAGCAGAAAGAAAAGCTAGCAGACCGAAGCTTGACACTTTGTTTGCAGTATTGCAGTTGGCAGAACTGATAAACTGGAACAGTGGAAATGAAAACTGAATTTGATCATTGATCCTTTAATTAAGTAATGTAAAACCATAAATTGTAATCAATTATAGGAGTAAACGTTTGTTTTAATAGGTACTTAAAGTTGGCCGATTTAAATGTGATAAACAAGAAAATAGATGTTTTGTAATTACTCAAAATATATTATTTTCTGTTACAACGATATATAATTTATTATATACCTGTTCCACTCTCTTGGTCAGGTAGTTTGCCTAGATTGAGACAGCTAGGGGTTAGGCCATGCGGCGCACGCCGGACCCGGACCGTGTGAAATCTCCAAAAAGAAACAATTAATAACCCTTCGCCGAGTTGTCCGGCGTAGACGCCGCGTGGCGCTGTTTGTCCGGTGGTAACTCGCGCGTACCATGCGTCCCCGCCGGATCCGGTGTTGGGCTATAGGAGTAGATCTAGATGAGTCTTTTCACACGATGTCCGGCGCATGCCGTACCGGCACGTGAGTTACCGCCGGACACCCCTAGGGCGGAAAAACAAGGCTGCGCGGCTTGACCGCCGGACTCGGTCGACTCAGAGAGTCAGAGATGAAGGGCTATTATTGTTTTATTGTTTTATTGTTTTATTTGTTATTTCACACGGTCCGGCGCGCGCCGCTCGGCCCAACCCCTATGCTGTCTCAACCTTCCTCAAACTACCGGACCGGACCAAGAGGGTGAAACAGGTATATCAGAAATTATATATCATTATTTCAGAAAATTATATAATTAATTAAAGTTATCATAAAACTAATATTTTCGTGTTTGTCCCATGCAAATCAGCCAAGCTTTCAAATCATAATCGCAGAGTATTTCTCTCTGCGATATGAAAATTATATGTATGCCGTATAATATTGTTAAACTATTATACAGCATAGTATCGTATATATATGTAAATAATAAATATACAGGAGCGCTATGCGGTTTCTCATTTTTGACCCTCAAAACACAAAATTTCCCTTTTTCTCTTCTTTTTAAATAGCTAAAAAAACTAATAATTTAGTATATTAAAGTTTTTTTGTACGGATATTAACGTAGGCCATAACATGTGACCTAAGCCCTCAGAGCTCTCACCGTTTCTGGCATTTAGATTCTTTATGACCTACACCGCATCCTCTGGACAAGGTCGAGCTTCTTGGTGCGGAGAATATACCGAATACCCTGTATGTAATGTGTCACACAGGCCCAATTGTCCTCACTCTCCGTCATCATCGGTATGACCGTGTCCACCGACAGCAGTCCTACTAACTGTTGAGCCTATCCGATCCAGGCGGGGCCTTTCCCAACGATGGAAGTGGAAATAGGTATGTTCCACGTCATTGGGAATGCCTGGGCAGTATATGCAATCAGATGACACGGCTTTGTCTATCCTGAACCGGAAAAAGCCGTGACCCGTCAGAAATTGGGTGAAGTAGAAGTCCACCTCTCCGCACCACCGATTAACCCAAAAGGTTGGACTTGCTATATCAGTTCTATCATTCGCCTGGTCCAGCTCCCCGTATCTTCTGTTCCCAGCTCTCCTGCCACAGCTGGTAGGTGTGGATGCGTTCCTCTGTTCGTGCATGGTCCAACCCACGGTGCTGATAAATTGTTTTTCTCTCCGCCGCCATAAAAGTTTGACGGGGATGACTCCAGCAACCACCAGGACGGCAGGTGCTACTCTTTTAGTGCTGCCTGACGCTCCACTCGGGTGAGCCGCATCCTATATACCTCCTTATTGAGAGTGCCTGCCCATACCTCCACACTGTACAAGAGTGCCGTACGGACTGGACCGAAAACAGCGTTACTATCTTAATTAATGGTAATCTTACTTCTTACTAATATTATAAATGTGACAGTTTGTGTGTTTCTTTGTTTGTTTGAAGTTCAATCACGCATTAACTACTGGACGGATTAGGCTGAAATTTGGCATGATGATAGCTCACATTCCTGATTAACATATAGGCATATTCTTATCCCAAAAATCCTTTGGGGATCCGCCCCAGTGGCTCTGTAGTTCCCCATGTTAACCTTATGAGTTTTCATTTTTGAATAGAATTAAAGAATTTAGTCAGCTGTTTCAACTACAAAAAGTTGGTTCTATGATAAGCAAAAGCACTAAAACGTTATAAGATTTACCAACAGGGTGCAGAATTTTTTTGAATTCATGAAACCAGCTAATTTTAACCATACAAAAACTGTGATTTGAAATTAGAACTGTCAAAGTAGTATTGTTTACAGTTATGTTTATGTTTTTAATTTCATGAATAATTGTTGATACTTTGTGAATTTTTAATAATTTATTTTTATCTATTGTTTAGGTGAATTGGTAGAACATTATAGCTATGGTAGATGTGTAATAGTATGTAGTATACTGTACATTTTAAAAAGTAAATGTTATCAAACCGTGTCCTCCCCCATTGCAAACGCAAAGCTCGAGTATAACTGCAATAAGCATTTTATCCTTATACTAGCTGAACCCGGCAGACGTTGTCTTGCCTATTTATTATCCCGCGGGCTTTGCCCCGTTTAACTTCTTAATTTTCAAGATGATCTCGTTCGCATGGCTCAATCACGTCCTGGTTGAAGTTCGTTCGCTACGCTCACTCACCTTTAGGTTGGAGCTAGTTCGCTACGCCACAGAGAAGTAATATAAACGCTAACTCGCCTCCAGGTTGAAGTATGTTCGCTACGCTCACTCACCTTTTGGTTGCTGTTGTCATAAATGTAAAAGAAATAATAGTGCTGCACCCTGTTGGTAATCCTTGTAACTTTAATGCTATTGAACATCATAGAACAGAACCATAGATAAAACATACTCCCTTCAGAACCAACTTGTTTAATTGAAACAGCTGTTAAGATTCATTTATTCCATTTCTCACAAGGTTAACATGGGAAACTCCAGAGCCACTGGGGCGGAGCCGATTGGACGGATCACGAAATTGATGGTGTATAAACCTATTCCATGACATTCTACACGTATGTAGGCCTACCAAGTTTCTTGGCAATCGGTTCAGCGGTGTCTGAGTTTATCACTGCCAAACAAACAAATATATATACAAACATCCTCTTTTATACTTATAGATGCCAACCCCGTACGAAGGACGGGTACTCTGCTAGTAAAAAATACATCTCAAAGCTTGAGTATCATCCGAACCATTTGGCCCTCAACCTCCTAGACAACAGTCAACATGTCTACAGACTAAAAACAAAAAGAGAAAATGTTTTAGACCTTCCGACTCGATTTGTACAGCAGCTCTGAAATTTATTTTCTTTGTTTTGTTAGGGCTAAATTTGTTTAGCTGCTAACTTAACTAATGCATTCCAATTTTTACTTTATTGTTAAAAATGCCATCATATTTACTTATTGTTTAATGCAAAACAGATTGTAAACAAAACGATGTTAAAAAAAAAACTCTGCTAGTATAATAATAATTGGCTAACCTCGCCATCGGGGGCCCATTTCGTAATTAACTACAAGTTACAAGTTGATTTGCATTGGGCGATCTTTATTAATAATATTAGTTTGTACTTTATTATGAAAAAGGCCCCGGGAGAATGACTTCCTCTACACTATTGCTTAAGAGCGACTGTTTTCAAGTGTAGATTCTTTCAAGTTCAAGTTGAGATAAAATAATCATGTATACGCCAGGTTTAAGATATTATTATCATTGATTGGCCTTTTTGAGCATCTGAAAGAAATTATTTTAAGTTTGAAATTAATTATTAATCTTAGTATCTGGTGTACTTGTTATAGTGCTCTTTTTTTAACTCAAATATTATTTAATGAGCTCTGCATTTTCTGTCTTGGATTTTGGCAAACGTGGCTGCAGGCCGAGATAAGATTGATTCTGTCACTGTCAGACACTTTGTCGTCGATTTTATAGATTTAGTGCATAATAACTTAATTAGGTCGATTAGTTTTGTGATATTTATGTTTCGATGAATTAAAAATTAAGCTAGGTGCTTAGTTTCTGTGTTTGAAGTATAATTGTTGTGATTGTGTTTAATTATGTCTTCTTCAGGGGACTTTGGAAATCCCCTCAGGAAGTTTAAACTAGTGTTCCTGGGAGAACAAAGTGGTATGTTTCTGTCTTAAAACTTATTTCTGATTACTCGTAAGCTAACGTTTTTGTTTTTGCCATATATATCGTACTATTGAACCAATTCAAACTACTAGTCGAATTATTAGTTTATTTACTGAGCCAAGTTTTTCATATACAGTTAAAATAGGCTACAGATTACCTACCTTGCTCATCAAAGATAAGTTAGGGTAGATTCGGTAGGCCTATAAGTTAGCAAGTAAAAATGTCTTGATTTCTGACCAAGACCGTCTGCCTATCATTATATGAATTTCTTTTTAAGTTGATGCAAGTGACAGCTGAGCCCAGTTTAAGGCATTATAAAATTGCTTTTACTTTAAACTGCTTGATTATTAAGCCTGGTTTACACGGGTCGAGTATGTCAGACAAATTATTCGGCCCCAGTTACTAGGCCCAGTTGTTGATTTGTTCAACTCACCCAGTACTTAACTGGACTGTCTACACGCATTCCTATTTCAAACAGGGACAGTGTAGGCACAGAGAAGTAATTTTTATTATTTCTCTATCGTGTTGGGTATTCTGTATACCGTGTTTGTGTTAATTGTTGTTTGGGTTTAAAATGGCGCTTCAAGAGTTTAATACTGAATCCATACAGTAACTTAATTAGAGTATT